GCTGTCCCAAATACTCATAATATCCAATCGACCATAAATGAAAAAATCTCCAAATATCAGGAATTAGCAATAGAAATAAAAACTCAATGGAAAGTGAAGACCGTTCATATAGTACCAATAGTCATATCTACTACAGGAATAATACCTAAATCTTTACAAAACAGCTTAAATATTTTAAACATCCCCAAAACCACTATAAATACAATGCAGAAAGCTATTATTCTCAATACATGCCGTATCACACGTAAATTCTTATCTAGCTCATCAACTCATTCTATCACCACTATACTTGGTTGAAGCCCGTATAATGGTAATAAAACCTTCTGTTAGAAGAGAGAATATTAAATATATATAAATAATAATAATAATGTTTTTATTGGGAACAACAACGGAACCATTTTTGTTAGTAACACTTTAGGAACTACACTTTATACACTAGGGTTAGTAACAAATACAAATACATATTTAATGAGTCATGTACTTACGAGGCATGTCATGCGGGCAATGATTCCGCATGAGATGCCTCAGTACAGGAGCTCTCGGGTCCTCAGCCACGATTTTCATGATGCTGTTGCTACTCCCTCGAACCCTTGTAATAAGCGAGGCCACCTTTTTCCTGATTAAAGCGTGGAAACTATCTGTATGTGATTGGGCAAACATCCCCGAGGCACTACAGAATCGAGGGAGTTTCAACATCATCCTGAAAACATTGTTGTATTGGACACGCAGTGCGTTTAACGCCCCCCGTGAACAGCTGAACCACAGACTTCCCGTGTACAGGCCTTGACAGTACGCTTTAAACAAGGTTATTTTGACGTCATCAGTACAACGATAAAATCTGCGTGCCAGCATGTTCCCGCGGACAGCCAACGCCCTGCGCTCCCTTTCAACGTCGTCATCGTCTTTAAGGTCGTCGACAAGTATATGACCCAGATATTTAAACTTAGTTACCTGCTTTATAAGAAGTAAATAGCTAACTAAACTAAAAAAACACACACACCATTTAAACCTACATATTTAATAACAGGTACAGGTTGACAAACAGAGAGCTTAAAGGTAAGTTTTGAGCCATTTTGTCTTTATATATTTATTTGTATATGGGTATTGACGTAGTCAGTCGGTAGTCAACTGAACTTTATCCAAAATCCATGTAAAGTTAGCTTACACGTACAAGACAGTACGACTTTGCCCTAGAAGACCTAGGGTCCATTTTCCTTGTTTTGTTTGGATGTCCGATGTCCGCAGTGGGACGATAAAGAACTGAATAATAATAATTATTATACATTTGTATATTACATGCTTTAACGGTGTCTATATTTATTTAATATTAATACGCCAGCTCAATATCACTTTAATACCCCAAAATGTTCATTGTAATTGGGAAAGAAAAAGTAATTATTTAATACTAACCTTAGTTGATTTCTTAAGACTTAAGCTTTTGACTCTATCAAAAAGTGCGTAATCTTTAGCCGCGGCGTCTGTATACACGTAGAAAAACGAATTCGGCTTGCTCTTTTCCAGTGCCAGTTCTATACCGGTCATTGCATATTCTGGACAGTCGTCCCCACCGTCCACATTAATGGCAGCTAAAGCTCGCTTGAACTCACTTCTATCTCTTGTTATTGTTCTTAATTGTGTACCTAAATGTTGAGAATTATAATATAAAATTATACTATAAATTATTAAAATTAACAGAGGAAGATAAAATGAAAAATATATTTTAAAATATGATCGATAATATCATAACTAAAATAACTTTTAATATACTATGCTATCAACTTAGCATTAAAAATAAAATTTATTGATTTATTAATAACTTAACATACCTGGATCATTAAAAGTGACTAAAATAAAATCATCTATTTTAGTAGCATTTGAATTGAGAACAGCATCAAACAGTTTATTAGTTTTTTCCTTCACTTGCGCAATTTCATCATACATTGACCCTGTATCGTCAATGACGAAAGTAAGGCTTCCCTTCGATGTATCTCCATTCACAGACAGTAAAATTTTGCATAATATATATAAATAAATGAGACTTTTGCTCATCATTATTACACAAAGATTACGACCGAAGTTAATACAAGAGCGCGTCTCGCTGGCCTTTTTGAACTGGGCTTATAATAACACCTTATCACATATTATAATATTCTTGGAACTATCGACCAACTGTAGTTTATTATTAAATATGCTTTATTGTAATTTTTGGGGTATTTCCCTTAGAGTAAACACTTCAAAGTATATCTTTTGTATTTATCACAACTGATAGACCATATGTATCTAGAAATGTCATTATTTTTTCAGATATTTTGGTGATTTTATTTTGATTTTCTGTTTTGGACATTTTGAATGCTTCACAGCAAACAAAACAAAAGCAGTGGTAGCCCAGTGGTGATGTGCTCGCTTGGGTAACCAAATGAAGCGAGTTCAAATGCCGGGTCTCGCAACTCTGATATTTTCATGTGCGAATCATTTTCAACATGATTACCACTTGTCTTACGGTGAAGGAAAGCATCGTGAGGAAATCTGCATGTCTGAGAGAACCTAGCAAGTTTTCGAAAGACATGTAAAGTCCGCCAACCCGCACTTAGCCAGCGTGGTGGACTATGGCCTGATCCCCCTCGTATTGAAGGGAGGCCCATGCCCAGCAGTGGTACGTTAAAAAGGGCTAATACAATACAGCAAACAAGGTCAAACTATGTTTTTAGAAGTTTCAAGCCATAGTTTTCAGACTTGAGTCTACCTAATATAAAAATATTCGTAAAAATCCATTCAGTATCAGTAAAAAGCAAAGATATCGCGTAACACATACACGAAAAACATACGTACACCCAGATATTATAATATAAATTACATTAGCGCACTTTTTTGACTCAGCGTGAACCAAACACCTATTAAGGCTTAGTTTACGCTAAGTCTGCAAAATGCGGTAATATAATCATTAAGAAATCTAGCCTTTGGCTGTCGAATGTTGCATCATCATATTAAAACACACTTGATACTAAAAAACGCTTGACGATACGTTTGGCTTAGTTTGTAGTGATCCTACTTGATGTGCCAGTGGTCACGGGTTCGAGTCCCGCTGGGGGCATTCATTTGTGTGATGAGCATAAATGTTTGTACTCCAGTCATGGGTGTTTATATTTATAATATGTATGTATTTAAAGTTATATATGTATAGTGTTTCAACTATCTGGTATCCATAACACAAGCCTCATAGCTTACCATCGAACTAGATGGCGCTGTATGTTAATGTCCCAACATATTTATTTATTTAAAAAAAACAACTTTGTATCAATATACAGTTAAGGAATTATTAGGTAAGTATAGATAGATTTAAAAAAATAACAGTTTAGTAAGGTATAAAATTAGGCCGGCCCCTGGGTAAGTTCGAACTTACAAAATGTGAAGAGGAGTTTTAATTTGGCAGAGTATTGCAATTTGGTGTTATTCCGAATTTGAAAGCTTGACTTGACTATAGAGCAGTTTTTACACGACTACGGCTAAGCAAAAGGAGGTATATGATTTTGAACGGTAGGTATGTATAATACATACATACGTATATGTTCATATGTTCCCTCTTAATTTCTAAATTACTTATCATAATTTTACACATGAGGTAGTTATTGAGCATATATCAGCTACTTATTTACGAAACAACTTTTGATAAGATAAATAGTTCAAGATTTACAGCGAAATCAAGCTCAGCTAATTTTTACATTACGCAATATCGCAACTTTTTAGAGAAGACTCTGCCGAATCTGTCGAAGATATGAATTGAACCATTTAATAATACAAAGGATACCTAACATAAAGCAGAAACATTTATGTCCGTTGGGTTAAATGTGTTACTAAATTAAAAATCATTAGATCTTATTAATTTCATAGCATAGTATATAATATCTTAAATTTTTGTAGTGCCGTAGAATTACTCTGTAGAGTATGGAAGCTAAATTGAAAACGATTTAAAAGGCTATATGAAAATGAGAAAATTTCTTATAATTAAAAACGATAAAGATATTTTTAACTTTAACTTTTGAGTGGTATATTAAGATATTTTACAATGCTTGGCTATTTTCTTTAATTCACATTTTGAATCATACTGTTATCGTCATAAAATAATATCGTGGTTTTATTATTCATGTATTTATAAATTAATAAGCACACTAACAATAACATGTTTAAATAATTCAATACACTTAGTCAACAAAGAAATGCATATCAATTACAAGTATACATTGGTTTTGTAATAATAACATTAACTAGCGGCTCACCCTCACTTGGCTCATGTTCATCCCCACTTACGTTTTAACGTTTAGTATAATGTTTTGACTAGAATAACGGGCTATCATTATACCAAATTTTATCAAAATCCTTCCAGTGGTTTTTTCGTGATGTGGTCACAGACAGACAGACAAAAATTCTAAAAACTATAGATTCGGGGTCTGTATTGATGATAAGGTCTATTTCAATAAGATTTTTCAAAAAATGTTAAATTTATAGATTCGGCTTAGTTACTATTTTATTACTGGTACGTATAGATAAGTTCTTTTTTTAAAGTATCATATAATAATTTTAACATTTTATATGTCAATAATATAATAATTAGGAGTAAATAGTTGTATAAAAGAAATAGAAAAAGTAAGAACAAGATTATTTGAATAAACAAAAAAAAATTAATTTAAAATCTTATATTTATTAGGTACATTTAAGAGGCAGTATTTTAGTGCACGTTTAGTGTATTTTAGTGCACTCTCATTTTGCTCGAGTGCATCCTTAGGGATTGAGGAACACATAGAAGAAAATCATACAAAGTAACATTCATTTTTATTTATACAGATATAGAAATAAAAAATGTAGAAATAGTAAAAAGTATATATACTTTACACATTATTATTTATTAACTTTTGAAAGTTTATAATTAAATGTGCGATTGACTATTTTGTCGAAATACTATATGTTTTCTTATATCTTTAACATAATTATTGTCATAAGCATTACTTTAAAGGTTTCATGAATGGAAAGAGATTGTCATAATGAAATGCTGTCATAAATTCCTTAACATTGCAGCAAAACACGAAACCCTTTGAAGGATCATGCCATTGAGAGCCATACATCCACTTTGTTTTGTTGCAAATATCCCTTTTGCAAGGAATTTGCTTTAGAGCTTCTGTAACTTCTAGGTTTGGAGTATTCATTACAACAATTGCGAGTCCTTCTTCATTCCCTCGTTCTCGTGGGTTTTGTCTATATATCACTAACTAAAAAGTAAAATTTTGAGATTAGTATCTGTCTCCAAAAAGTTGTTTTGTAGAAGGTTATATAAAACCCTTCTTTGGTGTTCTAATGGCTAGCATGTACGACTGCAGATCCTAGGTCCGGAGGCCCTAGGTTCGAGTCCCATGTTGTGCCTAGTTCAGTTGAGTGTTTCTGTTTATAAATTCTCGGTAGCCGATCGGAGTTATGAGTTAGCAGTATTTGACCCCCGTGCCTCAGAGAGCACGAACGGTCCTGCGCCTGAGCTGTCACCAATCATGTCAAATTATGAAGAGTGCGCATAAGTCTGCGAGGACAGTTATGCTCTATAATATCTACTACGAAAATGGCTAATCTTCAGGAGATTGGCCGCCGTAGCGAAATAGAACAATCAGTAGGACGTTATATAAAATATAACCTATATATACCTGTATAACCTATATATTTAATGATAGGAAATGTAGCTACATAAACATACGATCATATATTGATTTGTTCAAGGCATACGTTAGCGATTTTAAACAACTAGCGTCGCATAAAACTTTTTAACGATATTATGGAAATCGTTCTTATGCTGACTTACGTCGGTCTTTTTAGGAACTACTTGACTTTCTACAAATGATATCGCTAAAAGAAATTTCAATATATAAAATACATATGGGCTAGTACATTATGCTTAGATAAGAGTTTATCTAGGCCTTCAATTATGAGGATTGAGGATATATTTAAGTAATGTTATGTTGATAATAGATAGTGATCTGGACTAAAATTTTATTCGCCAATAGAAACATTATAATTCAGCGAATGGCGACTAAATGTAAAAACATACTATATTTATATTTTTGTTTTAAATAAATAATTTCAATTTCATTTAACACAGATGGCAGTGCAACTTAAAGTAGGTTACTGGAAAATATATTTTTAAATTTAATTGTTAGTGTGAATTGTATTGATATGATAAATAAATAAATACCTTCCATATAAAACGTGGAACTCTTTGTATACGATCATATCTATCATTTATTGTAACAAATGTATCGATTTTTTGATTAGGAAGTTTTATTGATTCCGAAGTTCCTGTCCACACTTCCAATAAAGTGCTCCTCGACGCAGCAAGAAATCTTATACGTCGTTCTACTTCGTCCCAGTTCTAAAAAAAGTAATATAAAAAAGTAATTCTTAGTAAACCACCTATGACTTAATTTTTATAGGCCATGAGTGATAAACATATTTTTTAAATTTCTCATTCCATGAAAAAATACAAAAAGTAGTTTTAACTTAAGTTAGTAACTTACAGAAAAAGCGAGAAAATAATGATAATATTAATTTTGACATCCATACTAATATTATAAATGTTAAAGTGTGTTTGAATGTTTGTTTGTTTTCCCTTCTTTCACGTCGAAACAGAGTAACCGATTGGCGTGTGTTTTTTTATGTAAAAATAGTTGGAGGGCTGGAGAGTCACATACGCTACTTTGTACTCCCGGAAAACACGTTATAATACAACCCAAAAAATTATTTATGATCAAAATTACTTGAAACTTAGTATCAAGGCTCTTTAATACAATTTAATAAATACGTGTTTTAGCGTTTTTGAAATTCATCCCATAAGACGGTAAAATATGGGATGAAAGTTGGTATGAAGCCTACCTTTTTAGAGTTCTACTTTGTAATTTTAACGTGAACGAAGCCGCGGGTTCTGCTAGTACTCGAATAGATTTGAAAAAAATAAAAAGATTACTAAGATTTATGGCAGTAACTTAATAACTTACAGAGAGAAACGCACAGGGAGGTGGCCCACTTCGGTGGGCGGTGGGAGGTGGCCCTCTTCGGAGGGCGGTGTACCATGCGGGTTGCTCCTGGTACTTCTCTGATAGCAGAGTGGACCTTGGAGCAACTCCCGTGGTTGTTGTGGTCTGCTTCGGCAGACTTGCCGTCGGGGCGTCGTAGTTGAATGTCGAGAGTCGAGTTGACTTAAACATCGAAATTAATGTGTTTGACTCTTAATTAACGAAATATTCAAATACTTAAATAGGCTTTTTTATGGCTATTATACGCTACAAAGAAGTTTACGTTGCAATTTAAGCTCATTTTAAATATCACCCGACTTGAAACCCATGAAATATGTATATCTAAACAGAGCAAATATATCTAAACACGGCTCAATTTCTCTGTTATGTATGCTGACGGGGACAAGTGAAATGATTGGTAGTTGGATACGCACTGATTTATAGCACGACAAGCTTCGCGTTGTGGGCGCAGCCACTAAGTACCTTTTTAAGGTTTACGCACACACATAAATTATAACATTCTCCGAAAATGAAAACTTACTGTGGACGATATTGTTATAGCACACAAAGGTGGAAATGAAGCACTTAGTAAATAAAACTGGCAGTGGTAGCAGTGGCAACGCGTTCGCTGGGGAAACCAAGTGAAGCGGGTTCAAATCCGATGAAGGAAACCGGCATGCATGTCTGAGGGAACCTAGCAAGTTTTCGTAAGATATGCGAATTCTACCTACCCGCATTTGGCCTTTTGCAGCCTCATAAAATGTATCAACCCTGAAAAAAACTTCATGAGTGCACAGACAGTGGTAGTGGTAACGAACGTACAAAAAGAACTAGAAAAAGGGTAAGTAAGGTTAAGTGAAAAACATAGTAAATATCCCGTTTTACATCGTAAAAATATTTTCAGTGACCAATAATATTATCTATTTTCTATTTTGTACATGAATGCATGCATTACGACAACTCACCTCCGTTCCACAAGTGCTCCATTGAGGAATAACATTCACGTAAGTATAAGTTGCTATTTGAGCTATTCCTGGCAACATGTCCTTTGGACTCACAAGCTGCTTTCTGGTAAAACAGCACTTATTACCTTCACTTAAATTTACGCCAGTTTTAGCATAAATAGATTTCAGTTGGTTACTACAATCGTATAGATCCTCAAATATAAATGGCATATATGGAGATTTAACGTAGTGTACTAATTCTGTTGGTATACTATTTGCCATGTTTTCATTCAAAGCATATTTTATAAAACATGGATAATTTTTGATTTTATCAATACAAACATCATATACGCTTATAAAAGATGTTTTCACTTCAAATCCAACTTGTACTAGTTCAGAATTACCCTTAATACAGCGTTCATTGGTACCTTGTATTTTTATATTGATAGGACGGTCGCATTTCAGTTTTGATATGTCGATGTTTCCAAAATCTGTTTTAAATATGGTCTTTCCAATGCATTTCGCCCATAGTGGAGAAATGAATTTTCTTTCACCATCGGATATATATTCATTTAAACAATCTATTTTAATTTCAGTATTTATTGTTTTTTTATCAGTCAATATCCATGAAGAATTAGGTTCCAGAAAGAGTGGCATATTTCTATTAAACGTCATATTCATTTGACATACTGGAAAAAAGTTAAATCAAATTTCAATAGTTATTTTTTATTTTAATCATTATTTGCTAGAATTAAAGAAAAAGTATATTTTATTCATATACTAGTTTAACCTACATAATATATTTTCTCTTAATCTTACATACATGAGTCCATAAAAAAGAGAGCTCACTCTCTGTATCGGACGGGCTGATAATAACTTTAAACATTACTGTATTTTAATCAAAATCAAACAAAAAGATTTTCCGAATATATTTATAATTAGCATGTTTGTATGTTCGTGATTTTTTACAAAACATCGATAAAGTTATAAAGTATATAAACAAGGAATATTTTAGTTTATAAGACAATTTTAGGATTACGAGTATTATACTAATTTATAAATAATAGGAGATTAAGCGAAATGTAATAAGCGAAAAAGAAAAAAAAAACACTTAAAATATGACATTTACTTTACAGCTAAGTTTTTTGTCAAACAAATGCAACGTTACCCACCCATTAAGTTGTAATATCTACTGTGTAGATTGTAACATTCAAGAAAATAGGAATTAAGATGTAAGTGGCCTTTTATTTCTCCTTCTTCGTCAACAATATTTATTTTTAAGTTAGAAACTATTTATGTTAGTTTGTGAAGCTATACATACTTACAATGAATTTAGACTCTCAATAGCAGTTAATAAAATTACGCACATCTTATGGAATTAAATATACAAAAAGGTGTATACTTATTACAAGGTATCTTGTAACATTAATCAGCCTTTGAATCAGTTTCTTTCCATATCTGAGTTATAGTTACATAATACAAACAAAGAGTTTCTCCTAAACAATGTACTCTAAAACCAATTCGCTTTTCTTTGAATTTCTATAATTTTTACTGCAAATTAGATAATACCAATACCACACCTCAGATTCGAATTATGAATTGGACTTCAAAAACTTTTTACTTCTTTCTACGTCATCTTTATTTTCTGCTGAATACCCTTGCCTTTCCCTTTGTTTTATTTTGATTATCTTTTTTATTTCTTATTTCATTATTTTACACGTCACTGTTAAAACTTAAGTACTTTTTAGTTGTATCACCAAAATAACCAGTTGATTTAGTTTTATGATAATGATTTAGTTAGTTGAGTTTTATTTTGAATCAAACTTGTTCGCGCCGACTACCAAAGACTTTTCGCGCTGATTGTTGGACAGTCGCACTTACGACGACTAGATATTAAAAATATTTTTTATTATGTTCGCCGTGATAATATATTATGTACCTATATGTTATAACTTATAAATTGCTATGTTTTTGAATTGGTTTGTTTTTATTTTATTCAGTTGTAAAACTTACATTTATTCAGGATATTTATTTTTTTTCTTTTATAGTGAGCATTTTTCTTTTTCTATAATATAAGAATACCGTCGACGGACTTGTGTATTTTATAAAGAGTTTTTGAAAACTTGTTTAAATATAGGTTAATATAGATATTTTAAAAATTTATTAAAGCGCTACTACACAGAAGCATGTATATTGTAAATACGCGTAAATAACTTTGGTTGTATCTAGAGTATTAATAATCTAAATAATCCAGAAAAACTTGACATTTACATAAAGGTACTAAGCCAGTATTTTTAAATAAAAAATCGCAATTTACCCTACACAAATCATGCACCACTATTATATTCTAGCCCTGGATGCCAAGACAATATCTGACAAAGTATGACGAAATCCTTCAAATAGGTACAACACAAAAGGTTTAATACTAATCAATTTTAAATTAGCCTGAAAGAGCTCACCATCTATTACTTTCACATTATTCAGTTTGACAACCTAATTATATTCATATATTTTAAATAAAACTATCTTTTCGGATTTTGTCGCGGATTTATTTGCATTTTTGTTTCCCGACGTTTCGAATGCTTTACAGCATCCATGGTCACGGGAGAGACTGAGGTGTTACATGTCTTGGAGGTATAGTTGTTACAGACAGCCTACCCACAATTAACAAAATGAAAATTGCACCAATTACATTACATTATTTTTTAACTTTAAACATTTTTATAATTTTAATTATAATTGAATATGGAATATTATTTATCTAATTTTTGCTATTATTTTTATAATTATTACAATTTTAAAATATTAATTAGTAATCTATATTTAGTGTTGCCATTATTATATTTATAACCTTAAAGAAAAATATAAAATATAGTGTTAATTATTTAAGGCATATAATTGTTCTATGTGTAATTTAAAAAAGTTAAAGTTAATTAAGGATAATTATTTTAATTTAGTTTGCTATTATTTAAAAACAACTTACTAAGCAACACTATTACTATATACTTTTACAAATGAGAAATGAAAAATATTAATCTGATAAGCTGTCATTTTGATCTACACAGTAAGAACTTACTACATCTACCTGTCTGTTATGTTTATATTTATTATTTGATTTTATTATATTAATAACAGGATCCCATGACGATGGTAGTACCCAGCCATCTTCCCTGTTGAAATTAGGATGTTTTTTTAATTTCTATGGCTTCTCGAATCATTCTAGGGCGATATCGGTTTTCTTTCGCCAGGATTTGAGGTCTATCAAAGCGAATGTAATGGCTTGGGCGGTCCTGGCTATGTTTGCAGACAGCAGATGTTGTATTGCGACGGTGCTTCACATCAGCTATGTGTTCTTTGACCCGGGTTCCAATGGATCGCTTTGTTTGTCCGATGTAAGAGAGCCCACAATCACAATCAAGTTTGTAAACTCCTGCATCTTGTAAAGGGATGTGGCACTTGACAGGTGGCATTGTGCCACCGTCGTGATGGATACATCAGATTACAATGACAAAATTAAACAACTTTTGTCGGATGAAAGTACATATAAAAAGGTCAAAACAGACCCAACCACCACTGTTTTAAATAATACAAAAAAGTTAATTAAGAAAAACTCCGACGCATTTAATCTTGATGTTAAAAACCTTATTCCATCTTGTGCAAAGCCGCCTAAACTTTATGGTGTTCCAAAGATACACAAGCCCAACGCTCCGCTACGTCCAATTGTAAGTCAAATTGACACACCAACTTATAAATTGGCCCAACTAGTAGCGAAAGTACTCTCAACACTCAAGAGGACAATCATCAGCGTTCACAAAGGACTCTTACCATTTTGTTAATGAGATAAAACACCTACAACTCATGGACAATGAAAAGATGGTTAGTTTTGACGTACAGTCTCTATTTACCAGCCTACCAGTAGAGGACTGTGTCAAAATAGTATCAAGGAAGCTACTGGACAATAACATGCAAGAAGAATACACTGAACTTTTGAAACACTACCTTACATCTGGCTATCTATTGTGGAATGATGAATTCTACAAGCAAGTGGATGGAGTGGCCATGGGATCGCCAGTCTCTCCCGTTGTAGCTGACATCTTCATGGAGGCCTTCGAGGAGACTGCCCTAAGAACATCACCTGTGACCCCTCGTTTCTACAAGCGGTATGTAGATGACACTTTCACAATATTACCATCTGATAAAATCTCTGTATTCTTAGAACATCTTAACTCCATAAACCCTAAAATACAATTTACAATGGAACGGGAGTCTAATAATTCTTTAGCTTTCTTAGATGTATTAGTTATACGTAAACCAGATAACACCCTGAGTCATACAGTGTATCGAAAAAAGACCCATACAGATAGGTACTTGAATGGTGAATCTCACCACCACCCTTCACAGTTAGCTACCGTGGGAAAATCTTTGTTTCAGAGGGCGCGCGGGATCTGTGACGAGCAACACCTGGCCGGAGAACTGCAACATGTCAAGCAAGTTCTGCGAGACAACAAGCTGAAAGTGCCGCGCCTACGTCACAGGGACCGTGTGAAACCAGGCACAGTCGAGCGCGTCCCTGCAGTCTTACCTTACATGAGAGGCGTCACAGACAAGATTGGCTACATTCTAAAGCGAGCTTCAATTAAAATTTACTTCAAGCCGCCAAAGAAAATTAGTCAGTTTTTACCACCTGTCAAGTGCCACATCCCTTTACAAGATGCAGGAGTTTACAAACTTGATTGTGATTGTGGGCTCTCTTACATCGGACAAACAAAGCGATCCATTGGAACCCGGGTCAAAGAACACATAGCTGATGTGAAGCACCGTCGCAATACAACATCTGCTGTCTGCAAACATAGCCAGGACCGCCCAAGCCATTACATTCGCTTTGATAGACCTCAAATCCTGGCGAAAGAAAACCGATATCGCCCTAGAATGATTCGAGAAGCCATAGAAATTAAAAAACATCCTAATTTCAACAGGGAAGATGGCTGGGTACTACCATCGTCATGGGATCCTGTTATTAATATAATAAAATCAAATAATAAATATAAACATAACAGACAGGTAGATGTAGTAAGTTCTTACTGTGTAGATCAAAATGACAGCTTATCAGATTAATATTTTTCATTTCTCATTTGTAAAAGTATATAGTAATAGTGTTGCTTAGTAAGTTGTTTTTAAATAATAGCAAACTAAATTAAAATAATTATCCTTAATTAACTTTAACTTTTTTAAATTACACATAGAACAATTATATGCCTTAAATAATTAACACTATATTTTATATTTTTCTTTAAGGTTATAAATATAATAATGGCAACACTAAATATAGATTACTAATTAATATTTTAAAATTGTAATAATTATAAAAATAATAGCAAAAATTAGATAAATAATATTCCATATTCAATTATAATTAAAATTATAAAAATGTTTAAAGTTAAAAAATAATGTAATGTAATTGGTGCAATTTTCATTTTGTTAATTGTGGGTAGGCTGTCTGTAACAACTATACCTCCAAGACATGTAACACCTCAGTCTCTCCCGTGACCATGGATGCTGTAAAGCATTCGAAACGTTGGGAAACAAAAATGCAAATAAATCCGCGACAAAATCCGAAAAGATAGTTTTATTTAAAATGTCAAATATTCGTGTAAGTCTAAGAAAGTATTATATTCATATATATTTTATAATATTACATACCGAGATCACTTTGGATTTCAAAGATGCGGTTAATAGAGCCGAAAATGTTGCTTACAATGCATTCATATTTTCCAATACAATCAGAAGTCATTTTAAAGTTAAAATGGGTGTTTTTTTCTAATATCTTTTTTGAAGCCTTAAACCATATTATCTGTAAATATAAAAGTACGGAAAACAAGTGATTGCCGCTTATTGGATAGGTGAAAGAAAACTTCAAGACATTTAGTCAATTAGTACGTTCGAAAGTGAAACTAAAAAGAAAAATAGTATCATTGGAGACATGACGTATAAGGTAGTTACTTTGCAAGTATTGCGAGTACAAGTGGACAAATCAATATAAAGTGATTTCCGCATCAGACACATAAATTAGGATGTATCTGGAATTTCAGATAAAAGAGTATATTATAAAGATATAGAGGAAAAATTTATCTTAATCATAAACATCTACACACACAAATACGTATGTAAGCATTTTGATCATATAAAAATGAATTAGCAGTATGCTAGGTAAGTATAAAAATTACCGTAGGAACAGGTTCTCCATAAGCGTTACAATCTAAAGACACATCGCCGTTTTCTTCAAAAGGTATATATTTTTTTACTTTAACTCTGAAATATGGCTTAATACCTACAATGATTTTCATATGAGTTGAGTTTGAGCCATTCATTTTGCTGACACGACAAGAATATACACCACTGTCAGCCTTTGTCATGTTAAATAATTTTAAGGTACAAGGAGTATCTGTACAGTTCTTGATTATATGTCCATCCTGAAATACATAAAATAATACAGAACTAAATTATTAAGAAATAAGAGAATGTTTGAAACCCAAAAACCAGTAACAACCCAATGACACCAATATCAAGTGAAGACGATAAAGAAGAAAGGTATGCTACTATTCTATTTCATAAATACTTAGGTACTAGGTAGTTAGGTATTGTCTGACAATTAAACGCCTCAATCAATCTAAAGAGCAAATCAATCGAAGCCGATGTCATGGAGAGAGGTATTTGAAAGGTATAATTTTAGTAAGTTTATCATTAGAACTTACGCAATAGAGAATATGCATGTTTTTTTATGTCTTATACAATAGCTTACATCGTTATATAATTTTAAAAAAATATCCAGCACTAAAAAACTTAAATTTAGTACAAATAATATTTTTTTAAATATCATACAGTTACGAATAGGTACTTTAACTTTATGCCATTTCGCTTGGCGTGACGTACAATATGATATACACAGGCAAATGACGACTCAATTTGTAAGCGCCAAAACCGCTAGTCGCTCTGTTATGCTAACTCTGACGTCATATTCGGTCAGACCAATGGCGCTGCGTTTCAACTACTTTAAATTTCCCACCTGTTTTTGCATATTTTAATATATTTTTTCTTAATCAAAAAGAAATTACTTAAAAATATTAATATAGGCTTAATTCAAAAGCAATAAAGATTATAAAAACAACTATTTCCCCTTCATTTAAATCACAGGCATATAAAACTCACGTGCATCCGGAAACATATAATTAATAACTGATTACCTTGTACCAGCGGGTATAATGTTCACCATAAACACTAATATCTGGACAGTTGAGTGTACCAGTACTTCTCTCAATATATGTAGTAGTTTTCATTACATCTTCTGTACGTGGATATGGAAAATCTGGAAATGACATATATATATATATATATATATATATATATATATATATATATTTACATTTCATAATAATTGACTAGAGTACTCGCGGTACCGCCCGCGCGTTGTCCAATCTCTTAAATATTGTAGCGACATGTTAGAAACTCTATAAACTTCCCCTAAGCCTCTTAAGTTTTGGGCTGGTAACTCCAGATATTAAAATCGAGTGTTTGAAGAATTTAAAAATAAGTGCACAAATTTAAAAAGTAATCTTTTGAAAATCGTTTCGGCTAACAAAACAATACCAATGAATAAAGCTGAAGAGTTTGTTTTTTTGGTTGTTTGAACTCTATAACACGGGCGAAGTCACGGACGGACTCTAATACTTCTAATAATATTAGAAGTATTAGAGTCATGTGACCATAATTGCTGTAAAGCATTCGTAACGTCGGGAACCAAAAATCAAAATAAATCCGCGAAAAATTCGTTCAAATCGAATGTTTTATAAAATATGGCTTCGATGGCAAATGTAAAGATGACATTATGAAATTTTGATGATGATGATTTCATGAAATTTGAATACATTTTTCAATAGAGCTTCATTAGAAACATGTTTTTTTCGCAGGCGATCTTACCTCTTATCTGTATTTCGTATTCATGAGAAGCACTACCATAAGCATTTTTGGCGATACACTTATATAGGCCTTCGCTATTTTTGGTAATTTTCTTTAGTATCAGAGTGTTAGAACTGTTAATAATATATTCACCCATACCTGAAATTAAAGTAAAAAATATTTTAATAATATATTTTTTATAAATAACTAATAGGCATATAATGGTATTTAATTTTGAGCCTTATAATTCATATACAATATCAGTACATAATATTATATACTCATATAAAATAAATAAAATACCTTCACTTATTATAGTCTTTCCTTTTGTTCTGTCATTTGTTTTGTACTCCCAACTAATAGTTGGTACAGGAACATTAAGTGTGTCACATGGTACGTATAACACCAAGTCACCTACAACGCCTTCCAAAATGTTGGTCATAGGTTTAAATTGCGGGGCAGCTGAAAATTACACAAAGTTACTATAATTTTAATTATTAACCATAATTCTAGTACTTAGACTTGAAGGTAAGGTCTGCACGATGAAAATAATTGACCTGAGTGGTCTAAGCCAAGATGCTTTTTACATGCTGATTTCCGCTTAAGCCATGCTCGCGATTTCGAGATATCTTTTGGGTTTAGAAAAGTAAAATGATACCTGCAATATGTACAAAGATTGACATTTGGCTCTGACCTCCTGAATTCCCGGCCACACAAACATACTCTCCAGCATCATATAACTGCACTTTGATTTCATATATACTATTAACACTAAACAAATATATTATATAGAATAAATATATAACATAATAAGTTAATTATTCATTTTGCTGATTTTTTATGCTTAATCTACACTTATATTACAAAGAGGTAAAGTTTGTGAGGTTGTAGGGGGTAATTTCTGGATCTACGGAACCGATTTAAATGAAATTTAGTAAACAGACAGTTTGAGTTGAAAATGGGGAAGAAAATTTGTACAGGTACCCACCCTGGGGATGAACCCGAGCGAAGCGAGGGTGAGTCGCTAGTAAATTGAAGATGTTTTCCTGACCGATTCCGGCCACGGCGGCCAATCTCATTGAGACTAGCCAACTGCGCAGGAGATATTATAGTGCACAATTGTACGCGCAGACACAAGTGCACTCTCTATTCCTGTCACTCTCATATTCTGGTGGGACGACCACTCGACACGACCAGTAAGAGTTAAGGCGCAGGACCGACGGCTGTACGTGCTCTCCAAAGCACGGGGGTGAAACACCGCCATCTTCTCAACTCCGGGCTTTTACTGAGGTTTAATATACAGAAAGACTCAATAACTAAACTTGGCCCGACCCGGGACTTGAACCCTGGACCTCCGGGTGTGCAGCCGTACATGCTAGCCACTACACCACCGAGGCAGTTAAGTAAACTATTTAGTCAATAACTGTCTAACGAGTGTTACCTTTTATTTACTGACATCATTTCCTTATCAAAACTGTTATATAACCATTTAATCTTCGGTTCCGGAAGACCATGGGCCTTACATGTCAACTTTAATTGTTCTCCTGTTCTTAAAGTTATGTTACTTGAATCAGGGGGATCTATTGTTGGAGACACTAAAAATATACGTAATTTATATTAAAAAATACTGATCACAAAACTGAGCTCGATATTAAAAAAAGTTTTTTTTTAGAAAATACAGTACTACGTAATTTCAATCTTTATTTGTTACAGCTTTTATACTTACTAAAAGGAAACACTTTTATTGTTCGCTTCGTGACACCAATTTTATTTTGCGCCCGACATGAATAATCACCTTTATCATTAATTGAAACTGTAAAACTAAAAATTACACAAATTTAGGTCCAGTATTTCCTTTACTTGTAAATTTTTAATAACTAAATTATAATGGTAGATTTTTTACTGTTTGGTTTAAAATAGTCAAAGTATAAAACTGTTAACACAGTAATTTCAATATATTTAACTGCCCCGTTAATCCAATGGCTAGTATGCACGGCTACAGGTTTTCAGGTCCTAGGTCCACCCAAATATAGTAATTGAGTTTTTCAGTCAAGAAATGATCAGTAATACTCGGAGTTAAGTAGTTGGTGGTTTACCCCCGTGCTTCGTAGGGCGGTCCTCATTGTTCTTGTCGAGTCATCATTCCGGAAATGAGAGTGACAGGAGTAGAGTGCACTTGTATTTGAGCACATATTTGTGCATTGTGTATTTCTCCTGCGCAGATGACTAGTCTCATTGAGATTGGCCGCCGTTGCCAAAATCAACCACTAGAGCATTATTAACATCTTAATGATATTTGAGTGTGTAATAAAAAGTGAAGCTTATGAAATAAGATTTTAGTAAATCTACAGTTACCACTTTATATTCGAGGTTAAAATTTAAGCTGAAGGACTATTTATTGTACACCACTAAATATGTATAAGACATTGCCAAAACCACATCAACAGCTGCACATATTTAGAGGGGTGACAGTTTTTTACGGGAACCATTGCGTTTATGAACAAAAAGGGCCCTGGAACAGATTTTAAGGCGCAAAGGTATTGTGCCTCACTAAAAGTTACAATGCTACTTTTACGCACCTTAAGTTATTATTTCTGGTAATGAAATATTTACTTGAAATTTTTTCAACTTCCGTATTATTGACAAACCAATGCACAGTAGCTCTTGGAGTTGCACTTACTTCACAAGGTAACGTTGCCTTTTCCCCAATTTTAAAGCTTACTCTGGGATTTGACTTCGTTATAACCGGAGCATCTAGATTAACATATTAACAATTAATTTTACCATTAACAGTGTAAATAATACGCATGAGATAAATGCTCTAATTAATACAAATAAATAATTCCTATCAGCAGTACCGAAGATGTACTGCCCCGACCCAAGTGATTGGGAAATGGACAGGGAGATGATAAAACAATAATATAACTTTGAAATTAAAATTTAAAAATACCCCAACACAACCTATTCACTGAGGCCATACTGCAGTACTTTAGTAGTAAGTAAAGAGTTGAGTATCTTGCAGATTCCAGGTGACACTACAGCATCAGGCCTACGCTACCATATATACCATTGCAATATCAATTAAGTAACGTGATACCAACTTTCGGATCGATTAGATCTGTGAAAGATGTTCATATTCTTTTACAGTCTAGAAAAGAACTGAAAGTCTGCAAATGGATAAACGGATGGTTTCGACTTATAGCTAAGAACACACTGGATAATGTCACCTTTGAAACAAAACACTAAATTAAAATTAGTTCATATAATTGGGCGCTACACTGCCACACACAAATACACAAATACACAAGTTAAACTTATAAATCCCCTCTTTTTGCATCTGGGATTAATAAATTAAAAATGAAACTCTTTTTATATTGTACTAATTTAGTAGGTCCTATTTGTCTTTGTATATTGTAATTATATAATTATACAAACGTTGCAAATACATACATTCAACAACTACTTCAATTTCAAATTTGTCGTATGCTAAGTCATTTTTGGCTATGCACCTGTAAACTCCACTATGTTCTATTTCAACTTGCTTCAAGTGAAGAACGTTATCACGTTCAGTATCTAGATTTTCAAATTCAGTCGAAGAATAATTTTTTTTATACGACCATGAAATGACAGGTTCTGGTTTACCCTTGATAATGCTAAAAATAATAGAAAGAAATCTGTTATCAAAATTTTAAATTCTATTATTATTCATTTAAAATTTGTATCACCAAGTTATTTTTACAAAAAAATCATAATTTAAACTGAATAGTATATATTTTAGTAATAAGTATAATTGACAAGATTTAATATTTCGTGTAATATAGTCATTAAACTACTCTACTGTGAAGTAAAGATGGAAATAATTTTAATAATTCTGAATACCTGCAATATATATCTAGATCTGAACCCTTAATAGGAAAATATGTTGCAATAGTTTTATTAATTATTGGAGGTTCTGAAAAAAGAATCAATAATTAATAAGAATAAAATTATATTAACTTTTTCATATATTTGCGTAGAAACGCAAGAATTGAAAATTTTCTCTTCTATGTTAGATCAAAATCTTTATATTATATTTAAACGATTCAAGTTATTTATTAAAAATATACAATACTTAAGATAATTGCTTTTATAAAAGCGCACCGAGATGTAACATTACAAAACTTACCTGCACCAACAATAAAGACGTTGAATAAAATTTTTTCTGTTTTAAACTTATTAGATATTTCGACATAGTATTTCCCTTTTAAGTAAGGTTGCATTTGTTTTATTCTCAACGTTATATTATCCGGTGTTATTTCTAAATCTTCATTGTTACTTAGTTTTTTATTATTTCTATACCAAGAAATTTGAGCAGGTGGATAGGCATCGATCTTACATTTTAGTTCTTTACTTTTCTTGTACTCTATTTTAATATCTAAATAAAAGAAATTATATTCATATACATTTTTTTGTTACACATACAAAAAATCTAAGTACGTTGTAACATTACCTTACCTTTTGGATATTCGAATATATTCAAAAACATATTTTGTTTTACCTCTAAGACCACTGATTTCTCGTCGTAACCTTCCTCATTTTTAGCCTTACAAGTCAATGTAGTATTCTTATCAGCTTTTGTTATATTTAAAATACTCAAATACTTGGGAGAGTCCAAATCCGTAACCTTAAGAAAGTGTATTTCCAAGTTTATTTAATATTTTATAATATGAAAACAAGTTCATTATTTAGTAAACTACTATTTGATAGTATAGAAAGATAAAATAGTATAGAAATAAATAGTATAAAAATTGTCGTACATTTTTTTTAAATATATATCTGTTTGTGTCATCTGTTAAGAACCTTACCTTAGATTCAAAAAAATTACCATCATTATCCATCCATGTAATATTTGGCTTCGGGTTTGCACGAACTTGACATTTTATCGATATTACGTCATCAAATTCTAACTTTACATGCGAATCTCCTAGAATCGAAACTTGTGGAGGAACGTGGTTTGTTTCTTCTGCAATGCAAATTTTAATAATATATATTTATCAATTTATATAGCTTTATGTATGATACTAGCATTGCCAGCGGCTTCGCCCGCGTTCAGGTGACCAAAAGGTTTTACATATTAGTATTTTTTTTTTTTTTTATGGGACTAAGGGGGCAAACGGGCAGGAGGCTCACCTGATGAAAAGTGATCACCGCCGCCCATGGACATCTACAACACCGCAGGGCTTGCAGACGCGTTGCCGGCCTTTAAGAAAGGAATACGCTCTCTTCTTGAAGGTGGCCAGGTCGTAGCGGTTCGGAAAGACCGCCGGCGATAGCTCGTTCCACAGAGTGGTTGTGCGGGGCAGAAAATGCCTTAAAAATCGCACTGTTGTGGAACGCTGGACATCGAGATAGTGTGTGGGTGGAATTTACTATTTTGGCGCGATGTCCGATGGTGAAATTCAGCAGCCGGGATCAGTCCGAACAATTCCTCGGAACACTCCCCGTGATAGATGCGGTAGAAGATGCAGAGTGATCCAACATCTCTACGCAGAGCTAAAGGATCAAGCCGATCGGAGAGAGCTTGATCGTCGATCACTCGAATCGCCCTACGTTGAATGCGGTCAAATGGAAGTAGCTGGTACTGGGGAGCTCCCGCCCAAAGATGAGAACAGTACTCCATGTGGGGCCGAATTTGCGCCTTATAAAGAATAAGACGCTGACGCGACGTGAAGTACTGTCTCGCCTTGCTGAGCACACCAAGCTTCTTTGAGGCCAGTTTGGCCTTACCTTCCAATTGACCACGGAACTGGACGTTGCTCGAGATGTCGACGCCAAGTATTCCGATACTAGCTGTGGGAGACAGAGGAGTGTCCTCAAATTGAGGAGCTACGATAAATGGCGACTTTTTAGCGGTTAACGCGCAAACTTGTGTCTTTTTGGGGTTGAATTGGACTAAGTTTAGTCGACCCCAATCCGAGACTTTGGTTAACAGAGATTCGACTTCAGACACAAGTTTGTTCCGGCTCTCGTCGACGTATTCCCGAGAAATATTAGCGCGGCCAGTGTACAGCGCATCCACAGTGCTATCGTCTGCATAGCAATGAATGTTGCTAATTTGCAACATGTCATTGATATGCAGAAGGAACAGAGTAGGAGACAGTACACAGCCTTGTGGAACACCAGCATTGACATATTTAGGATCAGAGCAAGCACCGTCGACAACGACCTTAATGCTCCGATCTGCCAAAAAGCTGGTGATCCAGTTGCAAAATTTCTCGGGGAGCCCATAGGAAGGTAGCTTCGAAAGAAGCGCTTTGTGCCATACCCGATCAAAGGCCTTTGCTATGTCCAGACTGGCTGCAAGCGCCTGCAAGCGCCTCCCCCTTGGTCTCAACTGCTTCTGCCCATCTATGTGTCAGGTAAATTAGAAGATCACCGGCTGAGCGACCTCGACGGAAGCCGTACTGGCGGTCGCTAATCAGCCGGTGCTCTTCTAGGTACCGCAGGAGCTGGCAGTTGATAATGGACTCCATTATCTTAGAGAACAAGGAGGTAATGGCTATAGGCCTGTAATTGGACGGATCCGAGCGGTTGCCCTTTTTTGGGATCGGGTGCACTAAAGCGGCCTTCCAAGATTTCGGGACTACGCCTGATGAATAGGAGTACCGGAAAAGACGCGTTAAGACCGGTGCCAACTCCGGAGCACATGTCTTCAACACGATCGGAGGGATGCCATCGGGCCCACTCGACTTATGAATGTCCAAGGAAAGAAGTGCTTTGCGAACTGCACTTTGCCGGAACTGAACTTCCGGCATCGTAGTATCACACCGCGGGATTATCGGTGGTGAGTTTCCTTGGTCATTCAGAGTCGAATTGGACGCGAAGAGAGTGCCCAGTAGTTCGGCTTTCTCCTTCGCGGTATGAGCCAGCGAGTCATTCTCCGTGTGCAGAGGTGGAAAAGAAGGCTTACAGAAATTCCCTAAAACAGCTTTGGAGAGAGACCAAAACGCACGTGTTCCCGAAGGGAGACGCCCCAATCTCTCGCCAATTCTGCCGATGTGATTCGACTTCGCATTAGCAATACTACTTTTGAAGGACCTGGAGGAAAAGTTATACTCCTTTTTAAAGGCGCTAGTATTTACATCACTAGACGCCGACGCGACAGCCCAGGCTTGGTAGCATTCCAGCTTTCGGCGAGATGCCATCTTGCAGGAGTGACCAAACCAAGGCTGGGATTTGCCTCCGATGGGCACTGCAGAGAACGGAATAAATAGTTCTATACCCTGAAGTACCACATCGGTGACAGAATCAGCAACGACGTCTGGATCATCTGGCGAGAAGCAAATTTGCCCCCATGGGTAGGACGCAAAGAATGACCGCATCCCGTCCCAATCCGCTGACCTGTAATGCCATACACGGCGACAGCCCGCAAAGCGAGGCCGTGTTGAGCGCGTGACTGGCACTGTACTCCGGACAAGACAGTGGTCCGACGAGCCAAGAGGAGGATCGACGGAGACCAGGTAGCCGTCCGGATGAGAGGTTAACAGAAGGTCCAACAGGGAAGGTGTATGATCTTCCACATCAGGGATTCGCGTTGGCGAGGTAACCAGTTGTGTCAGATCACGTACCAATGTGAAATCGTGAACAGATCTCCCCGCATGATCGGTGGTACGTGATCTAAGCCATTCAGTATGATGGGCGTTAAAGTCGCCGAGAATCACGATCTCTGCGGATGGTATCTGCTGGAGCACGGAATCTGTAGCCATTTGCATGTGCTCAACGAGTCGGTCAGTTTCGGCATTGCCGCTATGAGACCTATACAGGCACGCGTAGATTCGCGGATGGTCGTCGCACTCTACACGTAGCCAGAGGATGGATAGGTCCCGCCCTTCAAGGCTGCTGAGGCGACGAGAGCAGATGTCCTCTCTGACGTACACGCACACTCCAGCCCGCGGTACAAAGGAATGCTCCAGATTATACCCCGGGTAAGAGAGGAAAGAGGTGTCAGCCGGGGACGATATCTGCGTCTCGGTAAGGAAGAGCAAGGCCGGCTTCGCCGTCTCAAGGTGGAAGTGGACGGCGTTCAAGTTGGAATTTAGTCCCCTTATGTTGCAGAAGTCCACAGCAATTGTGAAAGGGGTAGCCTTATGTTGCCTGCTCCGATTGCCCCGAACAGAAGACGAGAGCGCAAAATTGCCCCCCCCCCCAGAATTCGGAGGGCTGCCTGGGCACCCACGGTCAGGTAGTGTACGAGCTGAACTTGGATGCCCAGAGAGGGATTCTCCACCGCGATGTGCGCTGGTGGTACCCTCCTGGGGTAGACTGACCAAATTTCGCACTATCATAGATTTAGTGGTGTGGGGGAGGGGTGGGGAGTGGGCCTCCCGGGACTCTCACTTACCGAACGAAACGCGACAGCAAAGCTGCCACTTTACGCCGGACTTCTGTGAGAGAGTGGTACTTGACGGGACGTGCCGGCCCATTCGGCTGCTACCCGAAGGTAACTAGCATGGCACTACCACAGTTTTTGGTTGACTGATTGCACTGGTGGAATAATCTCTGTCACTAGATTATCCCACCAGCGGGCGGTGGGGTCGTCACGTCCCGACGCCGGAGTATACTCTTACATTGCAGTTTTTGTATTTTTTCTCAGAAATGAGACATTTTTGACCCGGATGACCAGCTATCATCATACCAAATTTCATCAAAATCTGTCCAATGGTTTTCTCGTGATGCGGTAACAGACAAAAATTCTAAAAACTATAGATTCGATCTCTGTATCTGTATGATATCTGTGTCTATTTCAATCAGATTTTCCAAAAAATATTCAATGTACAGATTCGACTTAGTTACAATTTTATTATATGTATAGATTTATCAATTTATATAGCTTTAGTACCATCTGCTTAGAGCCTTATTTCATTAGAAACCGACAGAAAGGATTTTTACAAAAAAAATCCATCCCACGGTAGCCGTACATTTTTCTAGCATAAAAAGTAACCAATGTGATATTGCAGAGTATCTGTCTTATGCCTTGCGATCTGGATCGTTCAGCCGTTCTGGCATGATTGAGTAACAAACATCCAACCAAACTTTAGCATTTATAATATTAATAAGATGTATTAATAATGGGATAAAAAAGCCTATGGAAGTTTTTTAATGTTTCATTAACTTGCCGTCAGAACGCATTAACCGCGATTTTTAAGCATGATATACATTTAGACAAACTTTCATCCCCTATTTTTCCCCCTTAGGGGAATAATATTAAAAAATTCTTTCTTAAATGATGCCTAGAGTATAAAATCATATTCTCTCCAAATTTTAATTATCTATCATCTAACATCTTCAGTTAGGGCTGAACGTTGATAAGTCAGTGAACCGTGACATTGCCTTGTATATATGTATAATGAAAATATGTATTGCGAGTGTACCTTAGGAGATAGATATATGATATTGTGGACTTTTCTGTTTTACCGTGGGAATGAAAGATTTTTCTGTAGTAAAAGGTATCCTAAATGTTAACCAGAGTAATAAGTTATCACTACCCAAAATTTAAAAGTTTATTTCATAAATACTAAGCAGTTGACAATCATAAGAAGTTTCTCTTTTGGACTCACAATATTTAAAAAGAATCTTAATTACCTATTTTAACTATATCCGGGTTGGGATGTTCGATTGTGGTTATTGTAACTCTTGTAATTTTTTCTTTTGATTTAGTTAAACCATGAATCTGTAAGCAGCAACATATACATTTAATTTAAGCCTTGGTTTATTAGTTTATTTTATAGAATATAGAATAATACAGGCAGTGGTAGCTCAGTGAAGCGCGAATGTAGCGGGTTCAAATCCCGGGTCTTGCACCTCTGATATTTCTATGTGCGAATCACTTCCAACATTAGGTACCACTTGTCTTACGATGAAGAAAAACATCGTGAGGAAACCTGCATGTCTGAAGAACCTAGCAAGTTTTGGAAAGACATGTACATTATAACGCAAACTTCGTCTAATGTGTAATTCAGAATCACAGTTAAGACTTATATCACTTACCGCTATTCGAAACATTGTAAAGGGAACATCAAAAGGTTCTGTGACGTAAAATTGTAGCTCGTCATTTTGTAGCTTCAAAGTCTCTGTTCTTAAAACATCTTCATTTTCATCAACTAAGTCAACGGTATCTAGCAAAACGTCTCTTGCACTATTATACAGTTCAATTGATAGAAAATGTTTATCTGAAATATATTTTTTTAAAATGTTATTATATTATTTTTTATCAAAAAATCTATTGCGTCTATTATAATAATAATAGATCTTTTTTTTTTTCAAGTAAGCATAACTGATAAAGTATCTACGTACACAATCTTACACAAAGCTACTACGTCATATTACTACTATTTTATTTAAACTTTTAAACTAATATCAATGAGTCAAGAAAAGGAACAGAGACAAAGATTCTAAGGAGCGGATAAAATGTTTACCTATTCTGGTAGGGTTGGCACAGTAGCATAAAATAAATAAACAAAACGTTTATCAGCTTTTTATTAAACAACTATGATATAATTTCTTTTTACAAATTACTTACTCTAAATTTTTTTAATTTTATTTTTAAATAATTTGTTTATTTAATTGAACGGTAAATTCTAAATTCAACTATTTTTTTTAAATAATCTAATGGAAAGCAGTCGCATGGCATATCAAATTTACATTCTTGCACACGCATTAAAACACTTTCAAACCGTAAAACAATAAACACGAAGCACAACTTCAAGCAGCGACGACTGAATCCTGAGTTTGAGCACACACCGAGCCCGTATAAACATAAACCGACTTTGAACCATGCACGACGAAGCCTAGTCAAAGTCTAGTATAGTATTATATTATGATCTGTGATGAAGCTTTGGATGTTCCTTTTCTATAGTCATATGCTAATACTATTGTTATATATTTTAAATCATAGTACCTGTTATTTTACCCGATGGTTTGATGGAAGTTTCTTTTAAAGAGGTTGGTAGTACGGTAGAAAATCCATGTTGGAAGCATATAGTAGTTGACGCGCTTACCGTAACTAAAGTTTTAACCTTAGTATTTAACTTAATAAAGTATACTCCATTTATTTCATTTTTTAATTGAAAAATCTTAAAAACAATAAAAACATACTTAATATTAGTTGTTGACTATCATGTAGGTATTTAGAATTCTTCTGACATTTAACTGTTTTATCAAAGACAATATACTTAAATATTAGTAATTATAACATACGATAATTACATATTACCAATAACCATGATATGGCCAATAAGACTTTTTTATACCAACTTTGTTTTTTTTCTGTAGATAAGAATTGTACTACTTCAACTTCTTTGCCATCGGAGTTAAAAACGGTGATGTCTGGATCAATGGATGAGACACAAATAAATACATCCGAAATTTTACTATCTATTGTGAACTGAAAAAATATATTTTACGTAGTAAATCGTAGAAGAAAGCGTAAAGACATACATGAAAATTAAATTAGTAAAAGATGCTACTATTGATTTACAAAGACAAATTAGCCTCTTATCTTTTGAACTACTTACTTGAACTTTTTGGTCAAATTTGTCCACAAATTTTTTTCGCTTTAGTACAGTAATTTTAGATTTTAAAGAATTCGCGACAAAGTCTATAACCTGAAAAATAAATGAATATGTAATAATCTATACATATAATAAAATTCTAACTAAGTCAAATCTGTACATTAAATATTTTTTGGGAAATCTAATTGAAATAGACATTATTATCGATACAGAGTCCGAATCTATAGTTTTTAGATTTTTTGTCTTTCTGTCTGTCTTTCTGTCTGTTTGTCTGTTACCGCGTCACGAGAAAACCACTGGACAGATTTTGATGAAATTGGTACGATGATAGCTGGTTATCCGGGTCAACATATAGGCTACTTTTTACCGCGGGAAAATATCTCAATTCTGAGAAAAAATACAAAAACACAAAAACTGCATTGTAAGGGTATACTAATATGTAAAACCTAAGAATTAGGTTTTTGGTCATCTGAACGCGGGCGGAGCCGCAGGCAATGCTAGTATTAATATAAAATACAAAAACACTTTCAGTTCATATTTTCAAATAATAATGTCCCTTAAAAATACTCTCATATTCTCTCTCTCATCTCATAAAAGCCAACTAAAAACATGAAAACAAGTTGACGAAAGAATCAATAGTATTATGCAGTCGGAGACACACGTTTCATCCTTTCCGCGAAATGTAGATACACCTCTGTGTACATATTATGTACATATATGTTTCGAGTATAAGTTTAAACTTACCCAGCTATGATGAATGGATTTGGCTGATTTTGGATTTTTTTTAATTTCCTATACAAAAACTAAAAAGTTTACCATTTGAGACTTTCTGCTAATATATTTTTTAAGGGTTGTCCCATGAAAATTAAGCAAGGTATTTCTAGTATAGTACATTAATTTTACAACTATATTTATTTTTTCTTTCGAGAATAACTCACATTCCATATAAAGTATAGTGAATTTCCCTCGTTTCGCTTGGATGAGTCTCTGGGTACGTTATAGATATGAATAGTTATTGCGAGTGTACCTTAGGAGAAAGACTTATGCCATTGCACATTTTTCTGCAGGCCTTACTAAGACCTATAATCTTCTAGTACATAGTTTTGATGTATCTTTTTAGGTTAAGCCAGCGTTAGACATGTAAATTTCTAAGAACGACTCGATAGAACCAGTTATTCTGTTTTTCAGTGGGGATGAAAGATTTTTCTGTAGTAAAAGGTATCCTAATTTTTTAAATCATTTTCAATGGGTAAAAGTTTTAGTTAATGGTATCAAAGACCCAAAAAAAAATTTATTCAAATCCATTCATTATAATTTTTTAACATACATTTTTTTGCATATTGAAGTAATCTATACTAATATTATAAAGAGGCAGAGTGTGTTTGTTCGTTCGTTCATTCGTTGCTTCTTTCACTCGCTAGCTAGTTTATAATAAAATAATATAATGTCGTGTTTTATATACATTTAGTGTTCTTTTTAATTTTTTTGTCCGTTATTTTTTCAAATTCTCAAATTTTCACTTAAAAATGAATCGAAATCAGAGAATCAGCCATAAATTGATTTACGAAGTAAAAATAACATTTTATAAAAATATACAGTAAAGTTAAAAAATATTGCAATATTCAAGTGATAGAATTGTTTATACCTTGGCAACGTCATCTTTTTCAATATTAAAGACATGTCCCGATGTCGCCTCTGCTAGCTTATCGTAAACAACAAAATATTTTTCCGAAGATTGAAATCTACAGCGTCCGGTCAAAAGAAAATTCACCTGTAATTTAATATTTCAAAATCATTATTATTTATCAAATTAATTAATATAAACATCTCAAATCGTAATACTTTCTTAGATTTACGCGAATATTTGACATTTTAAATAAAACTATCTTTTCGGATTTTGTCGCGGATTTATTTGGATTTTTGTTTCCCGACGTTTCGAATGCTTTACAGCATCCATGGTCACGGGAGAGACTGAGGTGTTACATGTCTTGAATGTATAGTTGTTACAGACAGCCTACCCACAATTAACAAAATGAAAACTGCACCAATTACATTACAATATTTTTTAACTTTAAACATTTTTATAATTTTAATTATAATTGAATATGGAAAATTATTTATTTAATTTTGCTATTATTTTTATAATTATTACAATTTTAAAATATTAATTAGTAATCTATATTTAGTGTTGCCATTATTATATTTATATAAATATATTTAAATATATTTATTTATATAAATATTAAATATATTTATTTATATAAATATTATATAAATATATTTAAATAAATATAATAATGGCAACACTAAATATAGATTACTAATTAATATTTTAAAATTGTAATAATTATAAAAATAATAGCAAAATTAAATAAATAATTTTCCATATTCAATTATAATTAAAATTATAAAAATGTTTAAAGTTAAAAAATATTGTAATGTAATTGGTGCAATTTTCATTTTGTTAATTGTGGGTAGGCTGTCTGTAACAACTATACATTCAAGACATGTAACACCTCAGTCTCTCCCGTGACCATGGATGCTGTAAAGCATTCGAAACGTCGGGAAACAAAAATCCAAATAAATCCGCGACAAAATCCGAAAAGATAGTTTTATTTAAAATCTCAAATCGTGTTCAAAGTCTTAGCAGTTACGTTTGTACAACTTTTTAAGAAGATATGAGTAATGCAATTTGATGGTATCGTAATAAGCACTTTTAATTTGGTTTTAATAAAGGTATCTTGTCTTCCAAAATGTTTAGTAGTTTAATAGAAAAAATTCAGCCACCTGAGTTGACTTTTTCTGGCTGAGACTTTTAACAACTTCCATTTTTGTATAATCATTAGCAGAGGCATCAGTAAATACATATATAAATGAGTTAGGATGAGTGATCTCCAGTGCTTGTTGAATGCCTGACATAGAAGCTTCAGGACAATAACCTCCCGTTACCAGCTCAATTTTGTTTAGAGCATTTTTGAATTCTTCTGCATTTCGGGTGACAGTACATACTTGCACTTCTGGAAAAATTATACAATATGCTTTGAACTACAGACTACTTATATTTAGTCGTTTTAAGTAAGTTTTGGAATACTTATAGATTTGGTCGTGCTCTCTTTTTTTTTATTTTTTTTTTTATTTTTATTTATTTATTTATTTCAGGCAATATTTACATAGGGATCTTAAATATGTAAACAGCGGCCCATAGCATATATACCTTAAAACTAACATATATATTAATTATAAAAAACTTAAAAACTATTTAACACGTAGTGCAGACGTGTAAGCTGTGTCGGCGGGCATACGACCTCGGAACTTCCGAAACACGACGCCCTGCGGCCAGAAGTCCTCCTTCATGAAGGTTGGCAGATGATGAGTCGGCACTCTCACCACAAACGAATTGAAACTCGTTTTGTGGCGAGGTACCAGTCGTTCAACCCTCAATTTGAAGTTGGACCTCTTCAGGACGTAGTCTACGACATCCTCGACCTTCGTAGACCAGTGCACTCGGGACACATACAGCGGCGTCGATGGTACGGCAGGACGCATCGGATGGTCTGGCTGGTTCGGAGCTGTGCCACAGATGTTACGGCATGAGGGCTTCTTTTTCTTCCTCTCCACTTTAGTGAAGCCCTCCTCGTCAGGTTGGATCTTCGTGGAACCCATCGAAGGCACCTGTTTGGCAGCTGGTTTGCTCCGGCTCTTCTTTTTCCCTCCATTCGAGGGCCGCTTCTTTGGCGGGGCGGGTGTAGGGGCGGGGGCAGGCGCGGCTGCGGCTGCAGCTGCGGCGTATGCACGCGGCGGGGTCATGACCGCGCTCGCACTCGACGTCATCAGCGGGGCCGGGGATCGGGTGGCGGGCGTCACTGTGTCGCGCGATTCACGCACCTCAGCAGTAATCGGAGGCGACGACAGACTGCTGATGGAGTCAATTTGTGCGCCGCGACGTGTGTTTATGTTAGTGACCTCCGGTGACCTACTTACAGAACCATTATTTTTGAACGATAATAATTCTGCACGCAGCTCACTGATGGTAGATTCGGAAATCTCTAACTTAAACTGCACCTCTGCCAGGCCAGCTTTCAGGATGGTGATATCCTTGAGCAGCCTGGTAACGTCAACGTGGTCGAACGTGACGGGAGGCAGCTTGTTCAGCTGCTTCGCCACGAAGGCGGGCACGTCGTCAGGATCGGTTATCTTCAGGAGATTAATGATGTCCTGAAGACTTCTCTCCCCCTTTTCATCCCTTCTACGGGTGGGCATTCGGTCGGCCTGGCCGAGAGTCTTATAGAGCAGCACTTTGCTCCTGCAAATCTCCTCTTCTTTAAAACTCGACTTGCAGATCCGCATGATGCTGACCTCGTCCATAGTGTCGATGGCGTGCTGTATAAACGCCAACAGCTCATTAGCTATGAGTTTTTCGGAACTCATAGCGGCGGTATCCGGCAGCGGCTAAGCCGCGCAGTACGCGAATCAAAATTCGGGTCATAGTGTGCAAGCAATGCGCGTCCGTTACCTAGCGCGCATTACTGACGACTGATATATGTTTTTAAAAAAATTCACGTTGTTGGCTTAGTATTTATATTTTTTGCTTTTCGTGATGCACAAGTAATTAATAGTTTTTTTACTAGTTTTTTATCAATTTATTTTAAATAAAGCCTATAACATGAAGCGTTATCCGTGTCCGCCAACCCGCACTTTTCAAAAGAGCTGAATACTATGAACTTTTATTATTATAGTTAAAATATTATACATCGATTTGTGATGTATTTACTATATTTATTCTAAATCAAAGTAAATCTATATTGAAATAGATTTGCTTTGCTTAAAAATACCTCCAATTAAGGAAAAAAATCTTAAATTTTAAGCTATTGCATAGCTTCTATCGCGGGCCTTGAGCGTGGGGACCGAATCCAGAAATTCCGGAACGAAAAAAACCTGACACCCCCCACTCCAACCGGCACAGCGGTGATACTTCCATCTATCGATAAATACCAGAACTTTTAATAACTTTTTGAAATATCACGCTTGTCTCTTTAGTTCAGCAACCCGCCTTTAGGTGGCATTGGTTGTATTGGAAAACTACCGTAATCAGCTGTTTGTGAGAAAGTATATAGGTGCATTTATCATCTATGTACAACAGTGAATATCTTTACTCGTATAATTTGTGTACAAAGTGTTTTAAATATGAATAAATAAAGTGTATTTATTAATGAAGAAAGTCAAGGAAAAAAAAATACTGCATTAATAAAATAAATAAGTAATTATAATTGCATAAGTTGATAAAAAATGCTATGCAATAGCTTTACCGCGGCAGTCTCCGAGTGCCACACGTCTTTTTATTTAGTTTAACAATTGTTACACTTGCAATGTTCATGTTGAAGCAGAAAAAAATATTGATTAAATATTGCATAACTAATTAATAAATAGTAATAAAAAAATCCGGCGGATTATTGTTCGTTTATCTATCCAGTATGCCCCAGAATTTTTTCATTTGTTAAATTTTATATTTAATATGTTAAAATATTTTTTATTGATAAAGTGTCCGAAGTAGGCGTGGCTTGCGCAAGCCAGAGCACCCGTTTTAAGTCGTATTTTAGTTCCTCTGAGAAAATTATAAATATTGGTTCTACAGTTCTGGGAATTGACATTTTTTAGGGGATTTCCTCCTCTTTTTGAATCTCTTTTTAGGTTTAAAAAATCTCAATTAATTTTAGAGAAATTTGCAAAAACTAAACCCCCTATTTATTTTTGGTTAATTGTTTATGAATTTTGCAATTTTTGCAAGCGGAACTTTATGTTTATCAAAAATCATCTACATGATATTCCAAATCGAATGACACCTCGTTCATATTTTTCCGAGACTGCTGAGAAACGTTGACCTAAAAGGCTTTCGTTGACTAGACTATAAATCCGTAAAAAAAGATAGTACATCTATGAACGTATTCAATTTATTATTTAAATCATCTTATCATAGTAAAAATATAAATAAGGTTCGATATATTTCGATTAGTTTTGTGATGAATGATGAATGAAATAGATACTAAAATAGCATTAAAACGTAGAAGTACCTACAGGTAAGACCGAAGTACAACTTTTTGTCTCTATTTAACTTGCCACGCATAAAATACACTTTTTATTAAAATGTCCGGTTGATAAATATTCGATAGTAATATATTTGAAACAAATATAAGAGATGTGCGTATTTTCAATGAATAGATCTAGTCTAAATGAAAATTTTATTTCGTAATGCCTATTCTAAGAATTTACCTCTAACCAAAAACCGGCATAAAACACCCATTTGTACTTTACCATATTTATTACACTTTCACATCATTTTTCACTTATTTAACACAATCACAATTTATTCAATCATATTATAAGAATTTACGTTATGACACTTAACTTTTTTTAACACTCGACAAAATACACTGACTTTCTTTTTACAAAACATTTTTCCACTTCCACATATTTTAATTACAGGGTATATGTTTTGATTTATTTTAAGAATCATAATTCATACTAAATACAGTTTTTGGTGCTGCAATCTCCACAAGCTTGGCAGGAAATAAGTATTTTAGGTGATACTAAATAATAGTGATAACTGCATTTATTCTATTCTCATACCAGTAACAATTCATAATATTGCTAATACCATCATCTGATTATCAGATTTAAAATCCTATAAGTCATTTTTTTTATTAAAAATGATCTTAATAATAACTTGTTTCCCAATACAAACTTTCATCCCCATTTTCACCCCCCTTAGGGATGATTTTCGGGATAAAAGTATCCCATGTCCTTCCCAGAGTCTTAAAGTATTTTCTTACCAAATTTCATCTAAATCGTTTCAGTAGGTCCAGAAAATAGCCCCTACAAAGAAAAAACTCGCAATACACAAAGTACGAGTACAGATAAATTCTTAATAATAAATTCTTTACAAGCTCTTGCATGTGCTATAATAGGTACGCGCTTTTTCGTGTCTCCTATCAACCAATAAGCATCCCATTAATATCATCTAAATAAGACGATTTTTTCCACTCAATTCACATATGTTATCATATCGATAAAGTATTTTTGCAAAATATCTATATATTTTAACCTTCCTAGATAATCTCTCTTTATATCAGTTAAAGGTGTATGAAAATTTGTACAGTGGTTTCTGAGATTAGATTGAACAATCACCGACTCAATTTTAATTTATTATATGTAGTGATTTATGTTTAATTTAATGCAAATAGCCATAATATTAGCTTAAAATAAGAAATGTAATTTATTATACCGGTTATAATACTTAATAATTTAATTTAAAATAATTATATAACTACAGTTTTTAATAAATTTTGTGTAAATAAAAAATATACATTTTATTTTAATTTATAATATATTAGCGACTCATCCTCGCTACGCTCGGGTTCGTCCCTAGGTTGATCCCCTTATAAACTTTCATCCCTATTTTCACCCTCTTAAGGGATTTTTCCTGGATAAAAAGTATCCTATGTCTTTCCGAGGGACTCAAACTATCTTCTTACCAAATTTCATCTAAATCGGTTCTGTAGATCCAGAGATTACCCCCTACAACGTCACAAACTCACAAACTTAACCTCTTTATAATATTAGTATAGATTAGACTATATAAATATAATATAGACGTATAAGTTTTATAGCTTTCATAAATAATAACTAAGCACATTTAAAAAAAAAACGAAAAATACAACTAATAATAATTGAAATAAAATAGAACTCAGTACTTACTAGGATCATCAAAAGTGACTAAAACAAAATTATCTATATGATTTGTTTTTGAATTAATTACATTATTAAAAACTTTGTCCGTGGTGATCTTCACTTGATTTATTTCTTTTTCCATTGAACTAGTTCTATCTATAACAAAAGCTAAACTAGATTTTTCTTCGTGTCCGTTCACATAAAACAAAACAAATTCCATCACTAACAAAATTAATATTTTCTGCGGCATCGCGTACAACAGTCGATGAACTTATAACCTTTTATAAGATTATGTTTTTATCGTCTATACATAACTACAGTGTACCACGTATGAGAGCTGTAGACAATTTGCCTGAAGTAACACTGATTTATTTTAAACTTGGGAAACCCTGCACTATTGACATGCTAATTATGTTTAATTTAAAATAAAAACACAGTTGTAATTTTTGTCTTACTTCATGAGTGTTATTAGCTTTGTTAGTTCATATTATCTATTACTATAATAAAATTGTAGAGGTCGAATGTCTGTACATAGAAAAAAATCGCTAAAAACCGAGTCAGGGGGGTGTAAGAAGAGAAAGAGAACAAAACCAGAATTTTTCCAATTTTTTTGTTTCTCTGTTTGTTTGTCTGTTTGTACGGGTTAATCTCCGAGACTGTTGGGCTGATTTAAAAGAAATTTTGCATGGTGGTACCTTATATCCCCGGACAACATTTTAGGTACTTTTCATCTCGGAAAATTAAAAAGTTCCCGTGGGATAGTTAAAAAACTATAGTAACTTATACAGCTTAGTACACAAAAAGTACTGATTGGATTTTAATGAAACTTTACAAAATATAGTTCATACATCACAATAGCAAATAGGCTACTTTGTATTCCGGAAAAATGTACGGTTCCCGTGGGATAAATTTGGTTTTGTTTATATAGAAGCGAATCCCAGCGAAGCGAGGGTGAGCCGCTAGTGTATGTAATAAAATAAAAAATTGAATAAAAAAGTAGAATTTGTAGGACAACGACTTTTTTATATTATTGTTTTTGAATACTTATGCCCGTCGATATAATATATTAGTATGGGAACATAGAATAATATAAATAATTTTAATCAATTAAGATACAGGGTTTTATAATGGAAATAGAATAGGGTGATTTAATATTTTCTTATTTATACTTTAATAAACATAAAAATCATGTTATTTACATACAGAATCAATAAAAAACTAGCGACTCACCCTCGCTTAACTCGGGTTCGTCCCTAGGTATGTTTTCATTTTTTTAAGGGAACCCTTATTCTTTTCTAAAATAAAAGTAGCCTATGTTACTCCCTATAGCATTAGCTATCTTCCAGTGAAAGTCCCGTCAAAATCAGTCCAGCCGTTTCAGAGACTATCCGGAACAAAAAGACAGACAGACAAAAATAAAAAATGTGTTTTTCTTATAAGTAGGTACCGTATACTTATACTTTCATATGCATTTAGAAAAACGCTGTTATTTTGATGAAATAATCTGTATAATCTGTATAATTTGATGAAATAATAATAATCATGAATAATCTGGGGAGGTTTTGTCAATTTCAAAGTTTAACTCATTTATTTGTTCAATTATTGTTTCAAACTTGCTGTACAATTCACCTATAGATTCAGATTGAGATAAAAATAATTCATTCGAACGTGACTCGTAAATGGAAATATCAATTATATAAACGATTAATTCGCTCGAAAATTGCGTCTTTTTTGGCAGTTAATTGAATAAGTTTCAATTCAAGCTTATTGGAAGCCATTATAAACTAAAGTATTAATACAATTAACCGTTATAAATGTATTACACAAATTTTAGTTACTACCTCCTAACTATTAATTAAGAATCAATATTTCTAGAAACGAGATATTTTAAATATTAAACAATCACTAGTATACCTATTCATAAACTACTGTATAATAAGTTACATTCCAATATTACTTTTATAAAATAAACGGGCATTGACAACTTTGTTACATATAATTTTTCTTAACGGATAATTATCTTCTATTTTATAATATAAAGTGCACTCAAAGCTTGGCATAGAAAAATATCGTTTTTATATAAGTAAAGCTAATTCTCTTGGAAAATAAAATTATTGAAACCTAACATACAAAATGGCGGTTAATGCGGGTTGAATAATTTAATAAATATTACTGCTGATAACCTATCCTAGGCTCGTTGGACCATTAGATGGAGTGGCAGGCGTGTAAATAGCCGTGTCCTCTTTGCGGTGTGGGAACAAAAATTACGGTCCAGCGCGTGGAGACGCGTGGACCCAACACTGTCCTTAGAATATCTTTAAAAAAAAATATCTGGTGGCTGATGTAATAGCTTACAACTATGCGGGATAAAAGCAAGTCGCTTACCTGATGCAGCTCGCTGATCTTCTTGGTGGCCACCTTGACAGCTCGCGTGCACTTTACCGTGGGAGTTGGGAGAAGACGAGTACCGGAACAGTTAAAGTTATCGTTATAGTTATAGTGCCCGCTGTGTCAAAGCGAGCCTTATATACGTTATGAGCCGCGTGTCGGTAAACGCGCCTATCAAAATTCGGGCGGGTGGCGCCGCCTGCAGGATTGCGACTGCAACCTGCAAGTCGAATGCTATAGATCATCCTTACCAAAAAACGTTAAAAAAGACAATTCAAGGCTAGTGCTTGCCACACCAAATATAAATTAGGTACTGAATAAATTAAGCGACTTGGTTTTACATTAGATCTAAAAAACTATTTTCGGTTCTAACTACTAAACAAATTCTTCTGGACTGCGTTGCGTGACTTGCATTATATCACATGTTATGTCTTTCATGGGATCTCACATATATCTGCATGAATTATATTATAATATTTGAAAACTCATAGAAAAATCTATTTTTAATGAATAGGAACTAATAACTTACCCTCGCTCCAGTCAGGTTCATCCCCACTTCCCCCCCAACGTGCGTTCACCTTGTCGTGGTGGGGGGGCTCAGTAGTGCCCGGCAATCCAACCGGGTGTGAAGCTAAGAAACGCACAGGGAGGTTGCCCACTTCGGTGGGCGGTGGGAGGTGGCCCTCTTCGAGGGGGCGGTGTACCTTGCGGGTTGCTCCTGGTACTTCTCTGATAGCAGAGTGGACCTTGGAGCAACCCCATGGTTGTGGTGGTCTGCTTTGGCAGACCTGCCGTCGGGACATCGTAGTTGAATGCGATCCTGCGACGCCCCATTAAGACGGGTGAAGGTTTTGTTGGGTTTTAGTGGGTAGTACTGGCTGTATTACGCCGGTGAGTCCCACACGTCGTGCGTAAATGCATTTCCCAACGTTAAAAAAAAAGGTTCATCCCCACTTACGTTTTAACGTTTAGTATAGATTTTTCAGAGATGAGATATTTTCCCGCAGTATAAAGTATCCTATATTTTGACTCGGAAAACCAACTATCATCAGAGCAAATTTTATCAAAATTCTTCCAGTGGTTTTTCCGTGATGCGGTCACAGACAGACAGACAAAAAATCTAAAAACTATAGATTCGGGGTCTGTATTGATAATAAAGTCTATTTCAATAAGATTTTCCAAAAAATATTAAATTTATAGATTCGGCTTAGTTACTATTTTATTACTGGTACGTATAGATAAGTTCTTTTTTTAAAATATCATATAATAATTTAAACATTTTATATGTCAATACTATAATAATTAGAAGCAAATAGTTGTATAAAAGAAATACAAAAAGTAAGGACAAGATTATTTGAATAAACAAAACAAATTTTATTTAAAATCTTATATTTATTAGGTACATTTAAGAGGCAGTATTTTAGTGCATTTTAGTGCACGTTTAGTGTATTTTAGTGCACACTCGTTTTGCTCGAGTGCATCCTTAGGGATTGAGGAACACATAGTAGACAATCATACAAAGAAACATTCATTTTTATTTATACACATATAGAAATAAATAATGAAGAAATAGTAAAAAGTATATAGGTATACTTTACACATTATTATTTATTAATTTGAAAGTTTATAATTAAATGTGCGATTGACTACCTTGTAGAAATACTATATTTTCTTATATCTTTAATACAATAATTGTCATATGCTATATTACTCTAAAGGTTTCATGATTGGAAAGAGATTGTCATAATGAAATGCTGTCATAAATTCCTTAACATTGCAGCAAAACACGAAACCCTTTGAAGGATCATGCCATTGAGAGCCATACATCCACTTTGTTTTGTTGCAAATATCCCTTTTGCAAGGAATTTGCTTTAGAGCTTCTGTAACTTCTAGGTTTGGAGTATTCATTACAACAATTGCGATTCCTTCTTCATTCCCTCGTTCTCGTGGGTTTTGTCTATATATCACTAACTAAAAAGTAAAATTTTGAGATTAGTATCTGCCTCCAAAAAGTTGTTTTGTAGAAGGTTATATAAAACCCTTCTTTGGTGTTCTAATGGCTAGCATGTACGACTGCAGATCCTAGGTCCGGAGGCCCTAGGTTCGAGTCCCATGTTGGGCCTAGTTCAGTTATTGAGTTTTTCTGTTTATAAATTCTCGGTAGCCGATCGGAGTTATGAGTTAGCAGTATTTGACCCCCGTGCCTCAAAGAGCACGAACGGTCCTGCGCCTGAGTTGTCACCAATCATGTCAAATTATGAAGAGTGCGCATAAGTCTGCGAGGACAGTTATGCTCTATAATATCTACTACGAAAATGGCTAATCTTCAGGAGATTGGCCGCCGTAGCGAAATAGAACAATCAGTAGGACGTTATATAAAATATAACCTATATATACCTATATAACCTATATATTTAATGATAGGAAATGTAGCTACATAAACATACGATCATATATTGATTTGTTCAAGGCATACGTTAGCGATTTTAAACAACTAGCGTCGCATAAAACTTTTTAACGATATTATGGAAATCGTTCTTATGCTGACTTACGTCGGTCTTTTTAGGAAACTTGACTTTCTACAAATGATATCGCTAAAAGAAATTTCAATATATAAAATACATATGGGCTAGTACATTATGCTTAGATAAGAGTTTATCTAGGCCTTCAATTATGAGGATTGAGGATATATTTAAGTACTGTTATGTTGATAATAGATAGTGATCTGGACTAAAATTTTATTCGCCAATAGAAACATTATAATTCAGCGAATGGCGACTAAATGTAAAAACATACTATATTTATATTTTTGTTTTAAATAAATAATTTCAATTTCATTTAAAACGGATGTCAGTGCGTAACGTAGGTTACAGGAAAATATGTTTTTAAATTTAATTGTTAGTATGAAACTAATTGTATTGATATGATAAATAAATAAATACCTTCCATATAAAACGTGGAACTCTTTGTATACGATCATATTTATCATTTATTGTAACAAATGTATCGATTTTTTGATTCGGGAGTTTTATTGATTCCGAAGTTCCTGTCCACACTTCCAATAAAGTGCTCCTCGACTTAGCAAGAAATCTTACACGTCGTTCTACTTCGTCCCAGTTCTAAAAAAAGAAAAATAAAAAAGTAATTCTTAGTAGACAACCTATGACCTAATATTTATAGGCCATGAGTGATATACATATTTTTAAATTTCTCATTCCATGAAAAAATACAAAAAGCAGTTTTAGTAAATGGCATCAAAGTTAGTGACTTATAAAAAAGCGAGAATATAATAATAATATTAATTTTGACATCTATACTAATATTATAAATGTTAAAGTGTATTTGATTGTTTGTTTGTTTTTCCTTCTTTCACGTCGAAACAGAGTAACCGATTGGCGTGTGTTTTTTTTGTGTAGAAATAGTTGGAGGGCTGGAGAGTGACATACGCTACTTTTTACTCGCGAAAAACACGTTATAATATAACCCAAAAAATATTTATGATCAAAATTACTTGAAACTTGGTATCAATAGTCTTTAATACAATTTGATAAGTTCTATTTTGGAAAGAATAATTTAAAAAGTTCTATTTTGTAATTTTAGCGTGAACGAAGCCGCGGGTTCTGATAGTATTCGAATAGATTTGAAAAAAAAACTAAGATTTATGCCAGTAATTTAATAATAATAATAACAACTTACCCTCGCTTCGCTAGGGTTTGTCCCTAAACGTTAAAACGTACTTAACGTTTTAACGGTTAGTACCTATGGAATACATAGGTATGATGAGTTGTTGTGGGTTGTGTTATAACCTGTTTTCCCGTGGTAATGAAATAATCTAACGCTATAAATAGCAGCCTGTATCACTGTCCAGCTCTTCGCCCTTTTTTTTAACGTTGGGAAATGCATTTACGCACGAGGTGTGGCACTCACCGGCAAAGCCAGTACTACCCACTAAAACCGAACAAAACCTTCCCCCGTCTTAATGGGGCGTCGCAGGATCGCTTACGCATTCAACTACGACGCCCCGACGGCAAGTCTGCCGAAGCAGACCACAACACCCATGGGGTTGCTCCAAGGTCCACTTTACTGAAGAAGTACCAGGAGCAACCCACATGGTACACCGCTCACCGAAGAGGGCCACCTCCCACCGCCCCCCGAAGTGGGCCACCTCCCTGTGCGTTTCTTGGCTTCGCGCCCAGATTGCCGGGCACTAAAGAGCTTCCCCACCACGACAAGGTGAACGCACGTTGGAGGGCCAGCTCTTCACCCTAAAAAAATCACCCCAATCCGTCACTCTGCTTTGAAGTGAAATAAGGATATAATAGAAGTATTATTATTAGTTACAAAACCTCTAATAGGTGTCGATCGTCACGAGTTTCTAAGTTACGTAATTTAAATTCTAATAAAAAAAATTAATGCACATGACATGACCTTCATATGATTTCAATTTAGCCTAAGTTTTCTACTCTGTGTAAATAAATTGACTGTTCAAAGTTCTATTTTTAAATAGCAAACACTTTTGTGGCAGAAAAAAAAACAAGAAATTGTGTTTTAAATTTATTTTAGAGTGTTGTATGTCCTTATGAAAATATTTCAGGATTATCTACAGAACTTGGCACTCATTTAGATCTCAATTCTTTTATCTGTGAAGTTGATAACTACGCATATTCTTAATATTGAACTTGGCTCCCACTTTCACATTTATGTTTTTGATGGTATACTTTGCACACAAATCGTAACAGTTTTCATGAAATGAAAAAGTGGAGTGGTAAAGTTAATATGGAAAAAAATATGATGAGAAATCAGAATTACTTGAAACTCAGTAAACACGTTTTTTAAATTAAATTTAGCTCCTAATGAGCCAGAATGGGTGGTAAAGTTAGATCTGCTCACCAGAAAAATCCACCAATTTAAAGCCAAGTTGAATAAAGCAGTACAAATAAGTACAGTAAAAATATAGCAGTAGTCGAAATTCATCCCCTAAGAAAGTAAAAATATTATCAGAGTCGAGTTGAGTTAAACATCAGAATTAATGTGTTTTACTCTTAATTAACAAAATATTCAAATACTTAAATAGGCTTTTTATGGCTATAATACGCTATAAAGAGGTTTACGTTGCATTTAAGCTCATTCTAAATATCACCCGACTTGAAACCCACAAAATATGTATATCTAAACAGAACAAAGATATCTAAACACGGCTCAATTTCTCCTAAAATGAAAACTTTCTGTGGACGATACTATTAAAGCATACAAAGGCGGAATTAAAGCACTTAGTAGATAAAACGCGGCGGCGAATCGGGTTCATATCCCGGATCTCGCACCTCTGATGTTTTCTTGTGTGAGTCATTTTCAACATGATTACCACTTTACCTTACGGTGAAGAAAACCTGCATGCATGTCTGAGGGAACCTAGCCAGTTTTCGTAAGATATTCGAATTCCGTCTACCCGCACTTGCCCTATTGCAGCATCATAAAATTTATCAACCGTGAAAAAAACTTCATGAGTGCATGCAGTAAGTTTACATGTGTCGAAATTTGAATCGAGTTACAAGCGACATACGTGACAGTGGTAGTGGTAACGAACGTACAAAAAGAACTAGAAAAAGGGTAAGTAAGGTTAAGTGAAAATAATAAGAAATATCCCGTTTTACATAATAAAAATACTTTCAGTGACCAAGAAAGCTTAAACACTCATAATATTATCTATTTACTATATATATGCATGCATTACGGCCACTCACCTCCGTTCCACAAGTGCTCCATTGGGGAATAACATTCACGTAAGTATAAGTTGCTATTTGAGCTATTCCTGGCAACATGTCCTTTGGACTCACAAGCTGCTTTCTGGTAAAACAGCACTTATTACCTTCACTTAAATTTACGCCAGTTTTAGCATAAATAGATTTCAGTTGGTTGCTACAATCGTATAGATCCTCAAATTTAAATGGCATATATGAAGATTCAACGTAGTGTACTAATTCTGTTGGTGTACTATTTGCCATGTTTTCATTCAAAGCATATTTTATAAAACATGGATAATTTTTGATTTTATCAATACAAACATCATATACACTTAGGAAAGATGATTTCACTTGAAATCCAACTTGTACTAGTTCAGAATTACCCTTAATACAGGGTTCATTGGTACCTTTTATTGCTATATTGATAGGACGGTCACATTTCAGTTTTGATATGTCGATGTTTCCAAAATCTGTTTTAAATATGGTCTTTCCAATGCATTTCGCCCATAGTGGAGAAATGAATTTTCTTTCACCATCGGATATATATTCATTTACACAATCTATTTTAATTTCAGTATTTATTGTTTTTTTATCAGTCAATATCCATGTAGAATTAGGTTCCAGAAAGAGTGGCATATTTCTATTAAATGTCATATTCATTGGACATACTGTGAAAAAGTTAAATTAAATATCAATATGTATTTTTTAATTTAATCATTATTTGCTAGAATTAAAGAACATAGTAAATTTTATTCTTATACTAGTTTAGCCTACAAAATTTTCTCTTAATCTTACATACATGTACAATCTCGTAATATAGATAGAGTCCATAAAAAAGAGAACTCACTCTCTCTATTTGGACCTCGGAACGGGCTGATAATAGTTAAAATTTACTGTATTTTAATCAAAATTAAACAAAAAGGTTTTCCGAATATAATTATTTATAATTAGCATGTTTGTATGTTCGTGATTTTTTTAACAAAACATCGATAAAGTCATGAAGTATATAAACAAGGAAGATTTTAGTTTAAAAGACAATTTTAGGATTAAAAATAATAATAATTAATAATTAAAAAAAATAAAAATAATAGGAGATTAAGCGAAATGTAATAAGTGAAAAGAATAAAAAAACACTTAAAATATTGACATTTACTTTACAGCTAAGTTTTTGTCAAACAAATGCGACGTTACCCCCCCAATAAGTTGTAATATCTACTGGGGTAGATTGTCACTTTCAAGAAAATAGGAATTAAGATGTAAGTGGTCTTTTATTTCTCCTTCTTCGTCAACAATATTTATTTTTAAGTTAGAAACTATTTATATTAGTTTGTGAAGCTATATATACTTACAATGAATTTAGACTCTTAATAGCAGTTAATAAAATTACGCACATCTTATGGAATTAATAATATACAAAAAGGTGTATACTTATTACAAGGTATCTTGTAACATTAATCAGCCTTTGAATCAGTTTCTTTCCATATCTGAGTTATAGTTACATAATACAAACAAAGAGCTTCTCCTAAACAATGTACTCTAAAACGTATTCGCTTTTCTTTGAATTTCTATAATTTTTACTGCAAATTAGATAATACCAATACCATACCTCAGATTCGAATTATGAATTGGACTTCAAAAACTTTTTACTTCTTTCTACGTCATCTTTATTTTCTGCTGAATACCCTTGCCTTTCCCTTTGTTTTATTTTGATTATCTTTTTTTTTCTTATTTCTTATTTCATTATTTTGCACGTCACTTTTAAAACTTAAGTACTTTTTAGTTGTATCACCAAAATAACCAGTTGATTTAGTTTTATGATAATGATTTAGTTAGTTGAGTTTTATTTTGAATCAAACTTGTTCGCGACGACTACCAAAAACTCTTCGACAGTCGCACTTACGACGACTAGATATTAAAAATATTTTTATTACGTTCGCCGTGATAATATATTATGTACCTATATGTTATAGCTTATAAATTGCTATGTTTTCGAATTGGTTTGTTTTTATTTTATTCAGTTGTAAAACTTACATTTATTCAGGATATATATTTTTTCTTTTATAGTTAGCATTTTTCTTTTTCTATAATATAAGAATACCGTCGACGGACTTGTGTATTTTATAAAGAGTTTTTGAAAACTTGTTTAAATATAGGTTAATATAGATATTTTTTAAAAAATATTGAAGCGTTACTGCGCCGAAGTATTTATATTCTAAATACGCCTAAATAACTTACTGTTGGCTGTATCTAGAGTAATAATATCTTAAATAACCCAGTAAAACTTGACATTTACTAATGATAAAGGTACTAAGTCAGTATTTTTAAATAAACATCGCAATTTACCCTACACAAATCATACACCACTATTATATTCTAGCCCTAGATGCCAAGACAGTATCTGACAAGTATATCGAAATCCTTCAAATAGATAAAACACAAAAATTAAAAATTAAAATTAGCTTAAAAAAGTGAGCTCGCCATCTATTGCTTTCACATTATTCAGTTTCACAATATAACCTAATTATATTCTTATATATTTGATAATAATACATACCGAGATCACTTTGGATTTCAAAGATGCGTCTAATAGTGCCAAAAATGTTGCTTACAATGCATTCATATTTTCCAATACAATCAGAAGTCATTTTAAAGTTAAAATGGGAGTTTTTTTCTAATATCTTTTTTGAAGCCTTAAACCATTTTATCTGTAAATATAAAAGTACGGAAAACAAGTGATTGCCGCTTATTGGATAGGTGAAAGAAAACATCAAGTGACATTTAGTCAATTACTCGTAGTACGTTCAAAGGTGAAACTTATAAAAAAATTTTAACAAAAAAATAAAAACCGACTTCAAACAAAAGCACTAAAAAGTAAAAAATAACTGATTGGTAGTTTTCATTTACTATACATACCTAATCAAATATTTTCGAAGTCGGTGTGCTTTGCTTTGTATGGGCTGGCACCGATTTCGAAAATATTTGATTAGGTATGTATTTAATAGGTAAGCTTTAAGGACTTAGCCAAAGCACACCGACTTCGAAAATATTTGATTAGGTATGTATAGTAAATGAAAACTACCAATAAGTTATTTTTTACTTTTTAGTGCTTTTGTTTGAAGTCGGTTTTTATTTTTTTGTTAAAAAAATTTTATTTTTCCCTTTTTAGTGTAGACAGTAGTAGCAAAATAAGAATTCTAACGTGTTAGGCTTGTCAAATAAAATAAAATAAGCCCAAACTCAAAGTATCTACTATTAGCCATTGAAGAGTTCCACCTATCCACCTTCTGGCCTTACCATCAGAACAGGTCAACAATACCGAACCACTGTACCATCAACGGAAATAGAAACACTTGCAAAGTTTCAAGTGAATACGACAATTAGAAGTAGGTTAAATTCATCATTAGTTATTTTTTCACCCTTAGGGGTGGTATTTTTTTTGAAATTTAAATGGGACCAATGTGGAAGTATACACTTTCAAACAACACCAAAATTGTCCAAATCGGTTAATAAATGACGAAGTTCTGAGGTAACAAACATAAAAAAAAAAAAATACAGTCGAATTGAGAACCTCCTCCTTTTTGAAGTCGGTTGAAAATAAAAATAGTATTATTGGAGAAATGACGTATAAGGTAGTTACTTTACAAGTATTGTGAGTACAAGTGGACAAATAAATATAAAGTGATTTCTGCATCAGACACATAAATTAGGATGTATCTGGAATTTCAGACAAAAGAGTATATTATAGAAATATAGACGAAAAATTTATCTTAATCATAAACATCTACACACACAAATACGTATGTAAGTATTTTGATCATATAAAAATGCATTAGCAGAATGCTAGATAAGTATAAAAAATTACCGTAGGGGCAGGTTCTCCATAAGCGCTACAATCTAAAGACACATCGCCGTTTTCTTCAAAAGGTATATTTTTTTTTACTTCACCTCTGAAATATGGCTCAAAACCTACAATGATTTTCATATGAGTTGAGTATGAGCCATCCATTGTGCTGACACGACAAGAATATACACCACTGTCAGCATTTGTCATGTCAAATAATTTTAAGGTACAAGGAGTATCTGTACAGTTCTTGATTAAATATCCATCCTGAAATACATAAAATAATACAGAACTAAATTATTAAGAAATAAGAGAATGTTAGAAACCCAAAAACCAGTAACAACCCAATGACCCATGAACCCAATATCAAGTAAAGGCGATAAAGAAGAAAGGTATGCTACTATACTATTTCATAAATACTTAGGTACTAGGTAGTTAGGTATTGTCTGACAATTAAACGCCTCAATCAATCTAAAGAGCAAATCAATCGAAGCCGATGTCATGGAGAGAGGTATTTGAAAGGTATAATTTTAGTAAGTTTATCATTAGACCTTACGCAATAGAGAATATGCATGTTTTTTTATGTCTTATACAATAGCTTACATCGTTATATAATTGTAAAAAAATATCCAGCTCTAAAAAACTTAAATTTAGTATAAATAATATTTTTTTAAATATCATACAGTTACGAATAGGTACTTTAACTTTATGCCATTTCGCTTGGCGTGACGTACAATATGATATACACAGGCAAATGACGACTCAATTTGTAAGCGCCAAAACCGCTAGTCGCTCTGTTATGCTAACTCTGACGTCATATTCGGTCAGACCAATGGCGCTGCGTTTCAACTACTTTAAATTTTCCACCTGTTTTTGCATATTTTAATATATTTTTTCTTAATCAAAAATAAATTACTTAAAAATATTAATATAGGCTTAATTCAAAAGCAATAAAGATTATAAAACAACTATTTCCCCTTCATTTAAATCACACGCATATAAAATTCATGTGCATCCGGAAACATATAATTAATAACTGATTACCTTGTACCAGCGGGTATAATGTTCACCATAAACACTGATATCTGGACAGTTGAGTGTACCAGTACTTCTCTCAATATATGTAGTAGTTTTCATTACATCTTCTGTACGTGCATATGGAAAATCTGGAAATTTACATTTCATAACAATTGACTAGAGTACTCGCGGTACCGCCCGCGCGTTGTCCAATCTCTTAAATATTGTAGCGACATGTTAGAAACTCTATAAACTTCCCCTAAGCCTCTTAAGTTTTGGGCTGGTAATTCCAGATATTAAAATGGAGTGTTTGAAGAATTTAAAAATAAGTGCACAAATTTAAAAAGTAATCTTTTGAAAATCGTTTCAAAACAATACCAATACCAATGGATAAAGCTGAAGAGTTAGTTTTTTTTGGTTGTTTGAACTCTATAACACGGGCGAAGTCACGGACGGACTCTAATACTTCTAATAATATTAGAAGTATTAGAGTCATGTGACCATAATTGCTGTAAAGCATTCGTAACGTCGGGAACCAAAAATCAAAATAAATCCGCGAAAAATTCGTTCGAATCGAATGTTTTATAAAATATGGCTTGGATGGCAAATGTTAAGGTGACATTATGAAATTTTGATGATGATGATTTTATGAAATTTGAATACATTTTTCAATAGAGCTTCATTAGAAACATGTTTTTTTTTCAGGCGATCTTACCTCTTATCTGTATTTCGTATTCATGAGAAGCACTACCATAAGCATTTTTGGCGATACACTTATATAGGCCTTCGCTATTTTTGGTAATTTTCTTTAGTATCAGAGTGTTAGAACTGTTAATAATATATTCACCCATACCTGAAATTAAAGTAAAAAATATTTTAATAATATATTTTTTATAAATAACTAATAGGCATATAATGGTATTTAATTTTAAGCCTTATAATTCATATACACTATCAGTACATGATATTATATACTCATATAAAATAAATAAAATACCTTCACTTATTATAGTCTTTCCTTTTGTTCTTTCATTTGTTTTGTACTCCCAACTAATAGTTGGTATAGGAAAATTAAGTGTGTCACATGGTACGTATAACACCAAGTCACCTACAACGCTTTCCAAAATGTTGGGCATAGGTTTAAATTGCGGGGCAGCTGAAAATTACACAAAGTTACTATAATTTTAATTATTAACCATAATTCTAGTACTAAGACTTGAAGGTAAGGTCTGCACGATGAAAATAATTGACCTGAGTGGTCTAAGCCAAGATGCTTTTTACATGCTGATTTCCGCTTAAGCCATGCTCGCGATTTCGAGATATCTTTTGGGTTTAGAAAAGTAAAATGATACCTGCAATATGTACAAAGATTGACATTTGGCTCTGACCTCCTGAATTCCTGGCCTCACAAACATACTCTCCAGCATCATATAACTGCACTTTGATTTCATATGTACTATTAACACTAAACAAATATATTACATAGAATAAATATATAACATAATAAGTTAATTATTCATTTTGCTGATTTTTTATGCTTAATCTACACTTATATTACAAAGAGGTAAAGTTTGTGAGGTTGTAGGGGGTAATTTCTGGATCTACGGAACCGATTTAGATGAAATTTAGTAAGCAGACAGTTTAAGACCCTGGCAAGGAAATTATCCTTTAAGGGGTTGAAAATGGGGAAGAAAATTTGTACAGGTACCCACCCTGGGGATGAACCCGAGCGAAGCGAGGGTGAGTCGCTAGTAAATTGATGATGTTCTCCTGACCGATTCCGGCCACGGCGGCCAATCTCATTGAGACTAGCCAACTGCGCAGGAGATATAATAGTGCACAAGTGTACGCGCAGACACAAGTGCACTCTCTATTCCTGTAACTCTCATATTCTGGTGGGACGACCTCTCGACACGACCAGTAAGAGTTAAGGCGCAGGACCGACGGCTTTACGTGCTCTCCAAAGCACGGGGGTGAAACACCGCCATCTTCTCAACTCCGGGCTGTTACTGAGGTTTAATATACAGAAAGACTCAATAACTAAATTTGGCCCGACCCGGGACTTGAACCCAGGACCTCCGGGTGTGCAGCCGTACATGCTAGCCACTACACCACCGAGGCAGTTAAGTAAATTATTTAGTCAATAACTGTCTAACGAGTGTTACCTTTTCTTCACTGACTGCATCATTCTCTGATCAAAATTGTTATATAACCATTTAATCTTCGGTTCCGGAAGACCATGGGCCTTACATGTCAACTTTAATTGTTCTCCTGTTCTTAAAGTTATGTTACTTGAATCAGGGGGATCTATTGTTGGAGACACTAAAAATAGACGTAATTTATATTAAAAAATACTGATCACAAAACTGAGCTCGATATTAAAAAAAGTTTTTATTTTAGCAAATACAGTACTACGTAATTTCAATCTTTATTTGTTACAGCTTTTATACTTACTAAAAGGAAACACTTTTATTTTTCGCTCCGTGACACCAATTTTATTTTGCGCCCGACATGAATAATCACCTCCATCATTAATTGAAACTGTAAAACTAAAAATTACACAAATTTAGGTCCAGTATTTCCTTTACTTGTAAATTTTTAATAACTAAATTATAATGGTAGATTTATTACTGTTTGGTTTAAAATAGTCAAAGTATAAAACTGTTAACACAGTACTTTCAATATATTTAACTGCCCCGTTAATCCAATGGCTAGTATGCACGGCTACAGGTTTGGAGGTCCTAGGTCCACCCAAATTTAGTAATTGAGTTTTTCAGTCAAGAAATGATCAGTAATACCCGGAGTTAAGTAGTTGGTGGTTTTTCCCCGTGCTTCGTAGGGCGCTCCTCATTATTCTTGTCGAATCATCATTCCGGAAATGAGAGTGACAGGAATAAAGTGCACTTGTATTTGAGCACATATTTGTGCATTGTGTATTTCTCCTGCGCAGATGACTAGTCTCATTGAGATTGGCCGCCGTTGCCAAAATCAACCACTAGAGCATTATTAACATCTTAATGATATTTGAGTGTGTAATAAAAAGTGAAGCTTATGAAATAAGATTTTAGTAAATCTACAGTTACCACTTTATATTCGAGGTTAAAAATTAAGCTGAAAGACTATTTATTGTACACCACTAAATATGTATAAGACATTGCCAAAACCACATCAACAGCTGCACATATTTAGAGGGGTGACAATTTTTTACGGGAACCATTGCGTTTATCAACAAAAAGGGTCCTGGAACAGATTTTAAGGCGCAAAGGCATTGTCCCTCACTAAAAGTTACAATGCTAGTTTTACGCACCTTAAGTTATTTTTTCTGGTAATGAAATATTTACTTGAAATTTTTTCAACTTCCGTATTATTGACAAACCAATGCACAGTAGGTCTTGGAGTTCCACTTACTTCACAAGGTAACGTTGCCTTTTCCCCAATTTTTATTCTTACTCTGGAATTTGACTTCTTTATAACCGGAGCATCTAGATTAACATATTAACAATTAATTTTACCATTAACAGTGTAAATAATAATCATGAGATAAATGCCCTATTTAATACAAATAAATAATAATATAATTAAACAATAGTATAGTTCCCAAGGAGAGTTGATCTCAGGCAGGCGGTCGGTCATAAAACTTTTGCCAAATCCTATCAGCAGTACCGAAGACGTACTGCGCCGACCCAAGTGATTGGGAAATGGGCAGAGAGATGATGAAATAATAATATAACGTTTAAATTGAAATTTAAATACACCCCAACACAACCTATTCATTGAGGCCATTTCAATGAGCCTAATTACGATATTTTTGCAGTATTTTAGTAGTAAGTAAAGAGTTGAGTATCTTGCAGATTCCAGGTGACACTACATCATCAGGCCTATGCTACCATATATACCATTGCAATGTCAATTAAGTAACGTGATACCAACTTTCGGATCGATTAGATCTGTGAAAGTTGTTCATATTATTTTACAGTCAAGAAAAGAACTGATAGCCTGCAAATGGCTAAACGGATGTTCTCGACTTATAGCTAAGAGCACACTGGATCAAGTCACCTTTGAACCAAAACACTAAATTAAAATTAGTTCATATATTTGGGCGCTACGATGGCACAGACAAATACACAGATATACAAGTTAAACTTATAAATCCCCTCTTTTTGCATCTGGGATTAATAAATTAAAAATGAAACTTTTTTATATTGTACTAATTTAGTAGGTACTATTTGTCTTTGTAAATTGTAATTATATAATTATACAAACGCTGCAAATACATACATTCAACAACTACTTCAATTTCGAATTTGTCGTATGCTAAGTCATTTTTGGCTATGCACCTGTAAACTCCACTATGTTTTATTTCAACTTGCTTGAAGTGAAGAACGTTATCACTTTCAGTAACTAGATCTTCAAATTTAGTCGAAGAATCAAATTTTTTATACGACCATGAAATGACAGGTTCCGGTTTACCTTTGATAATGCTAAAAATAATACAAAGTAAACTGTTATCAAAATTTTAAATTGTATTATTATTCAAAATTATTATTTAAAATTTGTATGACTAAGTTATTTTTACAAAAAAAGTCATAAAGATTTAAACTGAATAGTATATATTTTAGAAATAAATATAATTGGCAAGATTTAATATTTTATGTAATAAAGTCATTAAACTACTCTAATATGAAGTAAAGATGGAAATAATTTTGATAGTTTTGAATACCTGCAATATATATCTAGATCTGAACCCTTGATAGGAAAATTTGTTGCAATTGTTTTATTAATTATTGGAGGTTCTGAAAAAAGAATCAATATATAATAAGAATAAAATTATATTAAATTTTTCATATATTTGCGTAGAAACGCAAGAATTGAAAATTTTCTCTTCTATGTTAGATCAAAATCTTTATATTATATTTAAACGATTTAAGTTATTTATTAAAAATATACAATACTTAAGATAATTGCTCTTATAAAAGCGCACCGAGATGTAACATTACAAAACTTACCTGCACCAACAATAAAGACGTTGAATACAAATTTTTCTGTTTTAAACTCATTAGATATTTCGACATAGTATTTCCCTTTTAAGTAAGGTTGCATTTGTTTTATTCTCAACGTTATATTATCCGGTGTAATTTCTAAATCTTCATTGTTACTTAGTTTTTTATTATTTCTATACCAAGAAATTTGAGCAGGTGGATAGGCATCGGTCTTACATTTTAGTTCTTCACTTTTCTTGTACTCTATTTTAATATCTAAATAAAAGAAATTATATTCATATACATTTTTTTGCTACACATACAAAAAATCTAAGAACGTTGTAACATTACCTTACCTTTTGGATATTCTAATATATTCAAAAACATATTTTGTTTTACCTCTAAGACCACTGATTTTTCGTCGTAACCTTCCTCATTTTTAGCTTTACAAGTCAATGTAGTACTTTTATCAGCTTTTTTTATATTTAAAGTGCTCAAGTACTTGGCAGATTCTAATTCCATAACCTTAGGGAAGTGTATTTTCAAGTTTATTTCATATTTTATGATATAAAGATGTGTTGATTATTTTAGTACCCCATTATATGATAATGTAGTAAAAATTGTCGTACAATTTTTAGATATGTATCTCTTTGTGTCATCCGTTAAAGAACTTACCGCAGATTCGAAAAAATTACCATCGTTATCTATCCATGTAATATTTGGCATCGGATATGCACGAACTTGACAGTTTATCGATATTACGTCATTAAATTCTAAATTTATATGCGAATCTCCTAGAATTCTAACTTGTGGAGAAACCTGAACTTTTTCTTCTGCAATGAAATATTTAATTCAGCATTTATACTTTATATATAAACGCAAATATTTGGACTTTAGCTTTTTGGTTAAATTTTGAATTTCGTGATACGATATTCAATGATCGTTGTGACCATAGTCGTATATGTAACAGTTTATTAGCGAAAAGCCTCGGCTAACGTCTCTAAAAGAGAGATGTAACAATATAAAACTTACCTGCACCAACTATAGAGACGTTGAATTCAGTTTTTTCCGTTTTAAACCCGTTAGATATTTGGACATAATATTTCCCTGTTAAATAAGGTTGCATTTGTTTTATCCTCAACGTTGTATTATCCGGTGCAATTTCTAAATCTGTATTGTTACTTAGTTTTTCATTATTTCTATACCAAGAAATTTCAGCAGGTGGATAGGCGTCGACTTTACATTTTAGTTCTTCACTTTTCTTGTACTCTATTTTAATATCTAAATAAAAGAAATTATATTCATATACATTTTTTTGTTACACATACAAAAAATCTAAGAGCGTTGTAAAATTACCTTACCTTTTGGATATTCCAATATATTCAAAAACATATTTTGTTTTACCTCTAAGACCACTGATTTTTCGTCGTAACCTTCCTCATTTTTAGCCTTACAAGTCAATGTAGTATTCTTATCAGCTTTTGTTATATTTAAAATACTCAAATACTTGGGAGAGTCCAATTCCATAACCTTAGGAAAGTGTATTTCCAAGTTTATTTAATATTTTATAATATGAAAATAAGTTCATTATTTAGTAAACTACTATTTGATAGTATAGAAAGATAAAATAGTATAGAAATAAATAGTATAAAAATTGTCGTACATTTTTTTTAAATATATATCTGTTTGTGTCATCTGTTAAGAACCTTACCTTAGATTCAAAAAAATTACCATCATTATCCATCCATGTAATATTTGGCTTCGGATTTGCACGAACTTGACATTTTATCGATATTACGTCATAAAATTCTAAATTTACATGCGAATCTCCTAGAATCGAAACTTGTGGAGGAACGTGGTTTTTTTCTTCTGCAATGCAAATTTTAATAATATATATTTATCAATTTATATAGCTTTATGTATGATACTAGCATTGCCAGCGGCTTCGCCCGCGTTCAGGTGACCAAACACCAAATTCTTAGGTTTTACATATTAGTATACTCTTACATTGCAGTTTTTGTATTTTTTCTCAGAAATGAGACATTTTTGACCCGGATGACCAGCTATCATCATACCAAATTTCATCAAAATCTGTCCAATGGTTTTCTCGTGATGCGGTAACAGACAGACAGACAGACAAAAATTATAAAAACTATAGATTCGATCTCTGTATATGTATGATATCTGTGACTATTTCAATTAGATTTTCCAAAAAATATTCAATGTACAGATTCGACTTAGTTACAATTTTATTATATGTATAGATTTATCAATTTATATAGCTTTAGTACCATCTGCTTAGAGCCTTATTTCATTAAAAATCGACAGAAAGGATTTTTACAAAAAAAATCCATCCCACGGTAGCCGTACATTTTTCCAGCATAAAAAGTAACCAATGTGATATTGCAGAGTATCTGTCTTATGCCTTCCGATCTGGATCGTTCAGCCGTTCTAGCATGATTGAGTAACAAACATCCAACCAAACTTTGGCATTTATAATATTAATAATATGTATAATTAATAATGTGATAAAAAAGCCTATGGAAGTTGCCTAAAGTATAAAATCATATTCTCTCCAAATTTTAATTATCTATCATCTAACATCTTTAGTTAGGGCTGAACGTTGATAAGTCAGTGAATCGTGACCTTGCCTTGTATATATGTATAATGATAATATGTATTGCGAGTGTACCTTAGGAGATAGATATATGATATTGTGGACTTTTCTGTTTTACCGTGGGAATGAAAGATTTTTCTGTAGTAAAAGGTATCCTAAATGTTAACCAGAGTAATAAGTTATCACTACCCAAAATTTAAAAGTTTATTTCATAAATACTAAGCAGTTGACAATCATAAGAAGTTTCTCTTTTGGACTCACAATATTTAAAAAGAATCTTAATTACCTATTTTAACTATATCCGGGTTGGGATGTTCGATTGTGGTTGTTGTAACTCTTGTAATTTTTTCTTTTGATTTAGTTAAACCATGAATCTGTAAGCAGCAACATATACATTTAATTTAAGCCTTGGTTTATTAGTTTATTTTATAGAATATAGAATAATACAGGCAGTGGTAGCTCAGTGAAGCGCGAATGTAGCGGGTTCAAATCCCGGGTCTTGCACCTCTGATATTTCTATGTGCGAATCACTTCCAACATTAGGTACCACTTGTCTTACGATGAAGAAAAACATCGTGAGGAAAACTGCATGTCTGAAGAACCTAGCAAGTTTTGGAAAGACATGTAGATTATAACGCAAACTTCGTCTAATGTGTAATTCAGAATCACAGTTAAGACTTATATCACTTACCGCTATTCGAAACATTGTATAGGGAACATCAAAAGGTTCTGTGACGTAAAATTGTAGCTCGTCATTTTGTAGCTTCAAAGTCTCTGTTCTTAAAACATCTTCATTTTCATCAACTAAGTCAACGGTATCTAGCAAAACGTCTCTTGCACTATTATACAGTTCAATTGATAGAAAATGTTTATCTGAAATATATTTTTTTAAAATGTTATTATATTATTTTTTATCAAAAAATCTATTGCGTCTATTATAATAATAATAGATCTTTTTTTTTCAAGTAAGCATAACTGATAAAGTATCTACGTACACAATCTTACACAAAGCTACTACGTCATATTACTACTATTTTATTTAAACTTTTAAACTAATATCAATGAGTCAAGAAAAGGAACAGAGACAAAGATTCTAAGGAGCGGATAAAATGTTTACCTATTCTGGTAGGGTTGGCACAGTAGCATAAAATAAATAAACAAAACGTTTATCAGCTTTTTATTAAACAACTATGATATAATTTCTTTTTACAAATTACTTACTCTAAATTTTTTTAATTTTATTTTTAAATAATTTGTTTATTTAATTGAACGGTAAATTCTAAATTCAACTATTTTTTTTAAATAATCTAATGGAAAGCAGTCGCATGGCATATCAAATTTACATTCTTGCACACGCATTAAAACACTTTCAAACCGTAAAACAATAAACACGAAGCACAACTTCAAGCAGCGACGACTGAATCCTGAGTTTGAGCACACACCGAGCCCGTATAAACATAAACCGACTTTGAACCATGCACGACGAAGCCTAGTCAAAGTCTAGTATAGTATTATATTATGATCTGTGATGAAGCTTTGGATGTTCCTTTTCTATAGTCATATGCTAATACTATTGTTATATATTTTAAATCATAGTACCTGTTATTTTACCCGATGGTTTGATGGAAGTTTCTTTTAAAGAGGTTGGTAGTACGGTAGAAAATCCATGTTGGAAGCATATAGTAGTTGACGCGCTTACCGTAACTAAAGTTTTAACCTTAGTATTTAACTTAATAAAGTATACTCCATTTATTTCATTTTTTAATTGAAAAATCTTAAAAACAATAAAAACATACTTAATATTAGTTGTTGACTATCATGTAGGTATTTAGAATTCTTCTGACATTTAACTGTTTTATCAAAGACAATATACTTAAATATTAGTAATTATAACATACGATAATTACATATTACCAATAACCATGATATGGCCAATAAGACTTTTTTATACCAACTTTGTTTTTTTCTGTAGATAAGAATTGTACTACTTCAACTTCTTTGCCATCGGAGTTAAAAACGGTGATGTCTGGATCAATGGATGAGACACAAATAAATACATCCGAAATTTTACTATCTATTGTGAACTGAAAAAATATATTTTACGTAGTAAATCGTAGAAGAAAGCGTAAAGACATACATGAAAATTAAATTAGTAAAAGATGCTACTATTGATTTACAAAGACAAATTAGCCTCTTATCTTTTGAACTACTTACTTGAACTTTTTGGTCAAATTTGTCCACAAATTTTTTTCGCTTTAGTACAGTAATTTTAGATTTTAAAGAATTCGCGACAAAATCTATAACCTGAAAAATAAATGAATATGTAATAATCTATACATATAATAAAATTCTAACTAAGTCAAATCTGTACATTAAATATTTTTTGGGAAATCTAATTGAAATAGACATTATTATCGATACAGAGTCCGAATCTATAGTTTTTAGAATTTTTGTCTTTCTGTCTGTCTTTCTGTCTGTTTGTCTGTTACCGCGTCACGAGAAAACCACTGGACAGATTTTGATGAAATTGGTACGATGATAGCTGGTTATCCGGGTCAACATATAGGCTACTTTTTACCGCGGGAAAATATCTCATTTCTGAGAAAAAATACAAAAACACGAAAACTGCATTGTTTTTGGTCATCTGAACGCGGGCGGAGCCGCGGGCAATGCTAGTATTAATATAAAATACAAAAACACTTTCAGTTCATATTTTCAAATAATAATGTCCCTTAAAAATACTCTCATATTCTCTCTCTCATCTCATAAAAGCCAACTAAAACATGAAAACAAGTTGACGAAAGAATCAATAGTATTATGCAGTCGGAGACACACGTTTCATCCTTTCCGCGAAATGTAGGTACACCTCTGTGTACATATTATCTACATAATATGTACATATGTTTCGAGTGTAAGTTTAAACTTATACTCGAAACCCAGCTATGATGAATGGATTTGGCTGATTTTGGATTTTTTTGAATTTCCTATACAAAAACTAAAAAGTTTACCATTTGAGACTTTCTGCTAATATATTTTTTAAGGGTTGTCCCATGAAAATTAAGCAAGGTATTTCTAGTATAGTACATTAATTTTACAACTATATTTATTTTTTCTTTCGAGAATAACTCAGATTCCATATAAAGTATAGTGAATTTCCCTCGTTTCGCTTGGGTGAGTCTCTGGGTACGTTATAGATATGAATAGTTATTGCGAGTGTACCTTAGGAGAAAGACTTATGCCATTGCACATTTTTCTGCAGGCCTTACTAAGACCTATAATCTTCTAGTACATAGTTTTGATGTATCTTTTTAGGTTAAGCCAGCGTTAGACATGTAAATTTCTAAGAACGACTCGATAGAACCAGTTATTCTGTTTTTCAGTGGGGATGAAAGATTTTTCTGTAGTAAAAGGTATCCTAATTTTTTAAATCATTTTCAATGGGTAAAAGTTTTAGTTAATGGTATCAAAGACCCAAAAAAAATCATTCAAATCCATTCATTATAATTTTTTAACATACATTTTTTTTTCAACATTTTTTTTTCATATTAAAGTAATCTATACTAATAAGTTATATTATAAAGAGGCAGAGTTTGTTTGTTCGTTCGTTCATTCGTTCGTACTTTCACTCGTTCGCTAGCTCGTCCTATCGTTTAGTCGTTAGTTTATAATAAAATAATAAATGTCGTGGTTTATATAGATTTAGTGTTCTTTTTGATTTTGTTGTCCGTTATTTTTTCAAATTCTCAAATTTTCACTTAAAAATGAATCGAAATCAGAGAATCAGCCATAAATTGATTTACGAAGTAAAAATAACATTTTATAAAAATATACAGTAAAGTTAAAAAATATTGCAATATTCAAGTGATAGAATTGTTTATACCTTGGCAACGTCATCTTTTTCAATATTAAAGACATGTCCCGATGTCGCCTCTGCTAGCTCATCGTAAACAACAAAACGTTTTTCCGAAGAAAATCTACAGCGTCCGGTCAAAAGAAAATTCACCTGTAATTTAGTATTCAAAATCATTATTATTTATCAAATTAATTAATATAAACATCTCAAATCGTGTTCAAAGTCTTAGCAGTTACCTTTGTACAACTTTTTAAAAAGATATGAGTAATGCAATTTGATGGTATCGTAATAAGCACTTTTAATTTGGTTTTAATAAAGGTATCTTGTCTTCCAAAATGTTTAGTAGTTTAATAGAAAAAAATCAGCCACCTGAGTTGACTTTTTCTGGCTGAGACTTTTAACAACTTCCATTTTTTTATAATCACTAGCAGAGGCATCAGTGAATACATATATAAATGAGTTAGGATGAGTGATCTCCAGTGCTTGTTCAATGCCTGACATAGAAGCTTCAGGACAATCACCTCCCTTTACCAGCTCAATTTCGTTTAGAGCTTTTTTGAATTCTTCTGTATTTCGGGTGTCAGTACGTACTTGCACATCTGGAAAAATTATACAATATGCTTTGAACTACAGACTACTTATAAATATTTAGTCGTTATAGATTTTGTCGTGCTCTCTTTTGAAGAATTTTCACGTTGTTCGCTTAGTATTTATGATTTTTTGCTTTTTGTGATGCACAAATAATATTGTTTTTCTAGTTTTTTATCAATTTATTTTAAATATAGCTTATGCTTTTAATATTAGCTAGATGAAGCGTTATCCGTGTCCGCCAACCCGCACTTTTCAAAAGAGCTGAATACTATGATCTCTTATTATTATAGTTAAAATATTATACATCAATTTGTGATGTATTTACTATATTTATGTATACGTATCGAAATAGATTTGCTTTGCTTAAAATTAGCTCGAATAAAGGAAAAAAATTTTAAATTTTAGTTTAACAATTGTGTGTTACACTTGCAATGTCCATGTTGAAGCAGAAAAAAATATTAATTAAATATTGCATAACTAATTGAAAAATTGTAATAAAAAAATCCGCCGGATTATTGTTCCTTTATCTATCCAGTAAGCCCCAGATTTTTTTCATTTGTTAAATTTTATATTTAATATGTTAAAATATTTTTTATTGATAAAGTGTCCGAAGTAGGCGTGGCTTGCGCAAGCCAGAGCACCCGTTTTAAGTCGTATTTTAGTTCCTCTGAGAAAATTATAAATATTGGTTCTACAGTTCTGGGAGTTGACATTTTTTTAGGGAATTTCCTTCTCTTTTTGAATCTCTTTTTAGGTTTTAAAAATCTCAATTAATTTTAGAGATATTTGCAAAGACTAAACCCCATATTTATTTTTAGTTAATAGTTTATGAATTGAATTCCAAATCGAATGACACCTCATTCATATTTTTCCGAGACTGCTGAAAAACGTTGACCTAAAAGGCTTTTGACTTGACTATAAATCCGTAAAAAAATATAGTACATCTATGAACGTATTCAATTTATTATTTAAATCATCTTATCATAGTAAAAATATAAATAAGGTTCGATGTATTTCGATTAGTTTTGTCATGAATGATGAATGAAATAGATACTAAAATAGCATTAAAACGTAGAAGTACCTACAGGTAAGACCGAAGTACAATTTTTTGTCTCTATCTAACTTGTCACGCAAAATACACTTTTTATTGAAATGTACGGTTGATAAATATTCGATAGTAATATATTAAAAACAAATATAAGAGATGTGCATATTTTCAATGAATAGATCTAGTCTAAATGAAACTTTTATTTCGTAACTAGCGACTCACCCTCGCTTTGCTCGGGTTCGTCCCTAGGTACGTTTTAAATTAAAATGGATATAGTATGTTATCCTTATGAGATAGACATATGCCATCGCGGACTTTTCTGTAGACCTATATAAGATACACAATTCCACCATACATTATTTTGTTATGTCTCAAAAGGCAGCGTTTTCGTTAAAAGCTCCCAGACGTCTTATTTTTTCCGACACCTCCAACCAATATTGTAATATTTTAGCCAATGTATACAAAAACTTAACAAATTATATACTAAAACTTTCCTCTTGAATCACTCTATCTATGAAAAAACCGCATTAAAATCCGATGCGTAGTTTTAAAGATTTAAGCATACATAGGGATATAAGGACAGAGAAAGCGACTTTGTTTTATACTACGAGTATGTAGTGATACTATGTAGTGATGCCTATTGTAAGAATTTACCTCTAACCAAAGACCACTACTTTCCCATATTTATTACACTTTCACATCATTTTTCACTTATTTAACACAATCACAATTCATATTATAAGAATTTACATTATGACACTTTTAACTTTTTTTTAACACTCGAAAAAATACACTGACTTCCTTTTTACAAAACACCTCGTTAATACCTTACGATTTTTCCACTTCCACATATTTTAATTACAGGGTATATGTTTTGATTTATTTTAAGAATCGTACTTAATTCATACTAAATACAGTTTTTGGTGCTGCAATCTCCAATAGCTTGGCAGGAAATAATTATTTTAGTTGACACTAAATAATAGTGATAACTACGAGTACATTTATTCTATTCTCATACCAGTAATAATACATAATATTGCTAATACCATCATCCAATTATCAGATTTAAATCCTATAAGTCATTTAATTTTTTAATTAAAAATGATATTATCTTAATAATAACTTGTTTATTTTCACTCCCCTTAGGGATGATTTCCAGGATAAAAGTATCCATTGTCTTTCCTAGGGTCTCAAACTATCTTCTTACCAAATTTCATTTAAATCGGTTCAGTAGGTCCAGAAATTACCCCCTACAACGTCACAAACTCACAATTCACAAACTTTACCTCTTTATTATATTAGTATAGATAGACTATATAAATATAATATAGACGTATAGGTTTTATAGCCTCCATAAATAATAAGTAAGCACATTTAAAAAACGAAAACACACAATTAATAATAATTGAAATAAAATAGAATTTAGTACTTACTAGGATCATCAAAAGTAACTAAAACAAAATTATCTATATGATTTGTTTTTGAATTAATTACATTATTAAAAACTATATCCGTGGTTTTCTTCACTTGAATTATTTCTTTTCCCATTGAACTAGTTCTATCTATAACAAAAGCTAAACTAGATTTTTCTTCGTGTCCGTTCACATAAAACAAAACAAATTCCATCACTAACAAAATTAATATTTTCTGCGGCATCGCGTACAACAGTCGATGAACTTATAACCTTTTATAAGATTATGTTTTTATCGTCTATACATAACTACAGTGTACCACGTATGAGAGCTGTAGACAATTTGCCTGAAGTTACACTGATTTATTTTAAACTTGGGAAACCCTGCACTATTGACATGCTAATTATGTTTAATTTAAAATAAAAACACAGTTGTAATTTTTGTCTTACTTCATGAGTGTTATTAGCTTTGTTAGTTCATATTATCTATTACTATAATAAAATTGTAGAGGTCGAATGTCTGTACATAGAAAAAAATCGCTAAAAACCGAGTCAGGGGGGTGTAAGAAGAGAAAGAGAACAAATCCAGAATTTTTCCAATTTTTTTGTTTCTCTGTTTGTTTGTCTGTTTGTACGGGTTAATCTCCGAGACTGTTGGGCTGATTTAAAAGAAATTTTGCATGGTGGTACCTTATATCCCCGGACAACATTTTAGATACTTTTCATCTCGGAAAATTAAAAAGTTCCCGTGGGATAGTTAAAAAACTATAGTAACTTATACAGCTTAGTACACAAAAAGTACTGATTGGATTTTAATGAAACTTTACAAAATATAGTTCATACATCACAATAGCAAATAGGCTACTTTGTATCCCGGAAAAATGTACGGTTCCCGTGGGATAAATTTGTTTTTGTTTATATAGAAGCGAATCCCAGCGAAGCGAGGGTGAGCCGCTAGTGTATGTAATAAAATAAAAGATTGAATAAAAAAGTAGAATTTGTAGGACAACGACTTTTTTATATTATTGTTTTTGAATACTTATGCCCGTCGATATAATATATTAGTATGGGAACATAGAATAATATAAATAATTTTAATCAATTAAGATACAGGGTTTTATAATTGAACTAGAATAGGGTGATTTAATATTTTCTTATTTATACTTTAATAAACATAAAAATCATGTTATTTACATACAGAATCAATTAAAAACTAGCGACTCACCCTCGCTTAACTCGGGTTCGTCCCTAGGTATGTTTTCATTTTTTTAAGGGAACCCTTATTCTTTTCTAAATTAAAAGATTAACATTAGCTATCTTCCAGTGAAAGTCCCGTCAAAATCAGTCCAGCCGTTTCAGAGACTATCCGGAACTAAAAGACAGACAAAAATAAAAAAAACATGTGTTTTTCTTATAAGTAGGTACCGTATACTTATACTTTCATATGCATTTAGAAAAACGCTGTTATTTTGACATTACAAACAGATACTTCAATTCTATTTATCTATATAGTTATAGATAATACTTTGCAATGCTATCCTTATGATGAAACAGGAAAAAATATTATGTAAACTATAACTGTGACAAAAATAATTTAATAATATCGCGTGCTAGAGACTGTATAATGTGTTTACACAAAAATAATCATAAAAAATCGCACGTTTGAAGGTCTTAATATCCTAAGACAGTAATCAAAGTGTGACATTAACAAAAAGAAGGTGAGAGAAGAAGAAACAACTGGGGATCGGTGTTCACAAATGTTATTTACAATCTGAATATATATTAGGTTAATCTAATTGTAATTCAGTTTGTTATAATGTTCCAAGGTTATAAATAAATTATGTTTTATTTATTTATAAGCTTGATTTTAAATCTCTTTTAAAAATGTTGTCAAGGAAGCGAGGCTAGGAACTTAATCGTGTCGTACTTCAACTTGTGGTACATTTCAGTTTTTGGGTTGTTATCATTTAAATATATGTACTATCAGTAAATATTTTATTATTTGTCTTATAAATGGAGGTCTAAATTATTTTTATATTTAAGTGGCTTTTACTTCAACATTTTTTTGACTTTCATATGAATATAGTTTTATGCTGATTAGATTTTTTAGAAATAAAATTTAGATGAAATCTGGTAAGAAAATAGTTTGAGACCCTGGGAAGGTCATAGGATACTTTTATCCCGGAAATCATCCCTTAAGGGGGTGAAAATGGGGATGAAAGTTTGTATTTGGAATTAAGCTAGGGACGAACCCGGGTGAAGCGTTGGTGAGTCGCTAGTCTATTATACATAGTCTTACTTCTGGCCCTAAATATTGTTACAAAGAAAAAATGTTTTTTTCTATTGCATGTAACATTTATTACTATTATAGTGTGTTAGTTTAATACATTAATATAAAACCATTAAAAATATATAAAGCTTGTTCGAAATCATCTCCATTGGCTGCACTACAGTCCCTTAAACATTGAGGCCAGTTATCAATAGAAGCACGCACTCTTTCTATGGGAAAATTCTTCACTGCCAATCGTATGGATTGTTTTATTGACTCCAAATTATCATGGCATTTAGAGCAAGCCATACTCTCTAAAACTGACCATAAATCATAATCCAGCGGATTAATATCGGGATTAGATGACGGCCAGTCGTCAGCTCTGATGAAGTCCGGAAGGAAGGGTTTCTAACCAAGATTGCGTGGATCGAGCTTTATGACCCGGCGCCAAATCTTGCTGAAAGGACCATTCTTGGTTATTGAACATGGTGTTGTTAAGGAGCTTAACTATCTTCTCAAGAATGCTATCTTGATACACTTGTGCCGATGTTTTGGTACCTTTTTCACAAAAATTTAGCTCAGTCACTCCTTCATACCTAACACCCCACCAACCCATCACTGAAGTTGGATAATGCCCACGTTATAATCTGTTGACTAATTGGGAAGCTTCCTTAGAGCTTTAAGCATAAATACGGTCATTTTGTTTGTTAAAATATTGCTCAATTGTAATAAAATCTCATCTTTAAATATCATTTTTCTGTGACCTCCATTTGAGTACCGCTTAAGTAGTTGTTTTGATTTTACGACCCTATTCTTTTTTTAAATTATCAGTTAAGAAATTACCAGTGCGTCTCATAGGCTGCAATTCCTAAGTCATCTTTTAAAATACGGGACATGGTTCTAGGTGCTATCTTCATCTCCCGAGATAAAATCTTTTGCTTTCGGACAGGATTTCTTTGAATTATTTCACTTACTGTTGTGATCACCTTTTTTGTACGAACACTACGTGGATATTAGATTTTTTTCTGTCATAAACAGAGGAGGTTTCATTGTACCTATCAATAGTCCGGTACACAAACATTTGACTAATACCAAGCGTATGGAGAGTTTTAAAAAATGTATTTGGCTCCATACCTACTTGTGTAATGCAATCACAGCGATTCGGTTCCCTTTATCACCCCACTCCATTTTAATAACACAAAATATTTTACAATGTATTGGCGCGAAAATGAGAAAAAACAATGAACAATCGTATAAAAATGAGAGATTCCAAATTCAAATGCAATATTTTGTTTATTTTTAATTGTAACAGTATTTATGGCCAGACTATGTATATAAAAAAGAATTATTAACGTTTACAATCAATGAAGATATAGCGAACATACATAAATGTACAAAAATTGCAACCTTCGTCATTTTAGAAATTAAAAAGGTGTTCTAGCATTGTGCTACTAGTATGATTATTCTTAGTATATAGTTAAACATATTTGCGCTGTGATCATCAACAATTTAGAGCTATTATTAATATTTTACATGGCAGTTGCACAACTTCCTGCAACGCTTTGTCTACACGAGGAAATGCAAGTTATATCGAGAAGATTCTACATACATACATATAATATTTTACAGTTAATTTACTTCTGTAGAACAATATATTTAAAGTTGAAATTATAAAAGTACGATCTTGTATGTGCACGTTTTCTATGAACTTTACATTTGTCATGAAATTGCAAACAAAACGCAAGGGCACAAGGTTATCAAATATATACAGTGTATTCAATATGTTGCATTAAGTGGAGGGTTAATAAAATAATTAATATTTTATATATGTGATACTAGCCTCACTTAACACGTGTTTGTTTTTTTTAGGCAGGCAGATATTCGGGAACTGGGTTTTCCACATCTCAATAAAAAGGTATTGCTGTATATAATAAGGTATAGCCTAAATAGGTAGATTTCATACAAATGTTCATCCTATCCTATTTCACTCCTTTGTAGGATGAATTTTGAAAAAAGCTAAAACACGTATTTTGTTTAATTATATTGAAGAGCAGTAATACCAAGTTTTAAGTAATTCTGATAATAAATTTTTTTTTAGGTAGTATAACGTGCTTTTCCGTGGGAATGAAATAATATCCCTCGGTATAAAGTAGCCTATGTCGCTCTCCAGCCCCCCAACTATCTTCACACAAAAAATCACGCCAATCCATCTCTCTGTTTCGACGTGAAAGAAGGACAAACAAACTAATAAAGAAACAAGTACACTTTCACACTTTATAATATTAGTATGGATGAATTAGTATAAGTGTTTTACATCCTGTAACTGGCTACTTAAAAGCTGCAGTGCTTTAATTTTCAGAATGTGAAAATTGCACGTCTGTGCATGAGTAAAGTTGTGTGTTTATGCTAGTTTAAAAAAAATTGTAAGATATACAAGAAAATAATAAAAAAAATTAAAAAGTCCGACTGTGTAAAAGAGATGAGAACCAAGTTGTTTCCGATTGCATAATACTATTCTTTCTTCGTCAAATTGTTCCCATCCTTTAAGTAAGTTCGTATTTTACGCAGTTGGTCTTTTTTTGTAAATATTTATTATATTTACAATACTTTAGTTTTGGACTTTGATTAAAATCGATTAAGCCGTTTAATAATTATGAGGGAACATAGAGTCAGACAGACATTCACATATATAAATACATACAAGTCAAACACATACATACCATTGGGCTTCGCCGCAATCGGAAACAAACCAATAAAGATTTTTTTTAATGCTTTTATTGTAATTAATTAAATTTAAATAAGTATCCGATATAACTACGAGTACATACGTTGATGATACTATGCCAGCTAGATATGGGTAGCTTGCCCTTAACTATTATGATGAAGTCATGTCTCGCACAAGGAAACTGCTAATAGTGCTTTAGTTGTCAACTACCAGTTATGAAAGTAACCTTTACAAAATGGTTCCGAAATATATTGTATTGTTATTAGTAGCACGAAGTGTGTTTTGCCAAAAGAGTTTTACTTTAGTTGTAGATACAACAGAGTCAATGAAGTTTGAAACAGATCATTTGAAATTGAGTATAGAATCTTTATTAAAAGCTGTTAAATCTACTGATTTAGCTAATTACATTTTAATTCCTTTCGGTGATCAAGGTAAGAATAAAACTTAAATACTTTATAAAATTGCTTTATTAGGGCTGTTAATAAGAAAATGATGTAAAATATTAAAAACTCAGCAATTTCTTAGACTTAATGCTGGACATGGGTCTTCCCTCAATTAGGGTTGTCGGACTTCGTATTCACTTTCAAAAAATAGGTAGGTTTTCTAAGATATGCGAGTTTCCTCATAGTGTTTTCCTTCACTGTGTAAACATGTTGAAAATGTTTCGCACATGAAGATGTCAGATATGCGAGAGAGACATTGAACCTATACATTCATATGTCATCCTTACTGTGTACAAAATTTGTACATAAGATTTTTACTTAAAATATTACAAATAAGGGTGGTCCAGAAAGAAAATAATTTTTGAAAATGAAAATCAATGACGTTATTGGCGGTTACTACAGTCTTCCAAACGGGTACGAAAATTTTGAAAAGCTTTAACAAGTTTTTTTTTAAAATGGGTTTAATTTCTTGCTGCATATTCACCTTCCATTGCCGCTATGGTGTCCGACTGTTAGCATATAAATTATCTTGCTTTTAAGGGAACCCTATAAAAATAAGTTAGCTGGACTTAAATCGGGACTCCTCGGAGGCCAGGATATGTCACCCCTCCGTGAAATCAGTTTTTGAGTTTATGAGTTCATACTCTTATTCGAAGTGTGACACGTAGCTTCATCCTGCTGAAACCAAGTGTTAGGATCGTAACTTGTTGTCTTCATAGAAAAGTTGTCCAATGATCCCCATTATGTGATTCCCACACACATTAACCATTAACCTTAGGCAATTGAAGTGGCTTCTGGTCTTTTAGATGGGAATTATTATATGCCGCCCATTGATGATGATGTTCTCCTAGCCGATTCCGGCTACGGTGGCCAATCTCATTGAGACTAGCCAACTGCGCAGGAGATATTATAGTGCACAAGTGTACGCGCAGACACAAGTGCACTCTCTATTCCTATCACTCTCATACTCCGGTGGGACGACCACTCGACACGACCAGTGAGAGTTAAGGCGCAGGACCGACGGCTTTATGTGCTCTCCGAGGCACGGGGGTGAAACACCGCCAACTTCCTAACTCCGGGCTGTCACTGGGAATTACTATACAGAAAGACTCAATAACTAAACTTGGCCCGACCCGGGACCCGAACCCAGGACCTCCGAATGTGCAGCCGTATATGCTAGCCACTACACCACCGAGGCAATCAAATGCAGCCCATTACCGAAAAGGCGTCGAATAACCACGTAAGATCGAAAGTTCTCGTAATAGGCGTGGACGTAGAATGCGCGCTGTTTCCTGTGTAGTGACTCATTGTTATCAAAATTGCAATGGCCGCGCTAATGCACCGACACCCGTCCCACGACCCTCCCCTGTAACGTTTAGAAATTAGTGCGGATTCAAAAGTGAATTTCTTTTTGGACCATACCAATACTTCGTCTATCTGTATCTTTAATTACTTTATATATCCTATATTATTTAAGAAAATATTCATTTTTTCGTAAAATAAGATGATGAAGAAGATAAGTAATAGATTCAAAAAGAGTGACAAAAAAGTCTACAAGAGTCGAATTACATAATAATTAAAGCCAAAATAATGGCCCTCGGGGACATAATCGCAAGACAATAATTATTATTCGAAGTTGTCAAATTACGTTTTTGAAATTATTTACTACACAAAGATTCATTCATTTTCCGGCAGTCACCAAACTTCTAGCAAACATATGCCAATTTTCTATTGCTATCTCCTAATCTATCCGGTGCTGGCTTTATAGGTATTATAATTATGACAAAACTAACTAATTAAGTCAATGTATTCTAGAAATTATTTATCATATTTTTTCTTTTAACGGTTAGATGTCGGTCCATCAATAATATCGAACACTACTAGTGGATTATTGGATGTAATCGAATTGTTGGAGGTCAGCGGCGGGCAAGACTGCCATGAAAACTCTCTAGCTGCCATCGAAAAAGCGCTTCAAGTTAGCTTACCCAAATCGTACATTTACGTATTCACTGACGCACAACCCAACCGATATACTCAATTGGATTCAATCAAAGAATTATGCCAAAAAAAAGAAGTCAGGTAAAATTTTACAAAATTACTAAAAAATAAAGCGTATGTTCATCGTATTTTGTATAACAACCTACTAACCCCAATATTTGGGTAAACTAGGGCTTTAAACAAGATGTTGACAAATATTGAAATAACTTTAATCGTCATGTCATAGAATCATCTGTTTCACATCTCCATATATTTTAGATTTCTATTCTTCAGCGATTGTAGAATGACATCATGTCTACAGGTTCCTTAGTTTTCCAAAAATTTAACAAGTTCTTCCTTGTAGATGATATGAGAAACTGATTAAGCCTAAACCAAACGATTCTACGATAGGCAGTGGTTCAAAGAGCATACTAGCATTTTATAACGCCTAAATTGGCTATAGTAGAGGGAAATCTAAAAATCTATATAATTTAAGGCGTTATTGGTGAAGCAAAAAGCTTTATTTGAAGTTAATTTCAGGTAGTAATATTTCAAAGTGGTGAATGTGAACAAAATGATGACCCTAGGCAGATTGAAAATGACAATGCCTATAACGAAATAACAAGCAGTTGTGGTGGATCAATATTTCATTTAACATTGGGCACTTTTCGCGATGTAAGTATATTTTTTATTATATTTGAACTAACATAGGCATAGATAGCATGGACTAATATAGACGTGGAAGAAGTCTCATCCCCGATGCCCCATTTCTTTCGTTCCCAAGATTTACCCAATCTATCCTACCGAAAATGCTTTGACACGACATACCTACTCATGATAGCGAAAAAATAAATTGCGCGGTGGGAGAATATTGAAAAGCCAGCCGACAATATTTTAAGTTATGAATATCTAATAGGTAAATATGTATGTATTTTACGTATCGAAATATATTAGATTTGCATTGCATCGGCTGGCACCGACTTTGAAAATATCTGATTAGGTATCTATTCTACATGAAAACCCCCGTTTAGTTATTTTTTACATTTTAGTACCTTGAAGTCGGTTTATTTTTAATTTTTTTTCCGTAATATAGTGTACAGTTAGCGTTCACTATTGAAAAAAATATATTAATTCTAGTAGCCCGAGTTTTAGTCCAGGTCATAATATATCTCCTTATAGTGGCGGGGAGGGGGAAGGGGAGGCTCATTAGCGTTTGGCAAATACAATTGGGTGCGAAGCTAATAAACGCACTGGGAGGTGGCCCACTTCAGTGGGCGGCGTACCATGCGGGTTTATCCTGATACTTCTCTGATAGCAGAGTAGACTGTTGGAGCACCCTCATGATTATTGTGGGTCTGCTCTGGCAGACCTGCCGTCGGGGCGTCGTGGCTGAGTGCGTAAGCGATCCTGCGATGCCCCCTTAAGACGGTGGAGGTTTTGTCGGGTTTTAGTGAATAGTACTGGCTTTTCTAGCCGGTGAGTCCCACAGTATATAGGTGGTATGCGTGAATGCATTTCCTAACATTAAAAAAGGTCATAGTATATCTGTGTGCTAAATTTCATCGAAGTTCGCCTAGCCATTTCAGCGATGTAGATCAGTTTCAGTTGACGAATATTCGAACATACACAAACATACAATCTATCATATTTATACTAGTGTTATAATAATGTGTATAGCTGTATCCGGGAATCTTAACCTTATTTTTAACAAATATTAAAATGTTAAAATAATTTAATACTATTCATTTCATAAAAAATAGGAAATTTTCTTTCTCTCTTTTTCGGTATTAATCTTCTCGTCCCCGTTACCGAAAATGCATTAAATACTGTACTTTTTTCTCACATGATATAGAGATTAAGAATAAGTATTAAACATAATAAATTAAATCAAATCGATTTCCACATAAGAACAATATTTTTATCAAACTTTATATTTTTTATTTATTGATTTATATACTCTTGACTGTACACCACTGTAATTAAACATAAAAATAAAAAAACAAAGTATCTGAAAGAACGTGTAAAAAATAAGGTTTTTTGAGGAATCAGCATATCGTATTAAACTTTACTCTCTCTATGCAACCTACTATTATTATTTTATAAAATTGAGGCAAATAAAATCTATACAGTATTTTTCACAAATTAGCCACCAACTGATAGACGTGACAAATTAATTTGTATTAATTACAATTTACTATGATTAAACATGAAATTAATAGCATTTTGTTCATTACAGGCTTTTAAATATATTAAAGAGATTACTAAGGTGGATTGGACCGATATAGACACGCACAGAGAATTCAGGCACAACAAACAATTTACGGTAAAAACAACATCGATTGTAAATATTTATTTAATAATTTCTTAGATTTACGCGAATATTTTGCATTTTGAATAAAACTATCTTTTCATATTTTTTCACAGTTTTTTTTTGAGTTTTGATTCCCAAGGTTTCGAATGCTTTACAGCAAAAATTCTAAGGGAACAGACTATGCCTGAACCAGAAGTATCCACCGTGACATGTACTAATGCTTGCTGCAAAGCATTCAAAACTACAAACTTCAAAGTAAATCCGCGAAGAAAATCTAACAGATAGTTTTATTTAAAATATTTAAACATTAAATTTAAAACAATTTGTAATTTATGTTCCAGCTCACAATAGATACTTATACAAAAGACATCGTAGTATCTATATCTGGCGATAATCCTACATTGCAAATATCAAATATTTTCGGAAACAGTATCACAGTAAATAAAATTGTTGAACATAAAACTATGCTTGTAAGTATAAATGTTAGAAATGAAATACTTTAATATTAATTCAGTTAATATTTTTTTTACTTTTTAAATAATAATGTCCTTACGAGCGATTTCGTCCACGGCGGCCAATCTCATTGTGATTAGCCAATTGCGCAAGAGATATTATAATTCACTTAGAGGATTACAATAGCACTATAGTGCACAAGTGTACGCGCAGACACCGGTGCACTCTCTATTTCTGTCACTCATATTCTGGTGGGAAGATAATTCGACACAACCGGAGATTAAGGCACAGACCGATCGCTTTACGTGCTCTCCGAGGCACGGGGATGAAACACTGCCAACTTCTCAATTGAGGCTTACTAAACAGAAAGGTTCAATAACTAAACTTGGTCCTACCCGGTACTTGAACCCAGGACCTCCGAATTTGAAGCCGTACATGCTAGCTACTACACCACCGAGGCAGCTAAAACCAAACTACTAACTAAAACCAAAAACTATTTAAAAACTTTATAAATATTGTAGATAATACAACTAATGTGTTAGATAACTGTAGTTACTGATGATCCATAATAATGCACTTGTAACAATACAAAAAATCAAAATAAAAATTAAATAACAATGTAAAATAGATATATACGTATGTATGTCCATCTATCATTAACATCTATATGGGTATTTTAGGTTGTTCGCATACAAGACATTGAAGTTGGTGAGTATATAGCAAATATAAACTGTCAAGGCCCTGCAATTGCAACGTTTTATAGAAAAAAGGAAATTAACTTTGAATACGGCTTCTCATCTTTACAACCGAATAGTCTTAGGGAGACAGTGTCAAAACCAATACCAGGTAAAGTAGCTTGCTAAGAAGCATGAGAATGTCAGAAAGAGAGTGTGAGATCTAGATCGAAACGCACTTTATGCAATCACTTGTCACTTTAAGTCCAATCAATGCTTTTTAACAGATTTCAATAAAGGATTGTATTTATGTTGTTTTATTACAATATCTGTATGAGTTACTTCGTCAATTGTGAATTCGATTTTAATCATTATTTTTTAAGTTTGAGATCTTAAAATGCTAAATTATAATCTATACTATCAATACTAATATTATAAATGTGAAAGTTTGTGAGTATGGATGTATGTTTGTTACTCTTTCACGCAAAAACTACTGAATGGATTTTGATGAAACTGTACAATAATATAGCTTATACATCAGAATAACACATAAGACTACTTTTTATCCCGGAAAAATGTACGGTTCCCGGGGATAGTTTGTTTTTGTTTTTCTAGAGGCCAACCTGAGCGAAGCGAGGGTGAGCCTCTAGTTATAGATAATATCTATATTTATATTTTAAAATTATTTCAAGCCAAGAGCGGGGTACGTAACTTTAAAGTTGATATATGTTACTGGTCAAACATTTATAGTAAATAATATTTTTTAATAATATTTAAATAGATCCTGTACCCGGATTAGCCACATTGATAAAATCTATCTTACACTCTAGTATATATAAATATATACAGTACGAGTATACTAGTGATATAGTGTTATTTCACTATAACTTAATTTTTAACCGTAAAAAATAAGTTCGAGAAGCGAGAGGCATTGGTTGTTTCAGTTCTAACAAGTACATATAAAAATGAAACTTAGAAATATTTTTTATATAATATTTATTAGGGTGGAGCGAAAAAAATTTTTTTTTCTTAGCTTCTGGGTAGAATTTGTAGCTTATAAAGAAACAAAATTTTTGAAATAAAAAAAAAATTCTCAACATTTTGAGGTGGACCACTGATTTTTAAATAATTAATTTAAATTTTTGCTTTGAATGGACACCTTTTTTTTCAACTGATCATCTTTGAAAACATTAAAAAATTGACGAATATAGTCATTTTCTACCCAACTTTCACTGTAGTATTGCATTATTGCAATTTTAAGAAAAAAATGAAAAAAAAACCATGTTAGTTTTTTTGTATTATATACAAATAAAAAATATATTTAAAACAATTTATCCTTAAACAAATAATGTTATATTTCAGGAAGTACAACTTTTATGCTCATATCTCTTCCGGATGTTTCGTCCGTTGAACTGATATCAGTTAGATTGCAAGCGAGTATGTATGAAATTAAAAACGCCGAGTTTCGGGTTTTAGATGAAAGCAGAGGATTATATGTTGCAAAAATATTTATAACTCCTGAACTTAATGCTTTCAGAATAACGGTAAAGTTATTTTGTATTTTATTGCACCATTACATTGTCTATAGGTACATATAATAAAATTGTGAGTCGAATTAAATATTTTTTGGGAAATTTTATTGAAATACTCATTATTATCGATACAGAGGCCGAATCTATAGTTTTTAGAATTTTTGAGTGTATTTATTTTTGATCGCATCACGAAAAAACCACTAGAGGGTTTTTGATAATATTTGGTATGATGATAGCTGGTTATCCGGGTCAATATATAGGATACTTTTTACTGCGGGAAATATCTCTGAAAACTGTATACTAAACGTTAAAATGTAATTACTAAATATATATAATATATTTTTTTTATTATATATTTTGTAAATTGTTTCAAAAATTTCTGTTTAATGAAGTTGATGTTCAAATTAATAGCAAATAAACAATAGCCTTTACAAGTATTTATAAGATTTCGGTGCTTCGTTAATTATATAAATGAAAGTGAAACGATATCAGTACCTTATTTAATAATTAATAGATGCATATTGATTTAAAGTTATACATTTATTATCAAATACATAGATAAGGGCTTTAAAAAAGAAAAATTACTGTTAAATTCTTAACAGTATTTTTTCTTACCTGCAATGCATGACTTTTTTGGTAACGGAAAAATTTACTACTCATTGCTTTTCAACTCTCTTCTAAAGCAAACTGCTTATGAACATCACGTTAAGCATGTAAAAAAAATGATTTACAAAACAAAAAACCCTATACGTTCAATTTGTATTTGCAGGTAACGTGCCGTGATAAATTAAATTATAAAGAGATAACCGGTACAACTGCTCTTTTGGAGCCACAGAAAATCGGTATGTATGAAATTATCTACCTTCAGGCTTCAGATCTCATTGTGCCATCCTCCCTCAGATATATTCCCAATTAAAAATAATAATTAATTAAATGACCAAATTGATTATAATAATGAGTTCTGCTTCTCTAGGTGTATGTATATATACAATACCTATACATAAATGTATACTCGTATTTATATTGTATGATTTTTTGGTTTAAATTTAATGAATAATATAAATATTTTAATATGTTATGTAAAATTTTTTTAAACTGAATTTGTATAGTAAATATATATTGAGTGGTTAGTTTGACTGATGATTTAAATTTTGAAAATCTTTATCCTATTCTGTACAAATAATTAAATAAAAAAATAGTCCTTTAAAAGTTATCAGACAAATTTCTAGAAATTAAAACTTAATACAGGCTAATAATTTTGTTCTCTAGTAACCCCATCTGTATGGTCAACGCCATCAGTAGAAATGATTGAAAATGAGCCACCATTGATCGACTTTGGGACAAGCTATAAAACAGCTTGTAAAGTAAAAAGTTATCCCAAGCCAGATATCTGGTGGGAGGATAATAGAGGTATAAAGCTATCATCAGAGGTACGTAATAAAAAATACTTGAATCATCATTTATAAGAATATCAAAATAGTAGCAACCAACTACAGCACTGCGCGGTTAGTTTTTCAATATGATTGTTTCTATTTTCCTTCATTATCTTCATAAATATTTTAATTTTACTTAATTTTCATTGTATTATAGGCATCTTCTATAATATTTTGTACACGTAATAAAATAATAGAAAAATATTTATTTTCAGAGTGCACTACTTGAGATACCATTTATTTACATAAGTTATGTGTCTATTCAAAATGCAACTCATAATGAAACAATATATTGCAAATGTAAAAATGCTGAAGGTGAAAATTCACTATCTATCGATTTATATGTAAATAGAACTTTTACGTTCGACGTTAAACAATTTCCAACAGGTTTATATTAATTTATATTAATATTTTTATGTTCGATTCAATGCTTTTATTTATAACTTTCGAATATTTCTTATAGATACCACTATTAAATATGGGGACGAGGGCAAATTGTTTTGTGAAGTCGATGCGTATCCAGAGGCTGACGTGAAGTGGTATCACAACGATACACTAATAGAGGAAACGGACAACATTCATATAGTACCAGATCAGCACATGCTATTTATTGATAACATGAATATTGAAAACACCGGCGAATATAAGTGTGAAGTAGCTAATAATGTTGAAACAAAAACTTTCTTAGCTAACGTGTATATATCAGGCCTAGGTATGATATATGTAATTGCTAAAGTTGTATTGAGACAAATGAACAAAAAACATAAGACCTGACAAATTTTGTCCCGTCCAAATTTCAAATCATTTGTATATAATTTTTCTGTTTTTCCAATTTTACGGGTAACATTTTGTTACTTCAAAAGATATATCAGATCAATATTTTAAAAAACAAATTAACCTTCGACCTATGTCCTCAGACGATGCGTTGACCAATAAACACTATTTCATATTTATTTAGACAGATATAGATCATATTATATACGTCAAAACAGAAAGAAGGCAGCGGTAGCCCAGTGGTAACGCGCTCGCTTGGAAAACCGAGTGAAGCGGGTTCAAATCCCGTGTCTTGCACCTCTTTTCATGTGTGAATCATTTCTAATATGGTTACCACTTGCCTTACGGTGAAGGAAAACATCGTGAAGAAACCTGCACGTCTGAGAGAACCTAGCAAGTTTTCGAAAGACGCACATGACCAGCGTGGTGGACTATGGTCTGATGCTCTCGTATTGAAGGGAGGCCCGTGCCCAGCAGTAGGACGTTAAAAAGGTCTGAATACACGTCAAGAAAGACTTATTTCCATTTATTATTTTTAGAGGCACCTGAAATCGAAGTGCAAGAATCGGAAATTATTTTAAAACCTGGTGATTGGACGGAACAACAATGCACGTAAGCTTCTTTATTAAATTTAGCCTACCACAAGATTTTGTTGCAAATTTAAAATTATAATGCTAGAAATTCTATTGTAGGGTAATAAAAGGTATACCAGTGCCTGAAGTCACCTGGAAATATAAGTCTACACAAGGAGATGCTGACAAACTTCCAGATGGTGTTTACGTGGACGGAAAACTTTTGAAAATTCCTTCAGCTGATACAAATCATGGGGGATTTTACGTTTGCGAAGCAGTGAATTTCTTAGGAATGGATGATCGAGAAGTAGCAGTTAAAGTACAGTGTAAGATACATAAAAGAATAATGATGTAGAATAGTTTCATTATTAGTTTTAATGAATGTATTGCTTTGTCTTCTTTTATATTAAATATATTTTTATGTTGAACAGCTATTTTAGGCTTTGCTGCACTTTTGAAAATATTTTAAATAAAAGACTTGAATTTGAGAGAAATGATCCCAAACAATCATAATTACAAAAAATTATAATAAATATTATATCTAATAGTTAACTCGGCCTCGATATAAACTGTAAAAATATAATATCCTTAAACAAAGAACCTAATATAATAACTAGCGATTAACCCTCGCTCCGCTCGGGTTCGTCCCTGCTTACGTTTTACCGTTTAGTATCAATTTCTCAGAGATGAGATATTTTCCCGCAATAAAAAGTATCTTATGTGTTAATGTCCGGATAACCAGTTATCATCATACTAAATTTCATCAAAATCCCTCCAGTTATTTTTCCGTGGTGCGGTTACAGACAGACAGGCAAACAGACAGACGGACAGACGGACAGACACAGACGAACAGACAGACAGACGGACAGACGGACGGACGGACGTACGGACGGACGGACAGACATACAAAAATTCTAAAAACTATAGATTCGGCCTCTGTATCGATAATAATGTCTATTTTAATAAGATTTTCAAAAAATATTTAATGTACAGATTCGGCTCAGTTACAATTTTATTATATGTATAGATTACTAAAAAACTATTTTTTTTATGAATTGAAATGTTTGGGGCTCGTTAAGACGAATCATATGAGCCCAAACTCGAGGGGTTTACTAGTGGCTACTGAAGAGTTCTGGTTGCATCATCAGATCACCTCCGAGATACCAAATTATAGTACTGTCATTCGAACTACATATACGAAGTTGCTGTTGTTCAGTTTTAACAATTCGAAGTAGAATACAATTGACTTTCAAGATACGATTACATTGTTTTGTCTATTAGTTAATCTCTAATAAAAGCGTGTTAATAATGATTGAAAAATAATTATCTTATTTAATAAGAATAATAATAGGTATATTTTTTAATAATTATTAACCGTAATTACGACTTAGATATTTATATGATTACAGACGCACCGAAGATAAAAAATGGTGATGAAGTCAAAGTTGTACACGTTGGTGACTTAGTTGAATTTCCCTGTGAAGTAGATGCTGTACCTAAAGCAGATGTTTATTGGGACATGTATCAAGATGACGTTATTATTGCTTTTGATAACCGTCACCATACAGATGACAGGAATACTCACAGGTAAAATTTTACTTCTCCTACAACTATGTAGGTGTGTATGCTAAAGTTTTTGAGGATAGATAGATGGATGGATATTTGTTACGCAAAAACTACTGAACGGATTTTGATAAAACTTTACACTAATATACATCATAGTTTATTCATTAGAGTAACACATAGACTATAATTTTTATAGATATAGTGCGGTAACGCGAAAAGACTCTAGTATCTATTACATAATTAAAAAACTTGCCAAGTCCGCGTTTCAAAATTGTCAAAATTAACCCATTTAGTAATGATAGATCAACTTCCATCCATTCCATCATCCCATCTTTAAAATTGAATGTATTTTTCCATAAAATCTATCCCTTATTACGTGGTGGTTTGAGATAGTATATAATAAGCCGTAGAAAGGTAACTAATTGAATTATATACTCTAATGTTTAATATAATATATTGATTATTGAGTAAGTATTAGTCATACAATTAATATTTGTTATTATCATTTTTAAGGTTTTATGCTAGTTCCTATGATTCGGGTATGTATCACTGTATAGCCCAAAATGATATGGGGCGTGCGATACGAACTGTAACATTGAACGTATTAGGTGAGTCCTCAACACTTATCAATATCGATCTTATTTTGTATTAATACTCTGAGAAGCTAGTTCTTAAAAACTTGATTGAAAAATAATTCCTTGTACTTTATATTTGATTTTGAGAGTGCAAAAAAATATTTATTTGGATTAGTTGTATTAGACTTTATCAACGCTAATGTCACAAAAGTAACAAAATGAGAAAATCTATTTAAGGAGTAATTATTAATTAACATTAAGTATTTTCATCATTTTAGTGCCGCCGTATATAGAACGGCTACCATGGGAAACTTTAACAGTTAGAACAGGTATGAATGTCATAGTCGCCTGTAATGTGCGATATGGTAATCCTGTTCCATCTACTAGATGGCAGTATATTACGCCAATGTTTGATAGAACTGTGCTGAAAAGGTAAGCTCCCAAAAGCTGTAATAAATACCTATTCATAAGAAATTTAGTGAATATTGTTAAAGAAAGTGGTGTAGTGGCTAGCAAGTACGGCTGCAGATCGAGAAGCCCTGGGTTCGAGTCCCGGGTCGGACCAAGTTTAGTTTTTGAGTCTTTCTGTTTAGTAATTCTCAGTTATCAGTATCAGCACGGAGTTGGGAAATAGGCGGAGTTTCACCCGTATGCCTCGGAGAGCACATAGAGCCGTCGGTCCTGCGCGGTCCTGCGGTCCTAAGTATGAGAGTGACAGGAATAGAGAGTGTACTTGTGTCTGCGCGTGAACTTGTGCACTATAATATATCCTGCGCAGATGGCTAGTCTTAATGAGACTAGCCGCCGTGGCCGAAGTCGGTCGGGAAGTCATTATAATATTCTCATACCTACCTAATTTAACAGAAAAAAATCATTACAATTGGTCGAGCCATTTTGGAGGAGTGCGACCACAAACTTCACGACACGAGATATTTATATATTCGATATTTGTGTTTTCCGACAAAGTAGCATTGTCGTAAAAAACATATACTGTGTCGCATCGTCGTTATAGTAGATCTCGCATAAAAAATATTGTAATTAAATTACAAATCTGGGCAATACAAATATTATGAAGTTGGTGATATTACAGTTCCTTAGGTACCTTTTCATTGCTTAAATTATGTATAAAATGTAAAGAAATTGGTGCCTTAAAAATTATCGAGCAATCAATCTGTCAAATATGAAGGGAAATGCTTTCTTGCAAAACTTCTTTCCATTTGAGGCCCTGACTGAGATTGACCAGAAACATATTTATTTACAACTAGCGACTCACGATCGCTTCGCTCGGGTTCGTCCCTAGCTTGATTCAGAATACAAACTTTCATCCCCATTTTCACCGCCTTAAGGGATGATTTCCGGGATAAAAAGTATCCTATGTCCTTCCCAGTGTCTCAAACTATCTTCTTACTAAATTTCATCTAAATCGGTTCAGTAGTTCCAGATATTAACCCCTACAACCTCACAAACTTACAAACTCACAAACTTTACCTGTTTGTATTATTATAGTATAGATTAATATATTCAAAATTTTTAATTGTATTTTTCAGAGGTGCAGGAAGATTGGACCTAGTTTTGGAAAACGTAACTCGAAAGCATGAGGGCACTTACGAGTGCATAGCTGAAAATGACGTTAGCATAGATTCTGTTAAAGTTCTTCTTAAAACAGTGTAAATAAAAGTGTAAAATCATATATTTTATTATTTAGGTTTGCCTACATTCTTTTTTTCTATTTTAAATTTACATTCAAAAACACTTCATTATCTTTATTTTTATATATATATATATATATATATATATATATATATATATATATATATATATATATATATATATATATATACATATGTACTATAAGCATATAAAGCAGTAACTTAGCGAAATCTGTACTTGAAATTGTTTTTAAAAAATATTTCATGTAACTGAACGTATTATGTACTATGCAACGTATTATATAAGTACACAGTAGTTATAGACTCCAAAACTATAGTTATTAAAAAATTTGTTTGTTAGTCTGTATGTCTGTTTGTCTGTTTGTGTGTGCGCGTTTCACGCAAAAAGTAATGTATCGATTTCAACGTTTGGTGAAGTGATAAATTATAATTACTCGGGTCAACATTTAGGATATATTTTACTTCAGGAAAACCTTTTTTTCCCACGGGAAAATACAATAACTGGTTTTATTAAGTCGTCGTTAGAAACCTTCCGCTGTCTTAGAAACTAAATGTGGGACCAAATACCCCGAACGAGTTATGAACCACTCTAAATTTTCAATATCGCTGAGGAGGGCTTAAAGTCGTTACAACCTTCTGTGGTCTACAAAGCTCAAAATTTAAGTAATTTATAACAATAAAGTGTACTTGCTCAAATGCTTCCTAGGTAATCATATATCTCAAAATCTAGGTATCATTTTTGTTACATATTGTGTATCTGTAAATTTGTCTATAATTTATGGTCAACTTGATATGAAGAATTGTCTGTAAGATAGCTCTCTCTTGTCTCTGGTCCGCAATAAAGATGGTCGATCCTGTAAGTTCCTAGTTTCAATTAATAAAGCCTTAGAAATAAAGAACCCAAAACAAAACGAAATATGGTGTCAGAAGTGGGATTAAAAGTCAAAAAAGGAAAAAGTTAAAATGTCTGAACAAATATTCATGTCTGGGATAAAACCGTTAGCTGTGAACAATGGCAACGTGTCGGAACAATGGCGTCGATGGAAGCAAAAATTCGAAATTTTTTGTGACGCTAATGATATTAAAAAACAAGATGAGACAAAGCAAGTGGCTATTTTTTTGAACACAATTGGTGATTATGGCATTGAAATATATAATTCCTTCAACATCGACAGAAAAAATATTTCTTTGGAAAATCTGATAAAAGCGTTTGATGAGAAATTTAATCCTCAAAGTAATATCACAGTAGAAAGATACAATTTCTTCACAAGGACTCAACAAATAGATGAATCTTTAGACAACTATGTAACAGTATTAAACAATTTGGCTATGTCTTGTGAATTTAATACATTGAAAGATTCTTTGGTTAGAGATATGTTTGTTATTGGCATTCAAAATTCAAAAATTCGTGAAAGTTTGCTTCAGCAGGAAAAATTAACACTGGAAGATGCATTAAAAATTGCTAAAAGCATGGAACTGTCCCAGGAGCGTTCGTCAAGAATCACACAGTCGCATACACCCAAGGAATTATCCAACAATATTCAAGCGCTGAAAAACATTAACAATCATAGAAGTAGATCGATCTCAAAAACAAGAAACAAGAAAAACAGAAATTCAAGTCAAAGTTCATCAAGAAAAAGGTCTCCATCACAAAACAAAACTTGTAGGCGATGTGGTCAAGTGCATATATATAAATGCCCAGCGGAAGGAAAAACATGCAACATTTGCAAGAAGACAAACCATTTTGCCAATTACTGTTTTTTCAACAAAAATAACAAGTCGGACAAGAGACATATTAGTAGTGTAAGTAGTAATAAGAATTCTAACTCTGACAATAACTATTTTATAATTAGTAATTTGACTGACATTGAAAATAATAATAATAATTGTAATAATGAGGAATGGAAAATAAATGTAAAATTGAATAATTATTTAATAAAATGTCAAATTGATACAGGAGCTGACGCGAATGTCATATCAAAAGACACACTTGATAAAATGATGACTCACACTAATAAGAAAATACCTATTCAGAGAACAAATAATAAAATTTTCTCATTTTCAGGCCAAGTAGTACCAAATATAGGCAGCTGTATACTAAAATGTGAATTTGAAAATAGTCTTACAACTAGCATATATTTTATTGTAGTCAATTGTAAATGTCAAACTATTTTAGGATGGAAAACCTGTGAAAAACTAGGTATTGTCAAAAGAATTTTTAAAATTCAAAAGGATTTGCAAAAGGACTTGGATTTGGAAAGGTCAGTACAAGATATTGTTTCTAACTATTCACAAACATTTGAGGGAATAGGATGTCTTCCAAATGAAGTTCATTTAGATATTGATGAAAGTGTTACACCTAAAATTTGCCCAGTACGTAGGATTCCATTTACTTTACAAAATCGTTTAAAAAATGAATTAGAAAATATGGAAAAAGTAAATATTATTGCTAAAGTCACAAAACCAACTAAATGGGTCAACTCTATAGTTCTTGTTGAAAAGCCCAATGGTTCATTACGCGTATGTCTTGATCCAAGAAACCTCAATGTAGCAATAAAAAGACCTCATTTTCCATACCCTACATTTAATGATCTTCGATCACAAGTAGCTGGTAGTACAATTTTTTCTAAACTTGATGCTAGTTCTGGTTACTGGACAATTAAATTAGACGAAGAAAGTAGTGATTTGTGTACATTCAACACACCATTCGGAAGATATAAATTCTTAAGACTTCCCTATGGAATAAATTGCAGTGGAGAAATTTTTCATAGAATAATGAATGATATTTTTGGTGATTTACCTGGTATTATAATTTTCGTTGATGATATATTAGTTCATGGAAAAAATCAATCGGAGCACAATCAAAGACTTGAAGCTGTATTCAAGCGTGCTTCTGAAGTAAATTTAAAATTCAATAGAGAAAAATGTAAATTTGGTCTTTCAGAAATCTGTTATGTTGGTCACATTTTCAATAAAAATGGAGTATCTCCTGATAAATCAAAAATTGAGGCTATAATTAAAATGGCTAGTCCAAAAAATGTTAAAGAATTGCAAAGATTCCTTGGCATGATAAATTATTTAGGTTCATTCATTCCAAACTTAGCAGAAGAAACCAATATTCTTCGTGAATTACTGAAAAAGCAAAATATTTTCCACTGGACTGAAAATCATGAAAATCAGTTCAATAAATTAAAATCTATTATTTGCAAGTCACCAGTACTGATTCATTATGATGTCAATAAACCTGTCAGAATGTCTGTTGATGCTTCTAAAAATGCAGTAGGTGCTGTAATATTTCATGGTGATAATCCAATTGCATATGCATCAAAATCCTTAACAAAATGTCAGGAACAGTATGCACAAATTGAAAAAGAACTTTTCGCAATAGTCTTCGGTTGTAAAAAATTCCATCAATATGTTTATGGAAAACCTATTAATGTAGAAACAGACCATCAACCCTTGGTGACTCTTTTCAAAAAATCATTGTGTGAAGTACCTACAAGACTTCAAAGAATGATGATAACATTACAGGCTTATCATTTAATTGTGTCATACACAAAAGGTTCAGAAATGTACATTTCAGACACTCTTTCTAGAGCACCAGTAGATGATTGTAACAACTCTTTAAATAGTTTAATAGATTTTGAGCAAAATTTAAATATTCATATTAATCTATTAACATCGAATTTAGCAATTTCTCAAGAAAAATTAGAAAAAATTTCTAAGCATTCAAACCAAGATTTAACATTACAAAAACTTAAAGAATATTTTATCAACGGATGGCCTAAAAGTAAAAATCATTGTAATAATTTAGTTCTTCCATATTGGAATATAAAAGAAGAAATTCATGTAATAGATAATTTACTTTTCAAAAATAATTCTGTTATAATTCCAATTTCCATGAGATCAGAAATTCTGAATATTCTACATGAAGGACATTTAGGCATTGAAAAAACTAAAAATTTAGCCCGTGGTACAGTTTATTGGCCTAGTATGAATCATGACATAGAAAATAAAATAAAGCAATGTGAAACATGTGCTATGTACAGTTCAAATAAGTCAAAAGAATCACTTTTGCCTCATGAAAAATCTATATTTCCTTGGCAAAGACTGGCAACTGATTTATTTGATTATAAAAATCAGAAATATTTGCTGGTAGTAGACTATTATTCTAACTTCATTGAAATAGCTAATTTAAAAAATGACAGTAGAAGTTCTTCAGTAATAAATAATTTAAAGTCAATTTTTTCAAGGCACGGAATCCCATTGCAATTAGTCAGCGATGGTGGTCCTCCATATAATTCAAAAGAATTTAAACAATTTCTTCAAGATTGGGACATTGAACATATAGTTACAAGCCCATATTTGTCTAGATCCAACGGCTTAGCCGAAGTATCTGTCAAAACAGTCAAAAATATTTTTAGAAAATGTGAGGAATCTGGCACAGATCCACACATAGGACTATTACAACATAGGACTACACCGAGAGGTAATATGCATTCACCTTCTCAATTACTCATGTCGAGACAGTTAAGGACTAAATTACCTACTAAAATTAGTCAATTGAGACCTAAAGTTGTAAAATTCTCAGAATATTCTTCAGTCAAAGACAAAAATTTACAAAAAACTAAATCTTATTATAATAAAAATTGTAAAAAATATGAAGAATTTCAAGTCAATGATAAGGTATATTTTAAGAAAAATCCAAAAGATATAATATGGACAAAAGGTTCAATCATATCAAAAACTAAATTTCCTAGATCATTTATAGTCAAGGACAATTTAGGTAGTACATACAGGCGTAATTCTCAACATATTCGACCTGATTATAGTCTAAATAATAAACAGTCTGTAAATAACAAAAAATCAATTAGATTTGAGAATCATTATAATAGTCAAACAAATAAGTCACAAACATTTTTTCAAAAGGAAAAGGATGATGATGATTGTTCTTTCATAATTACTCAAAAGAAATTAAATTTATCTTATACTCAAAGTCTATTGTCAAGTCCAATACAAAAACAAGTAGATAACTATATTTTAAGTCAAAGTGAGTCGGATACTTATAGGTCAATTGGTTCAGAGTTAAATGAATCTGTATCTAGTTCGAAGTCGTGTCAATCTGTACAATCTCCTGAATTCGTCAATGTAGATAATAATATGTCAGATGAAAGCTTACATGATCATAACGATTATGAAGAGGAAATTCATTTACCTAGTCCTCCTGAATCATGTTTGCAGGAAATGTCTAATATTGTAATATCTCCTAACGATGGCAACAATGTACCTGATAATGAATATCAATATAGTTCTAGAGGTAGACGAATAAAAAAGACTCAAAGACTGAATTTGTAATAATTTTAATAATAAAATGTTTAACAAATTCATAATTAAAATAAATTATTGTAAATATTGTAAGTATAATTAACTAATTCAGGATTGCACTAGTTAAGTCATTTATTAATTTTTGTCTAATTCACTATTGTAATTTAATTATAAATTTATATCTAAGATACCTAAATGTAAAATAAAATTTGTAACTCCATTGTATTTCCAATTTTAAGGTTATGCCCAATTGTCACTGTCAACTTCAAATTGTAAATGTCATTAATGTCAAAGTCATGTGTCAAAATTTTCTTTTTAAAAAAGGGGCATGTTACATATTGTGTATCTGTAAATTTGTCTATAATTTATGGTCAACTTGATATGAAGAATTGTCTGTAAGATAGCTCTCTCTTGTCTCTGGTCCGCAATAAAGATGGTCGATCCTGTAAGTTCCTAGTTTCAATTAATAAAGCCTTAGAAATAAAGAACCCAAAACAAAACGAAATAATTTTGAAGTACAAATACATAGCCTACATATTTTTAATTGACACCTAATTAAGTAAAATTAAAATAGATTGATTATTAAAATAGATTGATTTATAGATACTGTGTTTTAATTGCAAAACCAATAAAAATATACCTATCACTGCTACTTTTTCAAAGTATTACAAAGGGTTAGGTGCTTTCACAAAATCAAATTTCTGACACCCATGTAGCACTTATTTTATTGCACCCATTAGCGTTTGTAGTCACCCCAATTCCAAGGTAAATAGAAACAAATCACATTTTGATAAATTGCACTAAATTTAAACGATCTATTTATAAGGTTTTAATTGTATAAAAAATATTACTAATCAGATTCAACAGATTTAAAACGGTTCCATCACTATGAAACTCAAATCAGAAAGTCACAATCGTTTCTATTGATCCCGTTTTACGGATCTTTATATATATTTATAATTTCAGGGTTAGCGGATGACATTCATGACAGGATGCGTCATGCGCTGGCCCTGAAATTATCAACTGCCTTAGTCGGAAAAAACTGTATGTCATACACGTTGTACACACCAACGTGTGGTAGTGTATCGTTGGGCGTTTGTCTTTGTAGGTTTGGTTTGGCTCTATAAGAATATTTACTATAGGTATATATATTTTGTTTTGACAAATCCAATACGCTAGACTTGGGTCTGAGAATCTGAATTTTTGTGGAATTAACAAAAGTGTATGCTACAATTTAATAAATATAAATAAATAACATTTTCACCATTTATTTTATTGCTTTATTTCCAACTATCGACTCACCCTCGCCTCGCTCGGGTTGGTCCCTTACGTGTTGGTTTTAACGGTTAGTATGGAATAGAATAGATAGACTATATATTATATGATTAAATGTTATGGATATGAAATTTCGGATCTGGATATGGTTACGGATATAATATGAATAACATTATGTCGATTTCAGGGACGGTTACGGATATAACAATATTTCGTAGTTTCCGATAGTTTCGGATAATTTAAATTACAGATATTATATTTTTATGGCATTGTAAAAGGAAAATACAAATAGGTAATGATTTAACTTTATTTGTAGGCTATCATTTGGTACTGCAATATAACAGACTAATATAGCTAAGCAAAAGAAATAACAAAAATTTTAGATAGCTAAACAATTCAATTAAGACACGTGGCTTGTGTGTCGGTTCGGCTGGACGAGAACCTGTCATAACGTGACTCATTTTGACTCTACCCCTATCCAAAATTATTCGAAAATTTAAGATCAGATTCGATTACGGTTTCGGATACATTTTTAATTTGGATATCCGATAATTTCGGTTTCGATTAGAGAGTTCCATAACATCCCTAACGTATACAGTAGGTATACATAGGTATGATGAGTCGTTGTGGATTGTTATTTGTATTATAGTGTGTTTTCCTATGGTAATGAGATAATCTCCTGCTGTAAAAAGTAGCCTTTGTCACTTTCCAGCGCTCCAATTATCTTTACATAAAAAAACACGCCAATCCGTCACTCTGTTTTGATGTGAAAGAAGGACAAACAAACACACTTTTACATTTATAATACTATGTATGGATTAGGCAGCGCACGCTGCGTGCAGCGCCAGCTTTTTCACACTGCAATTTTTATATAGTACTTTTATTATAATTTCTGAAAGTAAACACATTTTTATCGGACGGATTTTGATCGAAATTTTATAGTGTTTTTTTAACTGGCACCACTGGTGACTACAGAAAACTTTTGTATATTACTCGTGAGTCGTGATAACTGATAAATTCTAATGTCAATTGTCATTGTCAAATGTCAAATCAATGAATCTTTATTCTTTAGTCTTTTCTAATTCTAATGTTTATTTTGTCAAGTTAATTCATCATTTTATTTAAAACTTTCTATTAGAAAATGTGCTTTTAAACATGTCTTTCCCTAAAATCCCCCCGTACATATTACAAGAGCTACCTGATATTACAGAAATAGTGAATTTCCCTATTAAAAACATACAACGCATAAAGGTTAGTATTATAAAATATTTGGCACCTGTTCAAAAATAATTGCATGTGGTTGCGCTATTTTGCAAATAGGCAATTGTGATGGGATAAGCCGCGTGAGTGCGCTGATGCACTCACCCCAGTCGTCGTTACACCGTGTAACAATTAACACGGCTTCCGCGTAATTAACTATCATCCCGCACCGCGCGCGCGCAGGTTGACCGCGCCCTATATGCTTTATGAACTTTTTTACTGTGTACTATACGAACTTTAAGTGCCCTGTGCTAATTTTCATGGAAGCGGAGATAGGAGTTGCAGCAGAAGGTGAGTCCCTGAACTTTTGTTTTTTTGCACGTGGTGTGTCCATCACCGGCAGGGGTCCCTTCTCCGCCTTCCCGCATCCCAAAATTACAGTCCACTTGCTCCACCATAAAGTTTTGGTCACTTCGCGTCGGATTAATTCCAATTCCTTGAAATTATTTCCACAATTACCTACCCGCTTCCCTTTCGAAACGATCGCATCGCTCGCGCTACGCCATTTTTTGTTCTAGAACGTGTATAGTACAAGCACCTACCGCAATAAGTAATATTTTACTCTCATCATTTTATTTTATTGTTACATAAAATCATTTATTTAATTTGTTTTAATATAGACCTGCGCGTACACATCGCGAAAGTAATTTTCTTGCCTATCTTAACATCGCATAACTTAATAGTTAATATTTATTTGTATCCACGTACTCATTTCGTAACTGTTTCATCCCGTTTATATATTTAAAAAACATATTTTAATGTACTAAGTTAAGATATGTATTTCGCATCGCATCGCATTATAAAATAAGTGAATACATTTTATATCATTTATTTATATTTCGTCCCGCATCCATTTCTATCTGTAAAATAGATAGGTTTTGTAATACGTAAATATTTAAATTTACGTACATAACATATTTTGTGCTAACGTAGCACACCGCATTCTTTTGTTCGTTATATTCATACGATTTCAACTACCGTCATACCTACTCATTTTATTTAGTTATTTCGTTCATTCGCCTAATTTATAATATATAAAACAGTTATATAGTTTGTTAAACATGACGTCTCCGCAAGAAATGAATATTATTATGCTTGAGGCTAAACTTTCCGCGTACTTTGAACGTATTCAAAGTATCTACGATTTGTCATGTAGGCTTAATAGTGACGCAGATATCGAGACATTGGTTACTCGTGCTGAGGGTTTAGAATCGGTTCGTAGTAGCTTCGAAAAGGTCTTATATGATTTAAATCGTTTTAACATGGAGATAAATCCTAAATATAAGCCAGATTTCAAAAAACTCAACGCTTTCGAAGACTTGTATTGTCATATTAAGCGACAAGTTTCACTTCAATGTCTCACTAACAAACCCGCTAGTCAAAGCTCATATTCGAAGCCTAGACTTCCACCAATAGAACTGAAAGGGTTCGACGGTGACCCGCGCAACTGGCCGCTATTTTATTCTAGTTTTGTCGACACAATACATAACAACCCTACTTTGACGTCATCTGATAAGTTATATTATTTAATAGGCAAGCTGACTGGCAAGGCATTGTCGGTGTATGCAGACATTACGCCGTCACCTGACAACTACGAAATAATATTTAACGCCCTCGTCTCTAAATACGAAGACAAGCGGCTTCTCGCGACCACATATTTAAATACTATATTTGAATATAAAACACTTTCTTCCGCGTCTCAATTAGAACATTTTATAGATAGATTTTCATCTTCTGTATCCGCATTAAATAATTTAAAATTAGATAATCTAAGCGATTTCATTTTGTTATATATAGCTCTCAAAAAACTAGATTGTGAGACCACCCGCGCTTTTGAAATGGAAAACCGAAATTGTGGAATTCCAAAACTTGACGATTTACTTTCTTTTGTCCGCGATCAAATTAAAATCATACAACGTCATGGTTCATTAAATTCTAAGTCTAAACCTCATTCAAATTTACCGCTTGTTTCTAAAAACGTCGTAAAGTCATTTTTAGTAAATAGTAATTCCGCATGTCCCGTTTGTTCTTTAAAAAACTCATACTCATTATTACAACTGTTCTAAGTTTAACGACATGAATCCGCGTGAACGATATCAGGTTGTCAAGCGCAACCATTCATGTGTAAACTGTCTCAGTTTACGACATACCGCATCAACTTGTAAATCGTCTAATGCCTGTAAACATTGCAATTCACATTCGCATCACACTATGCTTCATTTTAATGATAACACGCATTTCAAAAATAAAAGTAGCCGCTCGCAATCTGAAAGGGAAAACGTCCCTGCGCGAGCCGCGTACGTCTCGCCGCCGCGGCGGTCGCGGTCGCCTCGTGGTAATGCTATCCCGCTCTCACCCGCACGCGACGCTGCGCGCGCAGCCTCTCGCTCGCACGGTAGTGGCGCGTTATCATCACCCGTACACTCGACAGCGCAAGTTCTCTCAGCGTCGCATAGCAATTCCGATACGGCTAATGACGTAATATGCGCTATGGCGAACACTGTGCGTGCCTCCGCGCATAGTAGTCACGTTTTGTTAGGTACCGCTCGCGCTTACGTTGTTTGTAGCGATGGCTCATTCAAACAAATTAGAATTTTAATAGATACGGGTTCTCAAAATCATTTTATAACGAAAAAATGTTGTAAATTTTTAAGAATTAAAACAAAGATTATTAATAATCCTCTCTCAATAAAGGGCATTGGCGATTATGAGACGCAGTCTATAGGTACTTTTACAGAGCTGACTTTAGCTTCTCACTACGATCCGCGTTACACGCTTCGTATTAACCCGCTCGTCTTAAATAAAATCTCAGATAAATTACCTTCGACAAACATAGACGCGAAACAAATAGATTATTTAAATAATATTGCGCTCGCTGACCCGGACTTTTACGTACCTGGTCAAGTAGACTTGATTCTCGGTTCTGAAGTTTTTACCGAGATCCTTCGCCCTGGTAAGGTGGTCGGACCCCCGGGGAAACCGGACGCATTTGAAACCGCATTTGGATACATTATTTTAGGTTCGCTTGAAAACTTAGTTGATTTTCCTATGACTTCTACATCCACGCATACGTTTTTCACTTCGACTGAAGACTCAATTGAAAATTTAGTTACGAGGTTTTGGTCTTTACAGGAGGTACCGTCTAAAAAACATTTATCTCCCGCTGAGCACCAGTGCGAACAGTTCTTTGTTTCTACTACGTCCCGCGATAGCACTGGTCGCTTCGTTACCGCGTTACCGTTTAACCGCGATCCTTCTTGCTTAGGGGATTCTCTAGTTTCTGCGCGTCGTCGCTATAACATTTTGGAGCGAAAATTTAATTTAAACCCTCTTCTTCGTGAGGAATACGACGCGATATTCCGCGAATATTTAAAAAATGGAATTATCGAACCCGCGCCTCCATTGAACGTGGAGGATCCATACTACGTTATACCGCATCATGGTGTTTGTCGCTCAGATAAACTTACTACTAAACTTCGTGTCGTATTAGACGCTAGTCACAAGTCAACGTCAGGAATGTCTTTAAACGATTGCTTACACTCAGGCCCTAACTTACAAACAGACCTCACCGCTATTATTTTAAATTTTCGACTTTTTAAAATTGCATTTACCGCTGATATTAAACAAATGTTTTTAAATTTAATAGTTCGCAAATCGGATCGTCGTTTCTTAAATATTCTTTATAGGTTTGCGAATGAAAGCGACGTAAAATTATATAATTTTAACCGCGTTTGCTTCGGCCTGCGCTGCAGTCCTTATCTCGCAATGCGCGCTGTACGACAGCTCGCTTCTGAGCAGCAGCAGAATTTTCCGCTTGCTGCTGATATAGCATCAAACTACATATATATGGACGATTTGTGTATTTCGACTCATTCGTCTGCAGATGGCGCTAGCCTGGCACAGGATTTAATTGAACTGTTTAGATGCGGCGGATTTAACTTAGTTAAATTTGTTAGTAATTCGACAGAGGTCCTGAACGCGATCCCGGTTGAAAATCGCTTGTCAAGCCAGGTTCAGTTTGACAATGATGATTCACTTAAAATCTTAGGCTTAAGTTGGTGTCCCCGCGAAGATATTTTTAGTATTGCTATTAATTTTAACCCGCGGGCTGAGTGTACAAAGCGTCTCATGTTGTCTACCGTAGCTAAACTATGGGATCTCAACGGTTTTTGTGCTCCAGTAGTTTTATATGCGAAATTATTAATTCAAGCTTTATGGCTCGCCCATATCGGTTGGGACGACTCGCCGTCTGAACATATTTGCACCGCGTGGAAAACTTTTATAAATGAGTTACCACTTTTACATAATTTTCAAATACCGCGATTTTTTGGTATCACATCTGATACACACCGCGTTTTTCTTCTTGGTTTTTCTGACGCAAGTGAGAGAGCCTATGGAGCCGTTGTTTATATTTGTGTTGTGGTTCCAGGAGAACCAAACCGCGTCACGCTGGCCATGGCCAAGAGTCGCGTCGCTCCGACACGTACCGTCTCGCTGGCCAGGCTAGAACTCTGCGCTGTGTTGATCATGGCACAGCTGCTTAATTTTATCCGCGACTCAATAGCGGCACGTTGTACAGTTGATGACGTGTTTGCTTTTACTGATTCGTCCGTGGCTTTACACTGGACACATTCGTCTCCGCACCGATTTGACACCTTTGTGGCCAATCGTATTTCTAAGATACAAGAGTATCTCGCGCCGCGTCATTTTTTCCATGTTGATGGAAAACAAAACCCTAGTGACTGCATCTCTAGAGGTTTATCTCCCGCGCAACTATTAGTTCATCCGCTATGGATGCACGGCCCGCAATGGGCTCGTGACAACCCCGCGTCGTGGCCTCTCAATAGGTTCACATTTGATGACACCGCGAATGATAAAGTTTATGAATATAAGAATATTAATCCATCTCTTATTGTCTGCACCGCAACCGTAGTCGCTGAAGAAAATTTTCTTCTTCAACTCGCGTCACGCGTGTCCTCGTGGGACAAACTACTTCGTATCATTGTTTATATTTTAAGATTCACTCGTAAACTTCCGCGCTCTGACTTTTTACAGTTTGAACACCTTAAGGTTGCTGAGGTAACTATTCTTCGTTGTTTACAATCGCATGTCTTTAAGAACGACATTTCGGCAATCAATTCACACCGCAAAGTCTCGAAATCTTTGTTACCATATGCGCCGTTCGTTCATAAAGATGGTTTACTCCGCGTAGGAGGACGTTTAAATAAATCCTCACTGTCATTTAACGCCAAACATCCTATATTGTTGCCTAAAAAATCATCGCATTACGGAAATGATTATAGATAGTTATCATCACAGGTTTTTACATCCTGGACCGCATCTTCTTTTATCATTGTTGCGACAGAGATTTTGGATAATGTCTGGTCGTAATATAGTACGAAAACGATTTAGGAATTGTAATAAATGTTTTAAATCAAACCCGCGTTCGTTAAACCCATTCATGGCGTCTCTACCCGCTCCTCGAGTAAACGAAGCCAAGCCCTTCATGAATACGGGCGTTGACTATGGCGGACCTTATAACATTCTTATAAGTAGGTACAGAGGCGCACGTAAAGAAAAGGCATATATTTGTCTCTTTACTTGTTTTGTTACGAGAGCAGTGCATTTAGAGCTTGCTGTCGATCTTAGCACTGAGTCATTTCTACGGGCTTTTAAGCGTTTCATTTCGCGCCGCGGTGAATGTTTAAATTTGTTTTCTGACAATGGTACCAACTTTGTTGGCGCCAAGACGCATTTCGATGAATTACATAAATTTCTTAAATCTAAATCGTTTCGCGAATCTTTTAATGCAGAGGCTGTATCTCACGGCATCAATTGGAGTATGAACCCTCCTAATTCGCCTCATTTTGGTGGTGTATGGGAGACTAACATACGTAGTGTCAAACTTCATCTCAAACGCGTCGTAGGCGAGACGTTGCTTACCTACGAAGAAATGTATACATTGCTTACACAAATTGAGTGCGTGCTCAATTCGCGTCCACTTACTGTCATGAGTTCGGATCCTTCCGAACCAACCGCGTTAACCCCGTCTCATTTTTTAACGTTAGGTCCATTGACTTCGTTTCATTCCATTCCATGCGAAAATGCAAATCTTAATTTATTACATCGCAAACAATTACTCGACAAGCTTGTTCAAAGTTACTGGAATCGGTGGCGAAAGGAGTATCTTTCAGAGTTGCAAACGCGTTTAAAATGGAACACGCCATCCAACCCAGTTAGGAAAGGCTTGATTGTTATTGTAAAATCAGATAATTGTTCACCGCTTAATTGGCCTCTTGCTGTCATAGACGAGGTCCACCCTGGCTCCGATGGTGTTATCAGGGTAGCGCGTGTACGCACGCAAACCGGTACTTACGTGCGCCCAGTGGCAAAACTTTGTCCTTTGCCCAATCAGTAAAGTTCATATACATTTTCATTTAGTTTTAGTCGCATTTAGTTTACGTTAAATCTTTAGTTTAACTTACTTTATAGTTACTAAGTTACATTATAGCTTATTTCCGCGTTTTAATTTATATTCCGCTAGCATCCGCGACGCATCTCATCCGCTTCATTTCGTTCCGCATTTATAATTTTTTTATCCCATCCTTAATTCTCATTATATTCCTTTCCCATCCCTTTTTCTTGTTTAGGGAAACCCTAAAGGCCGGGGGGATGGTTGCGCTATTTTGCAAATAGGCAATTGTGATGGGATAAGCCGCGTGAGTGCGCTGATGCACTCACCCCAGTCGTCGTTACACCGTGTAACAATTAACACGGCTTCCGCGTAATTAACTATCATCCCGCACCGCGCGCGCGCAGGTTGACCGCGCCCTATATGCTTTATGAACTTTTTTACTGTGTACTATACGAACTTTAAGTGCCCTGTGCTAATTTTCATGGAAGCGGAGATAGGAGTTGCAGCAGAAGGTGAGTCCCTGAACTTTTGTTTTTTTGCATGTGGTGTGTCCATCACCGGCAGGGGTCCCTTCTCCGCCTTCCCGCATCCCCCAAAATTACAGTCCACTTGCTCCACCAGCATGTATAAATTATTTATTTATCAACGCGTACAATATTTCTCTTGTAGTCATATTTTATTTGATTATTAAAATATAATCTTGGTTCAATCATTAACAATTTGGGTATCTTTTGCATTCTAAAGAATGAATTTAGTCGTTTGGAGTTTTTTTTTATATTCAGATTAGTAAAATAAACTGCAATAAATACTGAGTAAAATTAGTTTTAATATGGTTATTTTTAGAGTATTCAATTACAATTTCAACATTTTAATGGAACTCATTTGTACTTTCATAATTATCATAACATTTACATTGCAAGTAAAACTGTTTACCCAATTTAAATATCTTGCAATTTTTTATAATATGGTGAAATATAATTTTTAAATTAATATTTTATGTATTATTGTTTCTTCTTGACTTTTCAGTACACATGTTTCGATGTATCAAGAACATTAATAGCATTTGGTGCAACTAGTGGTGGTATTTATGTATTCAATCGGTGGCCCTGTGAATTTGTTCAGCTTATTCCAAGTAAAGTAAGTTTTGTGTAATAAAAAAGCTTATTATTTAATAGACAATAAAATATATGCCATGGTGTAAAAATAGAAGAATAGCAAAGGCTGTTAACATAGAAATCATTGCAACCTTTTTTTATATTATATGATTATTGCACAAGTTGTTGGTATTTCTTTTATATTATATAATGTATTCAGTATATGGGATGTAGTTTTTGGATAGCTGGTTAATGTTTATGAGTAGGGAAGGTGATGAGGAGTCTAAATATATGGAAAAGTATCTTAAAGAAATGAAGGTTAGTTGTGTTGAGAGAACTTACAACCTCCATGTTTTATAATTTGTATAACTATATAAATGATTTAAAAAAAAACAAGTTTCTATGGAAACATGTTAGAAGTGAAACTTCATTCATTTATATTTGAAATCTGTTAGATCATTTAATAACTTTTAATATCACACTCTGACAAAAATATGATTCAAACAAATATCATACAAAGAGGAGAGACTAATATTTTATCTCTTTCTATCTAGCGGGATTCTTATATCTATCACAATTCACATATGCTCTAAGGGACGAACCTGAGCAGAGCAAGGGTGAGCCGCTAGTTATAAATACTGTGCATATTTAAAAAACACATTCGTTAAAAGTAATCTTTGAAGATAGCATGTTTTTGAATCGAAAGAATTATTATCATATCAAATCAAATCTTAAAACAATTAAGTTTAACTTATTTCAGTATTTCCATAACTTAAATAGATTCAATATTTTTAATTTTTTTAATTTCTCATTGTTATTTTTATTGGTTTGACTGTTCGTAGTAAATATGATGTGTGATAGTTTAAGTGTTTCTAGTGATAGTGTGAGTGTTTCAGATGTTTCTATATATTTTTTATTTTGAAAACAGAAGCCTTTGCTCCTCTTCCTCTTTAAAGATAGAATGAAATATATTTTCTGACTTTGAAAATAATAGCGTCAGACGGTATCGGAAGTGTCAAAGTAACAGCAAATATTATATTCCTATATGGGAATGCTCTAGTTGTGTAAACCTCCACTTAATCGATCTTCTGCATTTCCCTCTCTTCCTGCAACCCACTCCCAGGGGCAATGTCCCAAATACTGAATATCAGCCTGATATACTAAGTTTTATTCTATAAGTTTGTATTTATATATTTGAATATTAAATGTTTCAGGATGGCCCCATAACTCGTCTGGCAATATCAGCAGATGAAAAGCAAATAGGTTTCGCAAATGGCAAAGGCATTATTACAGTTACAGAATGTGAGCAAACACTAAGTGGTTTTTCAACAACATCATCAAAAGAGCACCAAGGCAATGAAGTGACAGCAATGATCTGGAGTGGAAACATGTTGTTCACAGGTGATGACATCGGCAAAGTTTCAGTTTTACAATTGCAAAATTTTATTGTAAGTATTTTTATTATTAAATGTGTTATTCTTAATTTTCTTTGATCATCTTCAAAGTTAAAGCAATAATAAAAAATAAATGAGTTATAATTGTGAAACATGGACTCACTAAGGAGCTTTTTCCTTAATTTAAGGCTAATCTCATTATTGTATCAAGAAAAATATTTCTGCTCATGTGTTAAAGTATTATGTATTAATGAAAAAAAAAACTTAATTATATTTAAATTACATTTGCGCAAGAAAAAAGAAATATTAAGAATCAAATTAATTTATTTTCAGGCAAAGAGAATGTTTCAAAGCTCCTCTCAAATAATAATGAGTTTAGATTCTCGAATTTGTCAACTGGATGCAAAAGAATGTATGCTACTCGTATCAACTTTAACAAGGTGCTATATATGTAACACTGTTCAAGAGCAATACAGACAGATTGGTCAAAAACTAAGAGATGGTGAATTTGGTGCATGCTTTGCATATATCGAAAAAACCATAACTAATGGTTCTTTGGAGAATAACCATCATGATTTTACTGAAGTGAAAAAATATAATATAGTTGATGACGATGCCAGGTTTACAGTTGGAGAAGAATTTGCAAATACTGCTATATTTTGTGCCAGACCATCGTCACGATTGTGGGAAGCTAGTGTTGATGGTATGGTAAGACGAACGCACCAATTCAAACAGGTTTTAGCCAACCAGCCAATGAAATTGATCACTCAAGATTTATACAATACAGAAAAGTTTAGTGTACAAGATTCCAAAAACGGTGATGGTCAATCCGTTAACTTTACCAAAATATATACATTAAATAATGCAATATTCTCATATAGTAGAAATTCGTTGTTTTTTTTAAATATTCAAAATGTTGACAATACAGTATGGTATGATGAATACAACGATATAGTTGAATGTAGAGTTTTTAATGATATGATATACCTTAAATTGGCGAATAACTCTCTAATTAGCCTAAGATTTACTAAAGTAGACAAATTTTTAGTTAAATGCTATGCCGATGGTAAATTTGGGCTGTGTGCTGAAATGTGTGCCTTGTTTAAAAAATACTTGTTGTCTGATAATTCATCACCAAAGTTACGTATATTAGTGGGTTTGAAAGAAAAGTTAGATAATGGAGTATTAAAGAATTTAGAAGATTTATTCGAGAAATTTGAAAGACTAAAAGTGACTGATGCTACACAAACAAAATCAGGAATTTACGTCGTAGATAATACGTATACACAAACACTATTAGATGATAATACGAAAATGAGGCAAGATGATCTTCCTCCGGATCCATTACAGACTCTCAAAGGTATAACTGTGTCTGTATCTGATAAGTTAAATACTAGCAAGAAGATGTTAAAAGAAAAATGGGAAGGTTTCGAAGAAAAAATGAAGCATCTAAGTATCGATAAACAAGATGTACCCCATATTAGACAAGAAAATGATATATATCCTAAATGGATACCACGAGACGATTATAATGCAGATACAGCAAACGTCACAGATAGTGATATAATTTTCAAAGAATCTAGTCAAAACGAAACTCCTGTAGAAATTGACAGTAGCAGTATAGAAAAGGACAAAGTGTGCAAAATGTTGTACCAGCAAGCGAGATTAAGTCTCGTCAATAAAGAATCTGAATTGAATTTAAACAGTATCATTGACGAATATACAATTGACATTAATGAAATACACGATTTGATGCTTTCATTAGAAAAGTATTGCATTTCGATAGACGCTATAGAAGAATCCAAATTTGCTCCAAATAATATATTTTTAACGTACTTAAATAACGCAGAAAACAAATCTGAATTGATTTATCTCATAATAAAAGATGAAGTTTTATATAAGTATTTCGTTGATTCATGTATAGCTGTGAATCTAAAAACTCAGAAACTTTCAAGAATAGGTTGTGAATGCGGTTTCCCTCTGCCATATATAAGAACAAGTCAAATGCCAATATTTTCAGAGCTGATAGACAATTTCATAGAACAACAATGGACCAATCAAACAAAGGAGCAATGCTATGAGATATGTAAAAGAATGCCGTATTTGTGGCGGAAAATATTATATCTACGAAGGAATGAGGATCTAATAAATGTTTTAAGGATACTCCTGCAAATGCTGGACGAGAGCTTACTTCACTCGTTCTTGCCGCAATTCACTTTGGACACTTGGGAGAGGGCTATCCAATTGTATGCAACATTGTACGCGAACATATGTTTGAATTGCAATAAAAAATTTGAACACATATGTGTTAAAGAAATGCTGAGTTGGGATCAATTAGGATCAATGTTAATAAAATCTGTTGGGGGTAAAAACGCTATAAAATTGATGGAAAGACACGCAAATCTCATAGAAATGGGGGCGTTAACTATGAAGTTTTACCATACGTGTTTACTTGTCCATTTGTACGAGAAGTATGACGGTACGATAGTGATTCCTTTAGTTGATGCTATATACAGTGCATATGATTTTGAGGAATCTAGGATAGAGGTAAGAATCTTTAAAATATTTTTGTGATATGTTTTTTTCGAGCTTAACATTTTTTTTTTGTTTTGATTTATAAAATATATTATATAGTATTATATGAGCGTCTTAATAATATAACTTATTTGTATTATTTTAGAATTTTTTGCAGTTGATAAACATGTTTATTTTTATTTCATTTGCAAGTCTACATTGGCTTTTTATCGGGTCGTTTAGAACTGTTGCTGTGTCTTTAGTTTTATATTTAATGTTTTTTATGCAGTTTATTTTAAAATAGTTTCATTAAATCTGTTGGATTGATGTGTTTACAAGCAAACAAACATGAATTTCTACAACTTTATATAATACTAGCATTCCCCGCGGTTGCCCGCGTTTAGATGACTAAAAACCAAATTTAGGTTTTACATATTAGTATACTCTTACATTGCAGTTTTTGCTTTTTTCTCAGAAATGAGATATTTTCCCGTGGTAAAAAGTATCTCATATGTTGACCCGGATATCCAGCTATCATCATATCAAATTTCATCAAAATCTGTCCAGTGGTTTACTCGTGATGCGGTTACAGACAGACAGACAGACAGACAGACAAAAATTCTAAAAACTATAGATTCGGACTCTGCATCGATAATAATGTCTATATCAATTAGATTTTCCAAAAAATATTTAATGTACAGATTCGACTTAGTTACAATTTTATTATATGTATTGGTATATAATATATAATTATAATTTTCAGATACAAAAACTATTGTTAAACTCATCAGACGGAAATATAAGAAACACAGCATTACCTCTAACAGTTGCGGGGACTTCCCCGTATTGGGGTCTAAAGAGATTTTATGAAAAGAACTTACCTATACAAAAAGGTAATATATTGAATGATATTTTAATAATAATGACTATGAACGATTTAATGGACTGTAGTCTCTGTGGGTTGCCATTGCAAAATGAAGTTTTAATTCAAGATGGCGGATTGTGGGTATTTAAATGTGGCCACACTTTTCATGGCGCTTGTCTGAATTTGAACAAAATTAAATTATGCCCATCTTGTTCTCTTCAATGATTAATTATTATTATTAGTATATGTAAAATTTTGGTATTTTTGTATCTAGAAATAGTAACGTGTAAAGAAGAGTCATTTCATGTAAAGAATGATTCAGTACAATTACAGGAAAATATGTAACAATATTTAAATGGCTTGTAATATTTAAAACAATTTTAAAATGGCTAAATCAGGATATTTTAGTTAATGTGGCATTATTCATAGAACAATATAATATCCAAACCTGTATTACGTATTCGATACATTTATTGGGTATATAAAAAAAGTTTTGTTAAAACACATAGAGTGAGTTTTGATGTTATAAGTTTTTTCACACGTTAATTAAAATGTAATAGGAAATTAATTAAAAAAGACAGTGTGCCAAGGCCAAATATTTTCAAGGTCATATTATATTTGAAGATTTTCCACTGTCGCTTTATTTGATGTTTATGTTGCCATTTAAAAACTTTCAAATCTTGTATTTTTTTCTATGCTAATAAGTTTGCTATTTTTTTTTGTATATGATCAATTATTTTTTGATTAAATATTTTTTTAAAGATTGGCAGCTACTATCTAGTCTCACGAATTTAACAATGACTTTGCCATCCGTAAAATATACTCGCATTAAGAGGTGTATGAATTTAAATGAACGCGACATTTTGTTGTCTCATTTTATTATTACAATTTGATTATTTTTAATTGATCAATTCAAACTGTTGCACTTACAAATTGACATTACTATGATTTGGTATAACCTAGGGTTTTAGCCACAAGAGAGAATATCCAAGTCGTCCCATTAATTAACTATACTTACTCTAGAATAACACTTCCAGGTAAATTTCTAAGAAATTAATTAAATTTCTAAGAAATCTATTGTTAACTATAACGCCGGCGTGTCCGCGGTCGTGGAGGGATTAATTTATGAGATATTAACGTTGTCATTATTCCCATAGTAATGATTCCTATTCGTAGAAACGGAATCGGAAGAAAAGTAAAAGTTGCTGTATCTGAAAGAAATACTAAGTAAATATTTCTGTGATATATTTTATGGATGGCATGTTTTACAATTTTTATATTGTTATTATTTTTTCAATAAATAATGTTTTTTTTAAGTTTTTAAAATTATGACTTGTATAATTAACTTTTCGAAAATGTTTTTGGACATGATATTTGAAATAATTAATTTATCGTCATTTATAAGTAAATATATTTGCTTTTTGAGCGAATATAAAATGGATTCAATGATTGGAATGGGTTCACTGCTACTTCGTGTCTGCTATAAAGTTTTACTTAAGGTCGAATTAGAAAGAAACAATAATTTGCTCAAATAATTTTCAATAGCGTAATATGTATCAATTCAGCCCTTAGTGAATACAATGTTGAGAACATATTTTTTTTATAGCGAATTTTTTTTATATTTATATGTTCATTTTACACATTTTAGCAAAATGTCTCAAATAAAAAATTTAAAGCCGGGACTTAATACATATTATGTATAGACTTCTTCTTTAGATAATTCCCTTGTGACCGATTTCGGCCAATCTCACTGAGACTAGCCAACTAAGCTGGATATGTTATAGTGCAACGCGTGTATCGGTGTGCGCGCAGACACTAGTTCACTCTATTCCTTTTCACTCTCAAAGTCTGATGGGACGATAATTCGAGACGACCGGTGTGAATTAAGGAGCAGACCGATGGCTTTACGTGCTTACCGGGGCACGGGGATGTGACACCGCCAATTTCTCATTTCCGGGCTACTACTGAGAATTCCTTAAAAGAGTACCTCAATAGCTAAACTTGGCCCGACCCGGGGCGTGAACTCAGGACCAGATCCATAAATCATAGATTATATCATCATCATAGATGCCATAGCAGTACATGCGAGCAACCGAAACAAAGAGAGGAGATAACGAGGTAGTATACTAATAATGTCAGTGTTTTTACTAAAACGCCCAAAACATTACGATAATAATAATTGAAGATGAATTCATATTGATAATTTAATGTTCTATTTATATGTGAATCGAATTCTTTTAAAGTACTTCATATTTTTGATAGCAATTCTTATTCTTATGCAATTGAAGTGCAATATTTCTTTATTACACTAAAAACATATTTTAAGCCAAAAAATGTATATTTAATAAAAAAATGCAATTTTCTTTTTGACATTAGAACTAAAAAAAGTTTGTTATGTCAGTAATTTTTTTTTTCATGTGAATTCCTAAAGTGATTATTTAAAATCGATTTTTGTAAGTGACGACTGAAACATTGATTTATTTTTTTATTATAATTAGTTGTAGTCATTATTTATATGGTCATATTTGGTTTAATATTAATCAATGAAAGTGCCATGATTGTTTTTTTTATAAATGCTAACTTTATAGCAAATTTGTTTAGCACAATAATATATGTATATTTTTGTTACGTTGGTATTATAACATCGTATTTATTGCAAATCTCAATATTTATGTATTTTATGAATTTATAGACTAGGTTAGTTGTGTTGATTTTTTTGTTGTGTAAAAAAACAGTTTTCTCCTTGTTACTTACACTCATATCTAATTTAGCTTATATATATATATATATATATATATATATATATATATATATATATATATAAGCTGAATTAGACTACTTATATACACTATTAAATAAAATACAAGTGTTTTTTTGCCCAGTACGGGTATTCAATAAGTAGCCTTTACAATAAGCATAAGTAGATCCTATAGTTTTATAATACTGTTTATAGCTTCTAACATATGATATACCTAATTAATATTTAGAAAGTATAAAAAATATATGTTCAAACGGCAATTTTAAGTATATAAGGTAGTATTTTCCTAAATGCTCTCGAATATATTTTGAATAATTTAGAAAATACCATAACTAATTTATACATTGTATTGTTTTTTTTTTTTAATTTAAATTTCTGTGTTATAGTGAACATAGCGCACTATGCGACCACTATGTTACCGTTGTACAAATGGTCGTTGCGACCAAAATTGTAGTTGTGGTTGGCTAGCGTACATGCAGAGTATATATTGGAACTACATATCTACATGTATTTTTTTTTTAATTTTTAAGACTATTTGTTAATATTTTTTAATATACCTGCTTATTACAAATAATAATCGCCTCATTAGTCTAGTGGTTGGCTTGCTAGCTTTAAATTACTTGTTAGAGTTTTTGTTAAGAAATTCTCAGTAGCCGTCTGGAGTTGGGAAGTTCATGGTGTATCTCCTATATCAAAAAATCAAGTAAGGGCGTCGATCCTGATCTTCGATACTGTAAGATTGTGATCGAATATGTATTGCATCTGATTGTGTCTGGAAATAAATTGTATTTAATAAGCAAAGCCGCGGGCAATAGTATGTGTATGGTACCATATATCTTGCTTATTTTCTTTCAATGTACTTAGAAATTCGGCAGACTATGTACATAAATATGTTATATTTTTGTATTACTGTGTAATATGTAGCCATATCACTTGTAAGTTGTAACGATTTTATTCTGATATTACCGTATTAATAAAAAGTATTTGCGACAGATAACTTCGATCTTGTTTTTATTCACCCTTCTTTAAAGCTTATGTGGATATTTAAAATAAAACAAATAAACATTTTTATAATTACTTTTTATTAAACTTTTGGGTTTTGGCACAATTTTTGAATAATGTGTCCTGTTAGGTATTAAAACCTATATCTATCTACGTATTCGTGTACAATGGAAACATTAACAAAATAATCTCAATCGATGAAAAATAATTTAGTTAAATCAATAAAAAATATAACAACAAAATTTTAGTAAGTACAATATTTTAATATAAAAATACTACAGATTATAAAATTAAAGACGGATCTAATTTTGAAAATGGAACAGATAATAAATATAAAAAAGAAAATCGACCGAGATCTATGCACTCGCATATTAGGTATCGATCATTATAAAATAAACACAACTAACGTTCACATCAATATATCGCATATTTACAATGGGAATCAACATAAGAATAAATAATTTAACGTCACTGTCTAAACCCTTACACATTTACTAAGAAGTACACGCTACATATTCGATTAAGTCACGTACACAATAATTTATTTATACGCTTATTCGTCTACAACTATTCACGTCGAGTACATAATATTACTGGCATACAATATAAGAGCGAGGACACACCCTAGAAATAATAATAAAAAAAACATCCTGTTTTTTTTTAATAAAATAAAAAGTAATGGCAAAAATAATAAGTCGTATATTATTGTAAAAACGTATGCCCTCGCCATCAGTTCAAAGAGAGAAAACAAGAAATACAATTAGAAAAATAAATAACAAATAAAAATGGCAATTAACGACATCGCTCCCATCAACCTGATTAACTCTAGCCTATACAACTCTACTAGGTACTATATTACGTAGATACTTGTCAACTACGACTTATTCTACATCTACGAATAAATTGCACGATTTGATAAAGCGAATATTTGATTTTATTAAGTCCCCACAGTCCGGTGGGTCTATGAAATATAATATTTCTATTTTTAAAGAAAATTGACAATATCCAAATTGACCACCATCTTGTGTTCAACACTGGTTGGTACAGATTAAAAATGTTTACTTAAGAAATAGATTAAATCGAAGTTGTGACATTATTTTTTACCTTCTAATACAATTTAAAGTACAGATTTTGCTAATGAGTATTATATCTCGTTAAATATTATGCTTCACGACAGTTTTGTGTTCAAAACACTTAAATTTTCAAGCATTCCGCTTCAAATTTTTGGTTTGATACATTAAGTCCCTTATACCTAAACTACAAAAAGATTACCTAAGATTTACACATGGCCACACAAAATTAAACTCCAGTTACTAATACTTAAATAACGTATTATCCTAAGTCTAATCTAGAAATTACTATGGATAGCTAGCAACATTGAATACGTGCATATATCTACAGAGGTTTGCAAATATTTACAATTGAAAGATGAAATATAACAATATAACTTATTATGTACACATTTCTAATCGTCTATCAGTAGATACATTTTGGCACAGTTTTAATGCCGTCTACGTATCGAGAACTGAAAAAGATTACAAGATCTTAATTCACTAATGGAATAATCTCAATTATTAATATATTATAAACGAGAGATCCGAGCGACACTGGCATTACAATCGTTATAGCCTTAGAAGATACGAACAAAGTATCTATCTGTATCTGAAAACTAAAATACGTTAATAAACATTATGTTTTGCAGATATTAATTTGTTTTTGCGACAAGTTCCGAGATTCTTATGGTCATTCATACAAAGACAACTTCTATAGTAAACAAATCTATTGAGTACGTTTCAAACAAGAAATGATAATTTATCATCAATCAATGTAATTATATTACTATAGCGTTATCATTCAATCCTGGAAGTTACCAGGGGTGATGTGAGGGAGGGAGGGGCAGGGGCGCGGCATGGGGGTAGGGCCAGCCGCGCGCCGTTCCTCAATCCTCCTCTCGAGGGGAAAGTGGAGGGGAGAAAGCGGGGTTCATATAATTACCCCCATTTGGGGGAGGTGAGGAGTTGGAAGGTCCAGGACTCGATAGGGACGGGAGAAAGTTCAATTCGCTTCCACCGTCTCTACACCATAGTTGCCTCATTTCTTGTCTGCGCGTACGCATCAAGTTTTTGTACTCCGATATCCGCATCTTCTTGCCGTCTACAATGCATGTTCGCTTTGGTCTTGGCCGGTACCTAAAAAAAGGAAATTTGAATAATGAATTAAAGAAAAGATAAAAAATACCTATTGATTAATACATTGAAATGAAGAAAATGAGTACACTCAGTTTATATAATTTATAATATATACGCTAACCTGTAATCAGGATGTTTTTCCATGTGTAATTTTGAGAGTCTCGATTGTTCCTCATAGTATGGTTGTTTCTCTGCATTAGACATAGCCTTCCATCTTGCTCCAAGTATTTTAGATATATTTGAATTATGCATATCAGGGCATGCTTTTAGGATTTTGCGACGTTCGTCTTTTGCCCACACCATGAAGGCGTTCATTGGTCTCTTAATGTGAGGTTTGCCGGTTTCGTCGCGTTTCGGTTGACGAATCAACTTTGCTTTTTCTGATTCTTCTGGAGGGGACTGGTTCCAGGATGACGCTGAAAATAAGAAATGTTCATATTAGCTTATTTTTTCTTGTATTTGTATATCAATATATTTGTTTAGCAAATTAAGAAACAAAATATTTTTAGGTAGCGCCGACGAAATTCAATAAAACGGTAATTAGTCTGTTTCCTCTAAAGATTTAAAAAAAGATCTACCAGAGGCAGCAGTGCAGTACTAGTGGGGTGTGGATACACGTGTTTTAATTTCCCTATTGACAGTAACGTTAAACGCATGTCTTATCATTGAAATAAATATATTAATAAAGTGAATAAAAAATATTAAAAAATTAATTATCATGCCTACCAAACGTAGTACCTACGTTCGCGAATTGTACTTCTGACAGTCGATATATGGTATAAACCTCAAATTGAGAAGAAAAAGTAATTGGAGTGGATTGATCTATCGCACATGTGAAAAAAAACATATTTACCTACTTATGTGAGTACTAAACATTTCATAAATACCAATGGTCCAACAAAAGAAAATTCAAATCTGTTATCGGCGACTTTATCAAAGACCAGTAATTGTTCTATGTATGTATGTATGTATATCTATGTATCTATTAACATAATAAAATTTAATAAAAACGAAAGTATAATTTTGCTATATATGTATTTAGAATATTAAATTCGAATAATTATAATCCGAATTCTCAACGACGACCTTTCTATGAGTACCTATATTTTTATATATCTTCAGAGGAAAAAGGCTAATTCGATAAAAGACGACCAACAGGAGAATTGTAGAATATTTAATGAAAATACATTAATTGAAGATAGATTTGGGCACTTCTAATTTGAGGCAAATACGCTATAGGAACCTCTTGCGGAGTAAGTTTATTGCTATACTAGCTGTGCCCCGCGGTTTCACCAGTGTTAATCAATGCTGCTCAGCTCCCTTGGGTAGTAGCATGATGATATTATATAGCTTATATCCTTACTCAATAAACGGGTTATCTAATCCAAAAGAATTTTTCACATCGTATTAGTACCTAGTTCCTGAGATTAGCGCGTTCAAACAAACAAACTCTGCCTCTTTATAATATTAGTATAGATATGTATGTAGATCTTCAACCAATAAATATGTCCTAATAATAAGATGCAAAGGAAATGTAACAGTAATTCAAATTAATTTTAACTACAATGTTAAAATGCAAGATTGTAATATTTGAGAAAGCTCTCAAATATTTAGAAAATCTTCTTAACTTCAATCTCATCATTACTTATAAGCGTCTTATTCGATTTAATTTTTACTTCCTAAATGAAAATTTCTATTTTAGCTGTTGCTATTGTGCGATAGTGCCGTTTTAGGGTCACGTTTGTTTCAGTATTATGATCTTTATTTGTATAGGGATAAGACCATATTCTAGCATCTATAAAGCATTCAATCGGGAGTGCCACTAAGCTAGCCCATAAATTATCGCTAACAGTGAATGCCGGCTGTAAAACAATCGTTAAACAAAGATTAAGAATGAATCTATTCTGAACTGCTGTCTTTCGGCATGAGATATGGAATGTAGACTTTCCATTTACAGTTTCGGGGAGGATTATAATGTCATTTTCATATTATATGTTCTTATAAACCAACAACCATTTTTATTCTGTATTTAAATTAGAATAGGTACTAAAACTCTTTAGTTTTAAAAATTAAGTTTATTGCAGCTAATAATGTTACTCAAGTTTGCCATATTAAGAATCGTTCATAAATAACTCAAAAACTCGCCACTATGATTTGTTTTGTACCTTCTTAAGATAACTTACATCACATATGTCAAAGTTACCCCAAAAATGTGGGTCAAATCCGCATAACATCAACATTTCTTGACGGTTTCTATAGCAAGTGTCCGCACAATTAATAAACCACTGCACGGAAACATCGACCTCTCAAAGTCGAGGCATTCCTCGTATTAATTTGACACGCTCTTAGATAATTTATAACATCCTACATAGGTCGATACACGATTCCAGATATACTGGTATGTGTGAAGCGAATAAGATTTGTGAAAGCCAACATGTTGCGTTTACGTGATTAACTCGCGTATTTGACTCTAGTACTGTGTGGTATACGTTTGATGATTATTATTTGAGCAAAACAATAAATTGTATTAGGTACAAGTAGCTCGCATTGGTATTCTTGTCTTAGAAGAAGGTTTAACACTTGTTGTAACTTGTATAGTAGCTGTCATATAGAATATATTATGGCCCTAACTGGTTAATAAGCTGTGTACGCTAAATTATGTACTCAATTTACTCAAACATTGGTATCATATAAATTTTACTTATATTATTTTTTAAGTAAAAGATAAGGCTTGTATCCACAAAGGTTTCAGATATTTATAGGTAGTATATTTTTCCCGATTGATATTTAAATATAACCGAATAGTTCTTGCTAGCAGTACACGTAAAGCGGATAGCGGAAGCGTGTCGAGCGCCTTCTATTCCATATTTCTTGCAATTCTCTTGTTTTAAAGGAAACCAAGTGACACCAGTTTTGTAACCATCTAGGTTTGGGACAGAGCCAACTATTTAAAGTGTGCACTATTAAATTTATTCGTATCATAATTTACATTAAATAATATACAAAAAGTTTTTAGAGTGCATTAGTACTACAAAAAATAATTGGTTCAGTGAAATCTCTTGAGCTTTTGTTTGTTTTCTGAATAGATATAATATAAAATACCTACTACTGTAGCTTTGACCAGCAAGCGATAATTGATGATCAAGGCATCGTTTCTTTTTTTTAGCAATAAAATTCATTAATTTTCCTATTTATTACAATTATATATTTAGTGTATAATTACACACACAATCTAATTAGATTGTAATTTTTACCATTTTATGTGATTTTATAAATCCTTTTGACACGACAATTTGAATTTCGCTTAGTAAATTTTTATTATTAAGGCATGCTAACAACCATTATCATCTTCTATATAGAAGATGATAATGGTTGTTAGCAAGACTAGCGACTCACCCTCGCTCCGCTCAGGTTACGTTACATTACGTTTTATCGTTTAGTATATGATGCGTTCCCAGACAGACGGACAAAAATTCTAAAAACTATTGATTCGGCCTCTATATCGCTATCAATAATAATTATTGCAATAAGATCTTCCAAAAAAATATTTAATGTGCGGATGCGACTCAGAATTTTACTATATATATTAATTCTGTCTGGGAACGCATCACGAGAAAACCACTAGATAGATTTTGATGTATGATGATAGCTGGTTATACGGGTCAACATACATGATACTTTTTACAGCGGGAAAATATCCCATCTCTAAGAAATCTATACTAAACGATAAAACGTAATGTAACGTAACCTGAGCGGAGCGAGGGTGAGTCGCTAGTCTTATTAATAAATCATAAAATCTGTTAAGAATTCTTACATATTCTTTTAGTGAGAAGAAAGGTTTTCTTAGATATATTTACAGTATAAATAAAAGTACATATTAAATTGTTATTATTTCAACAATCTAAAATAACGAATTCGCTGAGAGCCATAAGTTACAGATATGTCATTCCATTAATGAAGGAAAAATACAGTACTTTTAAGTTTCATCCAATCATTAAAACCGCATTCATTAAAAAAATATCTAACATTGTTAACAACCTTACACTTACCTCCTAACAAGACTGATGACACAGTGTAACATCATATCCAATTGATTTGTTGGCCGACCCATTGACCGATTAGTTGGATTGACTTGAAAATCAATACAATATGAGGACGAAATGACAAAAAAAACGGTCGATTGGACATTTTGTTATGTGCAATCGCTCAACCGGTCCGTGCATCAGCACATGTCGCTAGAAACTAACAAGCTGACCTATATAACGTTTCCCGTAATATAACAATTTTACAGTGTAACTGGATTAATTATATTTAGCAATTAAACTCCGACATGAAAATGTTTGGCGGCGACACGGAACATTTCTTAGTTTTCACATTTCGTGGCGAAAGCATTAATTTATCTAAAGTCTAAACCCTTGTTTATTTTCGGTCGTTGCGTAATGTGCGAATTTCGTTTTATTAATATTGATTTAATAGATAAGTTGACAAGTGGACTTGGTTTGTGTCTTGTAGTGAAATATATTAGTCTTAACGTAAGTTCTTATGTTTAAGAGAGCTTTGATGTTTTTCTGAAAAAATAAAGAACATCCTGTCTTTATACTCGTATCACGATTATGATACACGAAAGTGTAATAACTTAAACATGATGGTAGCATAATTGTAATTTTATTTAAATACATCATACAAATAAGGCTATTTAAATAATTTTCTCTTCTTGCAATATAAATCAATGACTAACTTACATAAAATGGTTTTTGTTAGTTATTTAAAAAAATCATCAGAAATGATCAAAATCTGCAGCAAAACTAAATTTAAACTTCCCGTTTTTAACCTGATCCACGAGACCTTGCTTACTATTTCTGACGGGGTTATGTCTACACCCATCTGTATGGCTAATAAATGATTTGATAAGACAGCCGTCTCAATATTTTTGGATCGTTTGCGCGTGTGTGACGCTTACCCACGTCATAATTCTTATTCATAGGACAAAAAAACGATAAAAGTGGCATGAATGGATTTTAATATACCTATATAATATCATTCTCAAGTATTATAAGCATATATACATTCAGCAATTATTATTCAGTTTACATTTCTTTTTAATATTGTGTTTAATGGAAGAAGCAAAAATTTGGTTATACTTTAGGTACCTATTTAATTTCTGTCTGATGTATAGGTACCTATATTGTTTTCGACCCGACATTAAATCTAATCTGCTCAGGAAAGAGTTTTCGAATTATCGAAACCTATATAGGTATATTTTCTTCTCTTTCTGGAAATCAATTAAAATAAGGTACTTATTTGTAATATAAAACGTTCGATGCCAGTTCTATTTTGAACTAATTCTTAATAACTGAATCATGGGTATCGCACGTGTCCTTATTATAGCTTCTCAGCTGGAAATTGTGTCACTGTGATTATTGTCCTGTGCGAAAAAATGTTTATGAAGTCTATCCCAATTACTATCTGCCATAGTATTTGTGAATCACTGTAGATATTTGTACTAACTGTTTACCGTAAATTGTAATAATTATTAAATTGTTTGACTTTTTTTTGTACCCTATGAAATTTACCTATAGGAAAAGCATGATGAGATATTTATTGTGGAATATCAGGTTTTTTTTTATATATTTGTCTAATTGTAAATATATTCAATGAAATGCGTATTTTTATGGGAATCTGTCTTTGTCGTGGAAACTATAGAAGTAAATAGTAGATGCATATAGGTATAATGAAGTTTAACTCATTCTACCCTCCGCTTGTCGTCGATTAAAATTTGTTATTAAAAGAATAGTAACTGGATTCCATAATTAAAAATTATATGTAGGTAGGTAATATTATTTTACACAAATTTTTTTTCTAATAGACAGATAAATACAATATATTAGTGCCATAGTTATGTTGTATTTTTTTTAAATAAAAAAAATTGTATTATTTTGTATTTTTTTGATGAGTAGTGTATATAAATATAAATAAGTTTTAAACTTACTATTGCATGCTGTGTTATATTCGTCATCTTTTTTCATGTAAGGGTTGTTGTCTTCCATTGGCGGGTACGGCATGTACCGAGGGAGCATGACTTGTTGTGCGGGTGAAGGTGAACGTTGCTTGCTCAGGTTTAGGGGTGCGTCTGGATCCTGTGGGGGTGAAGACCTTGCACTGGCTGTCAGCTGTGCCAATTGAGCTGTAGCTGGCCAAGGACTTGATGGAACAACCTGGAAATAAAACATCGAAGCTTTACTTTGTTCTTTTTCGGACACCGATATTTATGGTTCTTATGAGTTGCTATACTTAAAATATAATCTTAGTTATTCACTTTTGCAACAGAATTATCAATGCCTATTTAATTGAAACGGCTCCAAAATTTGCCATCTCCTGACCTAGATGTTTATGATAAATGGGATGCCAAAAATTATAATGGTTCATTAAAATTTGAAAATAAACAAACGATAAAATACAAGGAACGTCGACTATGTTGCGTTACCTGAGTTTGGAAGTAGTATTTGAATAGGTAATTCGCCTATAATATAATCTGATTACGAAATAACAATCAATTTATTTCTTATAAAAAGAGAACGGCGAACTCTTAATGATGTATAGATGAATACACGGGATTACCAACGGTAATAAAATATTTAAGTAACTTGACAATTCGATGTCAACTTGTTTTCACGGTAATAAAATGCAGGATGTCAATATTTAATGCCACCCATCCGTTTTGTGATTCTAATCACTGTTGCTTTGCCGCTGATGATGAAGTATACCTTAGCCGACCACACCTCGTCACATATTATGTTGTAACAAGTTAAATTGCTACGGGAATTACAACATTTAATTTCATCTATATCATAAGAAATATCCAAAAACTGGTTGACGGATGATGTACAACCATTCAAAATATCTAATTATAATTTTACATAAGCAACACCGGTTTCTGTAATTAGTTTTGGAACAACTTTCGTTTTGTAGGACATTATAGTCAAAATTAAACGTACTAGCTCTTAGCAAATCTTGTGAAATAATGCATCACCTCCAGGTAAATTTCTAAGAGATTAATTAAATTTCTAAGAAATCTATTGTTAACTGACACGCCGGCGTGTCCGCGGTCGTGGAGGGATTAAATTGTTTAAAATACAAAATTTTAATGTTTACATCAAAATATTGTGACTAATATAGTAGTTACATGAATGAAAATAAAACAAAAGTTTAAGTTAAAAAATTATGCCCATTCTTTTATAAACAAAAATATGTTGTATTCATAATCTAATTCACCTATTACAAATTTATTTAAAATAATATCGATTAAAATATATAATTATAAAGTTATCGATTTACAAATTCGGCGAACAAATAAAAATAGCTTTTAGCATAGACATAAAATAGATGTTGATATAAGGAAATTTAATCTAGATATTATATTCGGCGTCAATTATTATAATCGGGACAGGATATTGACCAATGCACGCTAGCATCAACATCAAAAACTAATTAGTTCCCGCATGCCAAATCGATTAAACTGTCATAATTTTTGTTCTGACTTCTTTTCTTGTGATCTGAATATTAATGTGTTGTAGTGTATTAGTTAGGATAAATATTAGCTTTAATATTAATAAATTAACCGGATATTTAAAATGGATGAATAATGTGTCAAGTCGTCATAGATAAATATTTTCAGCGGTAGCATACAAAATGGGGCCATTATAATGATGTTTGGTTTATATTACTAGTAGGCACTATTCGAAATTCTACGAGCCATTTTGGGAAAAAACAATGTTTATGTACTTGATTTTAAACCTTTCACATTTTCTAACCCTAAGTTTGTCTGAAACTGTTAGCGATAAAACGACCCTTTGTGCGGCAAAGTTATTTTTTATATAGTAGTCTTTACCTATTGAAATTTACATATAATTATATACAATAAAAATATGAAACGTACATTGGTCTGTGGTGGAGGCTGTGGTCGCATTTGCTCTAGTAGCGGGAGCAAAGCTAGTGGAGGTCCAGGGTACAGAGAATGGCCGCGTCTCACCATCTCTTGCCTTCTGAGATGTTCTTGTTGAAGTCTCTGTAGCTCAAGCTCTGCCGATACGGTGCCTATGTTCTGTAAAATAAACTTATTATTAATATCAAACATAGGTTTCCTTTCAAGAAATATTATTATTTATAATTTAAGAAAGTAACAATATATAAGGCAGTTCATTTAAAACATAGGTACCCTATATTATAGTATTTAGGAACAATAAAAAAAAACCATTTTTTTTATTTAAGTGATAAAAAATTAGTCATAAGAATTAGTTGTAAAACAGAGAATCCCATAACATTTATCAGTTAACAAACTGTACACCAAAGTAGTACAAACAAAATGCACCACTTAAGTAGGAGATCTTTCTTCGCCAAATTTATCCATCACGATATATTACACGCTTAAGCGCCAGACATGACAAAGAGAGCTAAATTGTGTGTACAAATCAAGAGGGGGACACAACACTAAATCTTTGCAAGTTTGCAATAAAACGTAGCGAAAAAGAAAACTTCGATTAATTGCACGAGTCGTGACGAATAACACAATATACATTTTATCGGCTCTTCATTAAGACAGTATTGAATTGTTAATGGGTGTACGTGGTACAATATTATAAGGTGTTGACACCAGAATCGCCCGATGACTCGTATTTCCGTATGAAAAATTCAGTGTACATTATGAAAAGGAATCGGTGACTACAAAAGACTTGCGGCGTTTCAAAGTTACTGTCACTAAGTGTATTTAAGTGATATATAGTCGCGAGATTAAAGGATGAAAGCGCTAATGGGAAACAGAAGTGAATACTGAAATAAGCGTGACATGATCACGAAATAAAAAAAGTTATAATAGATATCCAATGCCAATATGCGAAGGCCGGAGCGCGACTGGTAGGTAATCGACCAAGTTTTTCCATCCACGAGACAAATTGCTGTCATAACTGAACGGATTAAACTTTTTATTAAAAACAACAAACCGAGCATAATGTATGGCTGTAATCGGCAAGGGACAGATGTTCCCGAATAACGTACGCGATTTATCTAATGTAAAAAGACTTTTATTTAATAGCTCCGCGGAGATGTCCTAGCAATTGGTGCTTATATTTTATAGCCGACCGTCGTTTTGGCATTTCGACCGCATTTTGATAGTATTATTAATGTAATAGATGATATAAAAATTCGATTTATGATCGCGATGACCAGCTGCACTGTAACAATTTATTGTAGTTGAAGCACAGGTGAGCCACTGTCATAAAAGAAACATGTAAATTAATGTTTATATCAAGAGGTTGGAGTGTAATAGTTACAGCTATCGGGTCAATGGTTGGTTTGCCAATAGAATATGCTGGGCGTGATCTGGCGTTACGTGCGGAGCGTACGCACCGATGTCCGATCAATAAAGATGGCCGAGTCTATAATTAACTTGAGTAAACACATACCATCTGTCACTGCGTCCTTGGCACTCTGACGATGCATTTCGTATCATAATGTCACCGCTTAAGAGATTATGTCCGTTTTATATTTCAAGATTAATACTTCCACTATTGATTATTCTTGTCAAGCTTTTGTCGAAGCTGTATCATGCTTCTTGAAATAAAAAGAAGATTAGATTTAAGCTTAGATCAAAAAGATTTACTTAAAGAATATGAACTCATAGTGAGAATTAACAAAGAGATCAGAGATGAAGACCGGACATGCCATGACATAATTTATAAAGCCGGCGCTCATATCAAAATAGTGTTTTTCTACTGTTTGAGTAGATTAAAAACGAATTTAGTCCTAAAGCTCATTCACTTTAGGTCGAAAGGTAGATAGAAGAAACTGATTTGGTGAAGTAATATCGAAAACTGTATAATGAAACGGACGTCACATTGACGTAATAGATGCAAGATCTTGGGTGAAATCATAATATTTACTGTCCACTAGTTGACATGTCCTCATTCCTAGATATATTATTCCAGGCTTCAATTTAGATTTGCGTGGCTAAACTATTTGCGACGAATGATCGTGGGTATAATGAATTGAAAATATTAAAGAGATTTGTATTATGAATGAGAAAAAGTACAAAAAACCCATTTGTAAAGGATTAATGTATTTTGGTTGTTGTTTCATAACCCTCCTTGTTAGTACAAAATGCTGTGACGTGTTGATAATTTGAATAAAGGAGGCTAAAGGGCTAACAATAGTTTATGGGGCAGGGCAGTATAAAGCGCAACGTAGCGCTACGCGGTGAAGGCGGTGCACTGCGGTACGATGACATATCAAAATGAATCGCTAATGCACCGTCCTAGCTACGGGATGAATGGAGTTATTTTAAACATCTTTTAAATAAGCTTTTTTGTTTTGAGTTCTAGATAAAATTTGAATAGGTTTTTAAAGAATTTAAAGACGTGATTTTTACAACAATAATCTATTGAGAAATTTCACAAATATGAGACAGAGTACCGTAATAAAAGACCAAAGAAAGTAAAGATAGTAGAATATTCTATCTCAAAATAAATATGTTCCATTTCATATTGATATAAATTTAGTATTTGTAATTTTAATATACAATAGCAATTAAAATTTATTTACAAATTGCATTATTATACAGATTATTACCCATAATATTTAGCTTATAATATATATACATATATATATATATATAAATTAATATATATATATATATATATATATATATATATATATATATATATATATATATATATATATTGTACGTTTTTATAAACAGTGTGCTTTACTATCAACAAAATAGAAAATAAGTTGCGACTCCATTGCTTTTGATCAAGATTCTAAAATGCGTTTTAATATCGAGAACAGATTGCACAATAATGCTTTGAATTAATTATTACATTCGCCAAGTTGCAGCATGACTTGTTTTTATCTCGTCGATGGATGAGGAGATTATTTCTGATATCCGCGCATAAATGCCTGGCAGGTACTGTTATAAATCCAAATTAGTAATAAAGTAAATTCTTAGTATACGCTTGTTTACGATTGTAACAGCTACTACTTGATTATATAAAATCATTTTCATACTCAATTTACGAAACAAATTAAAGAATTAAATAGAAATTTAAGAAGGTTTGGTGTTGATATATGTATTTTTTGTTCGTTTAAATACTTGCACTTGATGTATATTGTTTTTAAACTTTAAATCAAACAATAGGTACTGTTTTAAGACGAATTCATTGCTATGTTACACGATATTCAATAGATTTCAATCGTACCAGCGAGCTTAGACACGATGTCATTTATTTCATTGCTTATTCTCATAGAAAGCGAAAAATTTATGGACATGACATGTTCTGATTTTACTTTACATTTTTTTTTGAATTTACATAACGCTTAAATATGTAACAATACAATTATTAGATTTCGCCTGCTGTAAAGGATATTAGGCAGAATACCATTATGTCTCTGCCTGCAGATTTCTATTCTAATTGACAAATAATTTACATAACTTATAATTACTCAATAGGCTTATTAGTTGAAACCTTTGTATGATAAATTAAAAAATAAATAAAATGAAAGTCTCAATCAATCTGAAGAAGAAAATGATTTCAAATGCTAACCAAATGTAACTATAGCATACGCTTTGACAACCGCCAATTAAACTGTCAGATTGATCGTGCAACTTGTCTGCAAACAAGTCGGCAAATCGCCACGGGAGTTCGTTCATTGTGAATGATTCGCGATTTTTAGTCCGATGTTATCTCGTGATTATGCGTTTTGCGGCATTGTAAGGACTCCCCACGCTTAAAGGGCTTTAATATTGTATTTGTCAGCAATAGAACACGTTGTATACTAGTGTTTGTTATGTTTTTGATTTAGGTTTAGATAAAACTTAGTTTATAAACCTTAATAATTTTACAACTAAATATCATAAAATCAAGTCAAATCTGCATTTATTATGTTGTAAGTTTTAACTGTTTAATCAAAAAATAGGTTATGAATTGTGAAATAATAATTTTATCTTCAATTTTTATTATTTAACCAGCTTTGACAAGAATAAACATGTAACAAACTTTAACAACCCCATGAACAAATCTCGAATATAATAAAAAAAAACTCCATTTCGATTGATCAATGAACATTAGTCTTTGAAGTATTTTTGCTATACAAAAGTCATTGGCACGTGTCGAGCGCCGCACGTCGTGTGGCAAAATCACCGCTAATTTAAAATAACCACACCCAGTAGGGGGTTTCCCGGTTTTGAATGTCAATAGACCTTAGAACAGAATATAATAATGATTTGTACGTTTGTATATTTTCTAAATTCATTCGGACACTATTGTGTGTATAATATTATAAAATAATAGGAAAATTATCTTTCTGGGGTTAAAAACTATTTAATTTTATTAAACGCTTATTATTTTATAATTATTTTAAGGTGGCCGATATATAATTTATAATCCAAAATAATTTTATATTTTTATTTTATTCTTTTTCACTTAAGTATTCATGTATTTTGTTATTTACAATTACGTCGTTTATTCCTTTAAAAATAATATGATTCCACTTCTATACATTACTATGTCCTGAGTGAAACGACCCCAACGTTGTCTTGTCTTTGAGTGTTCAAATTTGATTGTTTGCACTTTTAAATTAACAAGGGCGGTCTAATAAGGCTGTACTTGACTCGTAAATAAAAGTACCTATATATTGTGAAATATATGTAATTATCAATATTTTATATATACGCCTTCAAATTGAATTTATAATTTAAACACAATTTATTTAAATTAGATCATTCTATCCACGTGTAATAGTTTAATAAGTATTCATAATACTAAATACGCTAAATTTCTCGAATCCTACAGACTTTGTTAGATGTAGAGATAAAGGTAGAGACGTCACATCCTACACAGCGATTATTTCTAAGTAAATTTTATAGCTTCCTTTGTCTGTAAGTTTTACTGTGCAGTAAATCAACAATTAAGACGTTGCCACATCACACGAGTTTTCTAAATACAGTATCATAATCATTTACTTTAACAAAAGAATTTGAATTTTAATTAAAACACAAAATTATCTCATAAAACTTATATTCCCCAAGAGTTATATTTACTGAAATAATAA